AATAATTTAAAGAACTGTAAACTAAATAAGCATGCACGAACATTCTAGACAGGCTGCGTTGTTTTACCAGGGTCAATGTAACACTCAAAGGAATCAGATACAAAATTCATTAAGCCTATTAACCAGACAAACAAGCAGACAGAACGAAGATAATCCTACGTAAGTCCATCAGTACAGGTTGCCATACCACATCAACACGGAGACGCAACTGTCAGTTCGAATCTAAGACTGATAGCGATACTAGAAGTATTAGCAGCAATGGAGACGATTAGGGAGCGAAGATATGATTCGAGAAATATAATTCAGTGAGAGAAATGTAGAGGGAGAAAGACAGAGATTATGAGGAATTCAGAAGGTTAGAATTAGAGGGAACACAAAGAGTAGATGCACCTGAGCCATTGCAAACGATTCTGAGCTATGCCGTTCAAGGTCTCTAACCATTGGTGACTTTCGTCTCGCGGACCTGTCATCCTTACCCAATACTCGTTTCATAATGGCAGCATTGCTTACTCGGTTGTCCCACAATATACGAGCAATGCTTCTAAGACATCTATGATGGAAAACTAGTAACCTACGAATATCTTCTACTCTTACCGGTCATATTTCGAACCATATAACAAAACGAAACGAAGTATTGCACAGTACACATGTCGTTTAGTCAGCACTAATGAGACTACCGAGATAAGTGAGGCAGTCTACACGCTCGACTACTTCACTCCCTATCACTAGTTCAGATACCGATGCAATCCAATCTTGAAGCAACATTTTGCACTTCGGAGCGGAAAACCGCATCCCGAACGTGCTTGCATTGTTGCTTAGGGTAGTCAGAAGACTGCATTTTGTCAGCGTCTTCACCGAATAAGACTATGTCATCGGCATATTCTAGGTCAGTAAGCGATCCTCCTGGTAGAAGGTCTACCCCTAAAAAATCTGACGAGAATAATGTTAACTCCAAAAGCATTTGTATGACAAAGTTGAACAAGAATGGAGAAAGTGGACATCCCTGACGAACACGACTCGAAGTAGTGAACTCCGATGACAGTTCACCATAAGCTCTCATTCGGCTAGTAGTATTCGAATAGAGAGCTTGTATAAGGTTAGTGTAGTTCCCCGGTACACCTTTTGATGACAGACACTGCCACAGAACCTCACGATCCACAGAGTCAAATGCCGCTTTAAGATCAAGGACTACAAACTTGCTGGACGCCGTGTCCTAGGATTTGTCGTAGTTCGAATATGTGGTCTATACAGCCACGTCCAGGTCTGAAACCAGTCTCGTTTTCTCGAGTCTGCTCTTCACGAGCTATAGTTAGGCGTCTAAGGATAATTGAGGCCACTTTTTTAACTGATTCCTCTGGGGTACACATCTCGAATGATATATTCGATAGTTATCTTTATGATTACTGCTCATATTTTTATTACCCTTACCACTATGGAATTTAAATTAATAATTGCGTCTCTGTGTTTATGCGGTATGGCAACTTGAACTGATGTGCGCACGTATGAAGTTCTACGTTGTAACTGACGGACTGACTGACTGACTTAAGGATGAGAAACGCATTCAGAGAATGCTTGTATTATTGTACAGGGTAGCCAAAAGACTCTGCAGTTCGTCAGCGTCTTCACGAAATAGAACTGTCTCATCGGCATATTCCAAGTCATAAAGCAAGCATCCTGGCAGTATGTCAACTTCTGAAAAGTCAGATGATGGTGTTATTCCATAAAGCATGTCAATGACAAAGCTGTAACCTAATGGCGAATGGACCCAATTATATATGTATATACATATATATATATATATATATATATATATATATATATATATATATATGTATATAGTTTATCGATCTGTGCACAAGATTATTAATGAAATACACAACAACTTACAATTGCTGGACTTTGATATATGGAAAGTGATAGTGTTATACAAGATGTGATGCATCCGAGTGGAGTAAACAACAAAAATATTAGAAAGTGTTTATGGTTAAGATGACCGCAAGAGTAATGATTATTATTCAGTGGAATAAATATCTGTGGTATAATGTTGTTCTTAGTAGTTCTGTCCAGGAAAGTCAGTTGTGCTTGTCAGTCTCATCTAATTGACTAAAGAGGTCAAAGATTTATAGGTTCAGTAATCAGTCTTCATATTAACATGTGACAAGTTATATGCGTTGTTCTCCTACATTATGTTGGCTAATATATAACTAGTCAGTGCGTAGTCGTCATTAATGGGGATTGCCTAGGTGTCGTATCTACTAACCAACTTCTCGATAGCGACGGTACCTGGCGTACAGCTTTCATGTCATTACAGCCTGAGTCGCCTCCAGATGACTGTTGTTCATGACAGTTTTGATAGACAGGTCTTTACCTCAAGGTGACCAAATGTTTAAACGTTCCCCCTAGTATACGTTGTAGCTGATTTAGTTCGTATTAAAAGAGAGAAAGCCAGGGTCTGTGTTTGATAAGACCATTTTCCTCTTCGTCTCATCAAGAACTGGACTGGCTCAGTGTATGGATAACCTCTCGTCCTCACGGTTGTCTCTCTGTTCCAAATCCTGAAAATTTTATTTTCTTGTGTATACGGCTGTACATGTTTTGAAAGCGTGGCTGGTGAATCTGCATTCACAAAAGAAACCGTAATGTTGCTTAGAAATTTACTGTGTTCTCTTAGTGTCGGCTCATAAGCTGAATGAATTTTTAACTGAATGCTGATCGCGCCTTGTGAACATGTACTTTAAAACTGGACAGACTGGAGCGGCACACAGCTAAGACATATGTTGATCGAGTCAGTAGTAAATGAACTCCAAATGTGGCGTTTTTCAAGTAATTTAAAAGCTCGAGAGAAACAGTCAGCATCAAGGGTTGAGGTCAATCAGCTAGGTTTACAACTATGGGATACTTCCATCTTTCAGCGCAAATGTGGTATGGCCACTTAAAATGATCCCGACTGTAGCTGCTACCTTGACATGCTGGTCAGGGTTGTCCATCGTGATGACGCGACCGAGCAATATTGGCTGGAACATATTTTCCTGTAGGTTCTACCATGCCAGGAGGGTCGATTGCAGAATGGTGGCAGGAAAATAAATTGCAGAATGTAAACAGTACACCGGTATTATCCAGTGAATACCTGACATCGATCAATTCATGTTAGCTCATTTTAGTGTTATTAGTCTCCACAAACACCAATTTGGCCTGATTAGTAAATGTATCTAGCAGCACTAGGTGGTCAAACAAAGAGGACACTTTCAAAAGCAATACCCCTTCGAATAGCTGGTTCACTAAATTTATTCACTACACAGCCCAATGCGCCATTCATTAAGTTCCACTGCGAAATTTCCCATGTGGACGTAAACTTTTTAATTAGGATTATTTTCTTACCAGCAACACATTTTGAGAAATATGGTAGAAATAATAGTATAATTCTGTCACCAACTTAAACACTCCAAAAGAGCCATTAAAACAACACTGCCTACTGGCAGTGTAGGGAAAGTCAGTACAGATAATGATCTGATCCCATATCAAGATCATGGAGATTAGGTAGTCATATCATAGTGTATTGAGCACATTACATTGGAGCCATTAGTCTGAAGAAGCAGATAATTTAACCAAAACCGATATTAGACCTACATACACATCTTCTGAAATCAATTCATGAGCCAGTCAATTCACTTTCCTTGTCTCAAAATAGGTGTTGCTATGCCTGAAACCCAAAAACCCACCAATGCTTACTGTTGTAAATTCGTTACTGTTACATTGATAGCGGTCGTGCTAGCGAAGGTCCTCCAATCGATTATTCCTAAAACGTTAGCTGGGGTAATACAGCAGTCGGATCGGACAAACTAATGATAAAGTAAGAAGATGATATCCATCACCTTCTACCCTTCAGTCGCCCAAGTAAGCCAACACTTTTGTCCTTACGGATAATTGAAAATCGGTAGAAGGATTGAACATATCCATAGTTGTGGACCAAATTTTGTAGTTCAAACCCGGTTATCATCAGACAACTACTGAACCATTAGAAGTACTTCTACTCTATCAACAACCAAACTGACCTGTACCTACATTATCTTGGAGGGGAGCAACTATGTAGAACTTCATCCATATGCCGTTATTGTTAAAGCTGCTAAACTTAAAGGCCATTTATGGTTTGAAAATAGCCTTCTCAAAAGGACGTGTTCAGGTTTCACTGCACTAATTGTCCACTCTTCTCATAGTCACTGTTTAAAAACATTGAAAACGCGCAACTACCATGATTCAGTGTGATCAAATAGTTAACATGTATTAAATGTCAAAATGTAATGGCTCTCTGTGAAAGTTAGCTTTACTGAAGCAATGTTTGTGTACTTCGTAATGATCGATCAGATTCAATGTGTGTTAATATTGTGTTATGTGTATCGTACACAGGAGCTCACGGATTCTCGATACCTGGGACAAAATATCCAGCGTATTTTGTTGCGGAAAACAGTCCATCGAAACTGCAGATCTAGGGCTCTAGCAATTTATGTCGTTTATTTCTACAAGCTATCTGAAGATCTTCAGAAATAAATGTTTAACAACTTTCATCGTTAGTGACTTGAACGTTCCTAGTTTTCACTCTTCTTTATGAAACCAGAACTCTGCTTAACAGCATCTCTGGGTGTGTGATATTTCTGCCCGAAAACCTTTTGAGTTTTAATACAGAAACCCGTCCGTGATATTAAGTTCTCTTCTGTAGCTGACCAAAACGTAAATACCAAAAATTTGAAATGATTAACATGTACGTCTTTTAAATAATGTTTGTAACTTTTCACAGTAGATCATCAAAGGTTCATAAACTACTAGTCGCAATCAAGCCATCAGAGATGATTCATCTTAACTTTATTTCGAATCAAATCACTCGTCATTGCCACATTCAATCTTTAAATGACGCTTTCGATATCGTTAATTGAATTTGTTTAGCTCGGTCCACAAGGTGTTTGAACGCGCCGGGATTAGTTCTCTTCACGTCGGGTTTGTGACAAATGAGTAGGGTACCCAAAGTTTTCGGCAAGACTTATACGACTCCGCGAAGACCGTTCGAAAAGGAACGTTTAGACCAGGAGTTGAAGCTAATTGGTGAATATGGTCTTCGAAATAAACGCGAAGTGTGGAGAGTAAAGTATGTGCTAGCCAAGATACGCAAGTCTGCTCGCGAGCTGCTGACACTAGACGATAAAGACCCTAGACGACTATTCGGAGGTACCAGTTTTACTCTAAGTTTTATTTTAAGGGTCCGCTTTGTTGAGACGTCTGGTTCGAGTTGGTGTCCTTCCCGAAGATAAAATGAAACTGGATTTTGTATTGGGCTTAAAAATAGAAGACTTCTTAGAACGAAGACTTCAAACTCAAGTTTTTAAACTTGGCTTGGCCAGAAGTATCCATCATGCGAGAGTTCTCATCCGTCAGCGACATATAAGAGTGAGAAAACAAATGGTAAACTGTCCGGGTTTCTTGGTACGTTTGGACTCAGGAAAACACATAGAGTACAGCACAACATCTCCATATGGTGGTGGTCGCCCAGGTGAGTTCACATATCTTATTTTCTACGTATTTAGGTCGTGTCAAAAGGAAAAAGGAGCGTAAAGCCCAAGGTGGTGATGACGAAAATGGAAGTGACGAAGAGTAATGATTATTATTCAGTGGAATAAATATCTGTGGTATAATGTTGTTCTTAGTAGTTCTGTCCAGGAAAGTCAGTTGTGCTTGTCAGTCTCATCTAATTGACTAAAGAGGTCAAAGATTTATAGGTTCAGTAATCAGTCTTCATATTAACATGTGACAAGTTATATGCGTTGTTCTCCCACATTATGTTGGCTAATATATAACTAGTCAGTGCGTAGTCGTCATTAATGGGGATTGCCTAGGTGTCGTATCTACTAACCAACTTCTCGATAGCGACGGTACCTGGCGTACAGCTTTCATGTCATTACAGCCTGAGTCGCCTCCAGATGACTGTTGTTCATGACAGTTTTGATAGACAGGTCTTTACCTCAAGGTGACCAAATGTTTAAACGTTCCCCCTAGTATACGTTGTAGCTGATTTAGTTCGTATTAAAAGAGAGAAAGCCAGGGTCTGTGTTTGATAAGACCATTTTCCTCTTCGTCTCATCAAGAACTGGACTGGCTCAGTGTATGGATAACCTCTCGTCCTCACGGTTGTCTCTCTGTTCCAAATCCTGAAAATTTTATTTTCTTGTGTATACGGCTGTACATGTTTTGAAAGCGTGGCTGGTGAATCTGCATTCACAAAAGAAACCGTAATGTTGCTTAGAAATTTACTGTGTTCTCTTAGTGTCGGCTCATAAGCTGAATGAATTTTTAACTGAATGCTGATCGCGCCTTGTGAACATGTACTTTAAAACTGGACAGACTGGGGCGGCACACAGCTAAGACATATGTTGATCGAGTCAGTAGTAAATGAACTCCAAATGTGGCGTTTTTCAAGTAATTTAAAAGCTCGAGAGAAACAGTCAGCATCAAGGGTTGAGGTCAATCAGCTAGGTTTACAACTATGGGATACTTCCATCTTTCAGCGCAAATGTGGTATGGCCACGTAAAATGATCCCGACTGTAGCTGCTACCTTGACATGCTGGTCAGGGTTGTCCATCGTGATGACGCGACCGAGCAATATTGGCTGGAACATATTTTCCTGTAGGTTCTACCATGCCAGGAGGGTCGATTGCAGAATGGTGGCAGGAAAATAAATTGCAGAATGTAAACAGTACACCGGTATTATCCAGTGAATACCTGACATCGATCAATTCATGTTAGCTCATTTTAGTGTTATTAGTCTCCACAAACACCAATTTGGCCTGATTAGTAAATGTATCTAGCAGCACTAGGTGGTCAAACAAAGAGGACACTTTCAAAAGCAATACCCCTTCGAATAGCTGGTTCACTAAATTTATTCACTACACAGCCCAATGCGCCATTCATTAAGTTCCACTGCGAAATTTCCCATGTGGACGTAAACTTTTTAATTAGGATTATTTTCTTACCAGCAACACATTTTGAGAAATATGGTAGAAATAATAGTATAATTCTGTCACCAACTTAAACACTCCAAAAGAGCCATTAAAACAACACTGCCTACTGGCAGTGTAGGGAAAGTCAGTACAGATAATGATCTGATCCCATATCAAGATCATGGAGATTAGGTAGTCATATCATAGTGTATTGAGCACATTACATTGGAGCCATTAGTCTGAAGAAGCAGATAATTTAACCAAAACCGATATCAGACCTGTTACCACGTTTGCTATGATTGATTTGATCTATTTATTCACCGCTTCGAATTAGACTTTCTTTTATCATATTCTTAAGTAGATGTGGATATTTGGAGATAATGCAATTTAATTGCTTTTCTCTAAATTTCTCTATATACGAGATGACTGAGATTGCAACAACCGAGTTTTTGTCAATTCGAGCTGCAGGCTTGCTTAGCTAGGAATGTGAAATCTCGGGGCATCGATGTGTCCTACGTCCCTGAAATGCAAATTGGTTATCTGAGTAGTATTATTAATTTGATTCTTCTTAGTTATCATAAAGAGCGTGTTTCGTTTACGCATCTTATGTACGAATGCATGGCTGCTGTTCCCCGTGTAATCGTTAGTGTATGTAATAAGCGCTAGAGTTATCTCTTTAGCTTGATCCCAATGAAAAGTCTTTTGTGCAATATCAACCTAACGGGTCAGTGAGGATTCGTGAAGATACGGATACTCTCTGTTACCTCTTTCTCACTCACTATCTGAAGCTCAAATGTAAAAATGAGTTTTATAGAAAGCTTTTAGAACTACTGCAAAAAGTTAGGTGCTCTGATATAGTAATTGTATCTGATGACTATAATGTTCAGGTGTGTAGACTGATTGGAAAGTAATGACACGTGGGTGGGTCTTATGATGGCGCAACATGAAGGAAAACATCTGTTGACTCATCGACCTGCAAAGTCATCACAACGCTGAGAAAAACTGGGTCTGTCACTAACAGCCATCGGTGGAGAGGTTGGTTTGAAGATTGTTGCTCAGCCTGCAGCACTCGTTTAGATCAGAACATGCTCTTATGCGAACGCCAATTTGTTTGCGGCTAATCGGAGGAAAAACACTGCGAATTAACCTCTTATGGTTATAATTACTGATAGCTTAGATAAGAATATATTTAAGCAGCAATTAGAAAGACAGTTTAGCGACCATGTTGTGGTATCCAAACTGGAGGCAGCTTGAAACGTAATCCAAAAAGCAGTGATACCTGCTAGTTATGTAAAACCATGAAATGAGGTAGAAGCGTAATCCCATCCGACTGGTCCAACGCCCTGACTGTCTCAACTTATAAGGAAGGACAAAAGGCCATGTCGTGATAATCATAGAGGGATAAGTCTAACTAAAAAAGTATCTGAATTGGTAGCCTCGATAATAATTAGACGTCTAAACAGAGCTCGTGAAGAGCAGAATCAAAAAAACGAGGCTGGTTTTATAATTAGATGTTGATGTATAGACCACATATCCATATCATGTCACGTCCCAGATCACGGACACATGTTCAGACATCCGACGATGGTCAGTCAGTTGCAACGTAGAACTTCGTACGTATGTACATCAGTTCAGGTTGCTATAGCACATTAGCACACAGATGTAATTGTCAATTCAAATCCAATAGTAGTAGAGGTAGTAAAAGGATTAGAAGTAATCGGAGAGGTTAGGATTAGAAGATATTATTCAAGAAGTATGATTTAGTGAGAAAAGTTTAGAAAGTCAAAACTAGAGGTGTTGAAGAACTCAGAAGATTAGGATTTGAGAGAACACAAAGAATAAATGCAACGGCGCCATTGCGAACGATTTTGAGCCATGTCATTCAAGGTCTCTAACGATCGATTATTATCATCCCGCGGACCCCGACCAGGTAGTCGACAATTGCCGACATGGCTAAGTCCACTCGTCAATGACTTCATGAATTTCTGCCATGTTTTGGTCTGGCCGCCCCTAGCTTTCATCCAACCTATTCCTACAGAGCAAAATATAGCTCGACGAGTCAGTCGGTGGTTAGGCATACGCAACATATGTCCCAACCACCTCAACTGATGAAGTGTCACTACTGCGTCTATTGATCTGCCATTCTTACCTAGCACCTGTTTCCTAATAACAGCGTTTCTCACTCGGGTGTCCCAGGATATACGAGCAATGCTTCGAAGACATCTTTGATTGAAAACTAGTAACCTACGAATATCTTCTACTCTCACTGGCCATGTTTCACAGCCATAAAGTAAGACGGAGCGAACCACCGCGCAGTACACTCGTCGTTTAGTCAGCAAACGGATATCTCGCCTGTGCCATAAGTGACGCAGGTTGGCAAAAGCCAATCGAGCCTTCTGTATCCGAGCTGAGATTTCGTCAGTCACCAGACTATCAGTACTGATGAGACTCCCAAGATAAGTGAAGCGGTCTACACGCTCGACTACTTCACTCCCTATCACCAGTTCAGGTGCCGGTGCAACCCAGTCTTGAAGCAACATTTTGCATTTCGACGGGGAAAACCGCATCCCGAACATGCTTGCATTGTTGCTCAGGGTAGTCAGAAGACTGCATATTGTCAGCGTCTTCACCAAGTAGGACAATGTCATCGGCATATTCTAAGTCAATAAGCAAGGTCGCCAGATGCTTCTCCTTATGCTTAAGTTAATGTTTGCTAAGAATACTTGATACTTGCAACAGACGGTCATCATTGTCTGTTCTCTGAGCCGCGACACCATAACATTCACACAGGTGTCTTTCATTCTCACTTAGTCTACCTACTTGAGCATTAAGGTCTCCAGCTAGTATTAGTATGTCAGAGTGCCTAGCTTTTTGGAGGAGGTCCGAAAGCTTTCTGTAAAACTCATCTTTAACCTCGTCTGAACTGCAGTTAGTGGGGGCATAGGCAGATATGACGAAGACGCAACGACGGGTACCCCCCTTTCCGAGTCCTTACTAACCCATTTAGTCGGACAGCACACAAGCGACTATCTACTGGGATCCAGTCAAGGAGAGATTGTTCAGCTCTACGACTCAATGCTATGCCCACGCCAGCAAGACCCCTGGATGCAGCACCAGTGCTACCGGATACATGAAGATTAAATCGAGCAGCTTCTTTATTTTGACAAGGTGAAATCAGATTATTAATTTTACTACCATCTTGTATGCGCGTTTCCGAGACACAGCATACATCGATGGCACGAGATTCTAATGTCCTAGATAATGATACCTATTGCCCTATTTGACACAATGTCCGTACATTAAATGCTCCAACAGGTAGTCTAGAACGGGGTTTAAGGAGACCAGGAATGACGTTTCGCGAACTCGTGTCGTCTGCATTAGCTGTGCACTGTGATAAATGAATGTGAGAAGAGTTAGTTGTGGAGATAGAGGTATTAGGGGGTGTAGGAAGGATTGGATTTCGACCAATTTAGTCTCGTGTGCTGTTACGGGTATGAGGGCGGTTGTCACTTCCCGGGTGCCCACACCGTGGAAGGTTGTTTCTTGAGGGACCTGAGAAGGAAGATAGATTAGTGTTGGTCTTAGAGACCTGGGTGCGTGACCGCAGAGCCCAAGGGTCAACTGCTTGAGGCCGGTCACGCACGGCCTTTTGATGGAAGGGTTTGAGTATTAACTCCGCTCTTAAAAGCCTCTTAAAAGCACTCTTACCGTCGGAGACGAAAATCCGTGAAGTATGGTGAGGTGTGACATTCTTAGGGTCAATGTTTTCTAATCCTTCCTTCCTTGTGAGAAGGCAGCATTGCTGCAGATGCTGGTTGTCCGAGGGAAACACCTTACTGCTGTCACACCTCTCTGCAGTCAGCAGTACGACCGCCCTCAGAACTTGAGTTGCTGATTTTAGTCTAATCGCTTTCCAGTCGTTCTCCAATCGACCTGCCTGACATGGTAGAACCTTCAGGAATATATGTTCCAGCCAGTATAGCTCGGTTGGGTCATCACGATAGGCAAGCCCGACCACCACGTCAAGGTAGCAGCTACGGCCGGGTAGTATTTTTCTACGTTAATGCGGCATTTGTCCTTGTTGATCGTGAGGTTCTATGGCTGTGTCCGTAAATGAAAAATGTACCAAGAAAGCACATTAACCTTATACAAGCCCTCTACTCGAACACTACTGTTCGAGTGAAAGCTTACGGCGAACTGTCATCGGGATCCATTATTTCAAGTGTTTATTCTTGCTTAACTTTTTCTTGGTAATGCTTTTGGAACTAACATTATGTTCATCTGACTTTTAAGTGGTGAACTTTCTACCAGGAGACTTGTATGTTGGCTTAGAGTATGCCTACGACACAGTTCTGCGCAACATGCAAGCATGTTGTGGATATGACTTCCTCTATTCAAATGCCAAATGTTGTGTTTAAATCGGTTTCCATCGGCACCTGATCTAATGATAGCGAGCAAAGCGGTTGAGCGTCGTCCGCTCCATTTATTTCAGGAGTCTGGCCTGGTGTAACGAGATATCAACATGGAGACAGAGGGATCGAATGGCTTTCGCCAAATTGCATCACTTATTTCATAAGCGAGATATGCGTTTGCTAACCAAAAGACGTGTACTGCGCAGTTTACTTCGTATTTCCATACGTGTGTGAAACACAGCCAGTAAGAGTATAAGATACTTTAAGTTATTGGCATTCGACCATGGGGGTCTTCGAAGCTTTGTTCATATATCCTGAGACCACTGAGTAAACAATGCTGTTGTTGGGAAAAGGGCACTGGGTACAGATGGCAGATCAATAGATGAAATAGTGCGACATCATCAGTTTAGACGTGTTAGGAATGCCCAAACGCCGACTGCAGTGGCTATAATGCCTGATCAGCTGGAAATCTAGGGGCGGACAGACCAAAACATAGAACGAATTCATGAAGCCACTGACAACTGGATTGAGCCGTGTTGATAGTTGTAGACTACCTGGTTGGAAGTTCGCGAGATCCTCATTACTGTCTTTTATTTTACCGAATACTGTCTTCGAACCCTAATTTTATCCACTACCGTTATGCCTTTATTGTGGGATTCGGATTGATAGTTCGATATCTCAGGGCATGAGTCGACTATCAAGGCTCCATCAAATCGACGTCTAATCGCTAACCGATCCAAAGCTACTTAAGATAGCTTCACCGGTTTCATTAATTATCCACGGAAAAGTCAAATTTCGACTAGTCAGGTACGCATACTCATTAATCTACATTTGGTTGGCTAACTGTATTGATTACCCTCCTTTCAAAGAAACAGAGCTATATCATTTTCTCAATCTTCAGGCCAAAAATTTCACTGTTTTCGTGAAATAGAATGATTCCGAAGTTTTGGTATTAATGACTAGAGGAATGAATTTTTACGTTTTCATTGTTCATTCATAATTGATGACAGTATTAACGATTAGTGGGTTAAAAGTGAAAGCAAACAATAAAAACAAGACAAACATATATTTTAATTAGTTGTGAAAATAAAAACCAAGTTCTCGTATGGTCAGCATCAAAGAACAGCAGCACAGATAGCTATCAATGAACAAACGAATCCACAAGCGAAGTCCTAAACTTTATTCACCTGAAACTAAAAACAAAGATAATTAGTATACAGTGACAAGGCAGGTTGGATCGAAAACACGAAGGACAACAGATAACATACTTAAAGTATTATGGGGTTCTAGTCCTGTAGCGACAATCGGACATTTTTGATCAGTAGCTTTTGAGGCGTTCTCCTCGACATTACACGGGACCAAAATTTCTTCCATTTTTAATCCATTCACTAACTATAATCAAGAAAATTATATACCGATGACGAAATTAAAAATACAGAACATTTGCCAAGTGTCGAAGGTCAATGTAAAGGTAAAATTTTACTGTCTGATCAGAAACATCTACACAGGAACAATAACCCACGAGGAATCCGTTTGAATATTTTACTGATTCCTATTTCTGAAGTAAATGTATTCATTACGTCCAGCTTTCTTAAAAAACCCAATAATTACTGAAATTCCAATCCGATTAGCTATCCATCATATAATATACAATACAGGGTAATCTTGAAAGACTTGCCTTCGTTTGTTAGGTATAGGACGGTTTATGTATCCTCAAGATGTTATTAAGTGAAATATAGTTAGTAAAGTTTACTAATCTAAAACGAATCAAGTCGATTGTCAAAGTAAAGTGATTGTAAGGATGACGTGACGGGAAAGAAAGAGCGACCTATTGAAGACAATACCTATAGTTTGGAATAGAAAGCAATACCTAGTTATATGATTTAAAATCCAAGTACTATCACTACAATGACAATGGAATTTCTTCTATACTACCGGTGGATACACCACAACTACAACTATGAAACATCAGCTACCTGACTAAACAAAAAATAGGAGGATTAAAGCACTTTTTTTACACTTACACATTCTGAACCATCGGAATTAGCGCTTGTAATCATAGCACTTTGTTCACACACATTTTTGACAGTGACAGGATCAGTTTCAACAACCTGAGTTACATTCCCTTCCTGCAATAAAATTAATTGGCATAAATGTAATGACTACTAGAAAGAAGAACCTTACATTTAGTGAATCAGATGGTATTAGATCATTTTTACATAAATCTGAAGATTTGGTTTTCCTTGTAGATATGACGGATTCCTTGTTACTGGTCACTGAACAAGGTGACAACGAACGCTTGGGTTTAGATGACTCGTTGGCAGAGTGACGAATATAAAAACGACTGGAAGCTTGTCGAAGTGCTGACCGACAGGCATCAAGAACAGAAGCCTGCTGTTCCAAGACACGAGCTAAAGAATCGACTTTGTCTCGCTCATCTCTGTATCGCCGTCGGTATTCCTCCATACTTGAAGCAGTTTTTGACAACTTATCTTTGAGTTCTGAAAAGTCCACGACAGACGCACGAAGTCGGGCTATAAAAAGATTCAAAAAAAAAATTAAATACCCATATGACATCTTTTCAGTAAGATATACGTAGAACCTGATATATATGAATCAACTAAACCTACAACATTAAGCGGACACTGAAAGAATTATCAAGATACATCTAAGAATAGTTGAATCAGCAGTCGTGGACCAAAAAAGCTAGGAAAATATGTATACAGAGACCTTACGAGAATCAGGATACGAGGAAACATAAAGAAAGGATGCGTCTGAATCATTGAGAACGATCCCGAGCTACGCTTACCATGCATTAAAATGGAGGAGAATGCATCCCAAACATGCTAGGCACTGTTTCTCAAGTCGAACAGAAGACTGCATTTTCATCAAACAGACATGTCATCAGATCAATATAAGTCAATAAGCGAACCTACTGAAAGGAGACCGGATCACGAAAAGGTAATTGAAGAAATTACTAACTTTAGGGTACATAAGTAGCAAGGTTAAATAGAAATGGTAATACTGAGCTCGACAAACAGTGCCTAAGCAGAGAACCTTAATGAAGTCTTTACAGTTCTTTGGTAAATTTTCCAAAAGCAAACACTCCCCAAACCTAGAGATTTACGCTGTCGTGCGATGCCTTAAGGTTGAGAAATACAACTATGGTCAGGAGTCAGTTTTCTGAAATCTGGCGAAGGGTTAATGTTTGGTATAAGTGAATTTCACGTTTTTGTCTGAACCAGCTGGGTTTGGTGACTACCAAACCCCTATTGCATTACTGTTGGGGTCAATATTTTAGAGACTGTCAATTATGCAGATTCCGGTGATAATTGTAATAGGATTTTTATACGCCGCAACGATCGATAGCAGTCAAGTATAACTAAGTATAGTTACAAGACCAGTTAAGATTTCAGGTAATCTAATAATTATGATTGGGCTACCATCCTTCAAGATTTCTGGAATCATTCATCAAAGCTTACTGCTGTATCTTACCATTGATTAGCTATGGCTTATCTATAAGAATTAAGAGTTTTGTGATTAGACCTCTTTCATGTTGGTTGGTATGATTATGCAGCAAAATGGTTCTCCTCTGTTTCATTTTCCCAGTTTTATCTGATCCTTAGTCATACTATTTTGTAATCATTACGTAAATTACGTAACGTCCTCTCCAAGAATATTCATATTAATTACTTAAATATTCTACCATTTGAACCTTTTTTACAATTCTTCCATATTTATTACAACTTCATTAATACTTATAGATGACATTTTTTCTGATATTATGATATAAAGTGTGGACTGATTTGTATGCTGCTGATGAGAAACAATGAAATCAAATGAATTTGTCTTGTTCTGCTACGTTTTTCATTCATGCTCTAATTAAACTGAAGGGTAGAAGGAGAGCAACTAAAATGTCATTTATAGTATTCTGTTCATCGTTTTAATCTCCTCGGATGAGCGGATTATTGTCCTATCCTTTTTTAGAAATAGTCTTGATAATCACGATTTTAAGAAATCTATTTCTTTAATATATCCGAATAGTTTTCCAGTGTTGCATATCGCCTTCACACTTTTTTTATTTCCTTTGAATTATAAGCCGATTACTGGTCACAATCAATGTGTAGACTTTTTTTGAAGTATAGGTTTAATTTGCCTTCACTTTTTATCGTGATGACAGTTTGAGTTGATTAATAGGTGAGAATAGACGGCAAAGGTTTTTAGAGTTCTAGGAGACGAAGCCTGTTAACAAAAGGTCAAAACCTTAGGAGTCCCAAGATGGTCAGTCACAAGTGACTGACTGACCAACACGCACTACAGAGAGCATTTTCAAGAGGACAGGAGAAATATCTCACGGACTCAAATATCTAGGATTGTCAGAACATAAAGAGGAATTCATAGGAGAAGGGTTGGTGGTCAGCATAGAACCGACATGTTAGTGGACAAAATTATTTTTATTGCTGTTAAAGATATTTATCAATTAGATAGATTGTACCGAAATCTACTGATTTTTCTTAAACTTGTTGGAATCACTGACAGATATTCAAACACATTTAGTGACTAAACATGTGCTGCAAACCGAGTAGCAGTCTTTTATTGAGCATTTCCATGGATTAGTGGAGACACAATTACAGCCAGTAATGTCGCATCTCTACTGATTTCGGTTTTACGGATGGTGGAGCTTAAAAGTACGTGTTAAGACTAATATTATTCCATTGTATTACTACAATATGCGTGCCCGATTACTACGTAAAATTGGCAGCTACGATTATTAAATAACACAACTATTACAATAAGTGGTATGAATAACAAAGAGAAAGTAACAAATACATATATTTTAAACTACAATAATAGAGACATACCAATCTCCTGCTCTTGAAGTCGGATCTGAGTCATCAGTTTACAATGTTCCCGTTCTGATGTTCTGATATGATAGAGATATTCTTCGGGATGCGTTGCCTGAGAACTAGCTGACTCATCAGACTTTTGAAATACAATAATGCTAAAAGTAAAGCGACATGTAGGTAAAAACATTACGTAGTGAAAACACAAACCAGTGCACAATAGTGAATAAATCAATAACAGAAATATATCGTTTGATGAGTTTGTATATAGTATGCTTGTTGGAAATTTACAAATTCCAAAAGGTAAAGATTTATCAAAATAAACTAACATAAGCTACTATCAATAACTAACCTTCCGCTAGGTTGCGTATCTATTTGGTCGTCTAAAATGGCATCTCCTCCACGTACAAGTTCCAGCAAATATTCATCATCATCAATATCGGAGAATATAACAGATGATTTATTTGCTAAAGAAAGGGGCTCTTCCGAATCCGTCAAAGAACGATAATGGAAACGACCATGATCAAGTACTTTGTATATGAGAGACCGAAGCTAAATAAGAAAAACAGTATTGCTTTGTGAATATCTGTGGTTTAAGAAGTGAGTACTAAAGCCAAGAAGACTAAATGGAAAGTTGTACCTCGAAGTAAATTCTCGCAGCTGAAAGGTGATACGCTGAATCAATCAGTTATGCTAGTTGAAAGCTAAATGATGGACAAGAGATGCTAATAACTGGATGTTACCGGTCCAGGTTTGACTATGTAGGGAAATAGATAAATGCTATGAAATGGAGATGAGCTACCTTTTTTGAAGTATACCCATATTTTTAAGAATGAGTCTGAACATATATTCGATTAAGGTTGGTTATAAAAGCTTCCTACACATTTTTTTTCATTCAAGTAACAAGTTGAGTAACAAAACTGGACTGTCACAGAAAAGTTTAAATAGCATAATACAACATTACAAAATATACAAAAATGATGATGTCAGCATTGACTTTCAAGAAAGTTGAAAAGAACTAGCAAGTCATCATTAAAATACATGAGATAACAAAAATGTATCACACAAGTTCAAAATCAAATGATAATATTTTTTATACACATAGACAGAGAAAAATTAGCTTTTTTCCATGGAATACCTTATTAAAATGGATCAGGAAATGCTCAATAAACACAGTTGACTGTAAAATACTGCAACTACGTACCCTTGCATTCTCAAGTGAGGTGAAATCAGATATTTATCGGTTATGGAAAGAGCATAACAAACAGGCTTGTCAAGGAATAATAATACTAAGATAATAAATGCAGCATAAATAAAAAAAGTTAACGATAACCGTGTCAAACGAAACATAAGAACGACAGTTTACCTGGTATCGGGAGATAGGTAACCCCAATGATAGAATGAAATCTTCAACTTCTGAAGAAAGAAAATAACTCTTATAGCTTGTATCCAGTACTGTGCACGCAAAGAGTAAAGACAAATCCGTTGTAAACAATGGGATTTCCTTAAATTCTTCATCTTTTGCAATAGATGTTCTTTCATTGCGTTCTAAACGAGCGCGTTTAGCTGCGTAATCTGGTTCACTAATAAGACAGAAATTAAAAATGCGATTGTTGGAAGATCTCAAACACGTAAACACAACGAAGTATAATACAACAGTAAGAGATAAAGGCAAAATAATTAAGAATTCGTGCAAACCTCGATGAATGTATAAAGGGAGGTAATACACAACATAAACTATAAAAAAGGATAAATAAATTACGATTTTAAAAATACCTGCGTTTTCTAGGTTTTGCGCAAATTCCTCTATCTGCAGCCGTAACAAGGGCACGAAACAAAGTGAATACGGAATCTCTGCGAATCATGTCGAAAATTGTGTGGATACAGAACATGAATTCATACGATCTACAGTCCATAAAATCAGATTTCGAATCCATAACAACCTTTAAAATTAACAATTGGAGAAGTAAATAAGAAGTGGAATAAGTCCAAGACATATAGGCTGTTAATTCTACTTACGTTTCTCAAATAAAAGAATTACCGAAAGTAACCTGTGGTGTGATTCAAGAAATATTAAAGACAGATTAAACGATTTGGAAGGTAGAATGATGCAACGTGCATACAAGCATGAGTACTCTGGAAATAATTTAAAAAATCGAAAAGAGAAAGGAGCATCGACGGTTAAAGTCAATCAGCTACGTTTACAACTATGGGGTAATTCCATCTTTCAGCGCAAATGTGGTATGGCCACTTAAATTGATCCCGACTGTAGCTGCTACCTTGACATGGTGATCAGGGTTGTTTACCATGATAACGCGACCGAGCAATATAGGCTGAAACATATTTTCCTGTAGGTTCTACCATGCCAGGCAGGTTGATTTGAGAACAGTTAGACTAAAGGTAGCATCTTAAAGTCTGATAGCGAAGTACTGCTGACTGTAGAAAGGCGTGACAACAATGTGTTTTCCGCAGACAACCAGCTTTGCCGCGATGCTGTCTTCTCAGAAGGAAACAACGGTCTTAAACCACATGTTGGAGCTTATACGAAATAGGACATGCGCCCGTAGCTAGAGCTCGACAATCTCGTGCCGTCGACGTAAGCTGCATCTCCGAAGAATGCACAAAGGATCAGGGTAAAACCATTCATTTGATCTCACTTTATTATGATAAAGAACCAACTAAATTTAAAATTTGTGTATTTGGAAACAGCTATCTGCTGACAAAAAGTAGTATTTTTACAACCTTGAGGATCAGTTTGCTTTGTCCTACCATACGCGTGTGAAACATGGCCAGTAGGAGTAGAGAAAATTCGTAGATTATTGGTAATTAGCCATAAGGGTCGTCGAAGCATTGTTCTTGTTTCCTAAAGACAAAATAGCTTACTTGGTTATCCCAGGATATATGAACAATGCTTCAAAGACCCCTATAATCGAAAATCAGCAACCTAATAATGTCTTGTACTCTTACTGGCCATGTATGACAGACATATAGTAGAACGAAGCGAACTGCTGCACAGTACACTCGTCCTTTTGTTGGCAAACGCGCCTACGCCATAAGTGACGCAGGTTGGCAAAAGCCAATCCAGCTTCTTGTATCCGTGCTGAGACTTTATCAGTCACCAGGTCATCAGCACTGATGAGACTTTCAACTACTTCACTCCCTTTCACTAGTTCAGGTGCCGAAGCAACGTAATCCTGAAGCAACATTTTGCACTTGGAGGGGGGAAAACCGCATCCCGAACATGCTTGCATTATTGTTTAGGGTAGTCAGGAGAATCTGCGTTTTGTCAGCGTATTCACCACGTAGAACTATGTCGTCGGCATCTTCTACGTCAACCACTGAATCTCCTGATAGGCAATATTGTATATAAAAGAAAGTCTATGACAAAAATATGCAAGAATGGAGAAAGTGAACATCCCTGACGGACACCTCTTGATACAGGGGTAGGGTGGAGGAAAGTTAAGGGCGGCCAGACCAGAACATAGAACGAATTCATGAAGCCTCTGACAACTGGACTGAGCCGTGTTGATAGTTGTAGACTACCTGGTTGGAAGTTCGCGAGATGATAGTAACTGATAGTTAGAGACCTTAAACGACATGGCTCAAAATCGTTCACAGGGCACAGATGCATCCATTCTTTGGCTGCTCTCAAATTCAATTCTGAAATCCTCATTACTGTCTTTTATTTTACCGAATACTGTCTTCAAACCCTAATCTTATCCACTACCGCTATACTTTTACTGTGGGATTTGGATTGATAATCCGAAATCTCTGTACTAATATGGTAGGGCAACGTGAACTGGAAGACATTAACTCTTCAGTCAGTCAGTTACGACGTAGAACTGTACTAATATGGTAGGGCAACGTGAAATGGAAGACATTAACTCTTCAGTCAGTCAGTTACGACGTAGAACTTCGTACGTAAGTACATCAGTTCAGGTTGCTATACCACAACTTCGACTGTTCATCATAATTGTTTCTTAGTGTTGCAGAGGAATGTAAAAATATTCACTTACATCCAGCCCAACTGACTGCACTGTAAAGTCGACATTTTGTTTGCGTAGAATGATTATCGAAGGGAGATCGCGAAGAGTCACTTTAGGTGCATCAGTCTTAGGTTTTGATCCAGACTCTGCATTTGAAGGTCTTAGTTGCTCCTCCGAGATTTGAGGTGATTTATCAATACTAACTGATAGAAATGATTTGTCCTGCTCCATTTCTGAAAGTATAAATTAGGAAGATGTATAAACTTAGGTGATAAGCAACTATAATTAGATCAAAACCAATATTTATCTGAGAAATAATTTACTTTCTTTTTCAGCCTTCTTAGCAGATTCTTTTTCTTCTTCTTCTTGAATAGCTGTTTTGAGACGTGTCAATAGCTGAGCTCTAACTCCATCTGTAGGCAAACTACGAGCCTTCAATTGTTCACGCAGTTCAAAAACCTAGGAAAATTGAAAAATATTAACATTCAATGACTTCATGTATTTATATCTCAGTATACAATGGTGTACAAAAAATATGCCGTACAAATACAGTGAAAATGTGATGCAAATGGAGTGGCATCATCAACAAATAACAAGGAAGAATTTATTTACTTAACGAAAATAACAGTAGGATCTGCACTGGCTTTTTATTGAAATACAGTTATGGAAATGATAAGACCCAAACAGATGCCAATTCTATGTATTTATCTTTTGTCACAGATATACACCACATACTAGAAGTCCCTAGAATAACATCTATGTAATTCAATCAAGGTGGCGAAGTGAACCTAATATGTAATTCCAAATGGTCTAAAAGTATATACTGATCATGGATATTACTAACAAAGTGTTGCTAAATAACAAAAACAAACCTTTGAAGACGACGACTGATCACAGAAAGTGGTTTGATTATCCCAGGCAAAGAACGGCCAAGATTTATTGAAGAATTTAGTGAGTTTCTTTAACCTTTTCGATTAAGCCACCGGTAGATATCACAGCTGCTTTGCCAACTTACTTCGGCGTTAGTAACATTTTCAGGGTTAAAAAACAGACTTTTTCGTTGTTCTTGATAGTCTTGTGGTTCCTATTATTTAGGCAGTGGCTAAAGTTATCTAAATGGAGGCTCAATTCACAAAATATTCCAGATAGTTTAAACGGTTGTTTAAAAGAGCGCCTAGGTCCAAAGTAAGCCTGAGTAGTTGAAATTTCAAAGACTTGTCAGCTGAAGCGTTGCTGACTTGGAAAACCCCAGCTATACAGACGTTCTAAGTTCTCGAAATACGTCTGGGAGTTACTAGTCAGTGTAGTATCCATTTAGAAGTTTGCTTCACTGACATCCGACCTTTAAAATCCCAGTAGTTTGGATGAGTTGAAACATCATTTGTCAGTAACTAGGTGCAGCAGAATTTGATCTTTATTTCAACTGATGTCCACTCTCTTCATTCTTGTTTAAATTTGTCGTGGAGATGCTCCAAGATATAACATTATCTTCGTTTGACTTTTCAGGTGTCGACCTTCTACCAGAAGACATGCTTGCTCACTTAGAGTATGCTGATGACATAGTTCTACGTGGTGAATACGCTGACAAAACGCAGATTCTCCTGACTACCCTAAACAATAATGCAAGCATGTTCGGGATGCGGTTTTCCCCCCTCCAAGTGCAAAATGTTGCTTCAGGATTACGTTGCTTCGGCACCTGAACTAGTGAAAGGGAGTGAAGTAGTTGAAAGTCTCATCAGTGCTGATGACCTGGTGACTGATAAAGTCTCAGCACGGATACAAGAAGCTGGATTGGCTTTTGCCAACCTGCGTCACTTATGGCGTAGGCGCGTTTGCCAACAAAAGGACGAGTGTACTGTGCAGCAGTTCGCTTCGTTCTACTATATGTCTGTCATACATGGCCAGTAAGAGTACAAGACATTATTAGGTTGCTGATTTTCGATTATAGGGGTCTTTGAAGCATTGTTCATATATCCTGGGAAAACCAAGTAAGCAATGTTGTCGCGAGCTATATTTGTGGTGTAGGTTGGAAGAAAGCTAAGGGCGGCCAAACCAAAAGATGGCACAAATCCATGAAATCACTGACAATCGCACTGAGTCATGTTGGTAGATGTAGGCTGCCTGGTTGCGGCTCGCGAGACGAAAGCCACCGACGGCTAGAGACCTTGAACGACAGGCTCAAGATCATTTGCAATGGGGCAGGTGCAACCACTCTTTGTATTCTCTCAAATTCTAGCCTTCTGAATTCCCCATCGCCTTTATCTTTCTAAAGTTACCTCACTGAACTTATATCTAATATCTTCGATCCCTAAGGTTGTCGATTACTACTTCTACTACCTCTTTCACTTTGGGATTTGATTTTAGTGGCGTCCCTGTACTAATGCGGTAGGGCAAACTGGACTGACGTACGTACGTACGAAGTTCTGCGTTGTAATTGACTGACTAATTTCCATGTAATATACAAGACACTTGATAGAAGCAGAGTATGAATGATATGAAGTTTTGGACAGGTTGACTGAGTATTTTGAAAAAAGATATTTGATTTGTCATCAAGTTTAATATACACAAAGTAGCTGCAAAACCCACTCGATAAATTCAGAGAAACGATATTTTAAGTGAAGCAAATTAACATCAGTACTTCAAGGGAAAATAGTTTACACGAACGCCTATGCGCAAGTAATGCTCCAAAACACTATAATGACAACAAAAAATGGAAATGAAAATGCTTACCTTCATGTTAGCTAGGTTGAGTTCAGTATGAAGCTTTTTCTGGCACTTTTCAGTCCCCTGTGAGTGATAAAACAGAAAAATAGATTAATTTCTATAATACATTGATACAGTATTTTACATTAACCTCATGATCGTAAATAAATTAGACTTTATATGCAAATAAAATGACTAAATGCTAGACATATTGTAGGAACATAATATGACAACAGTAAGTTAGGTAGCAACCTCCTGATTTGAATTTCCTTGAATTGATAAATCCACAGATTCGCACCCATCCTCTGTTTCAGGAATATCTGCCATCTTTGTCATATTTTCCTGACCAGCCAAATACGGAGTAGAGCGATAGCATTCATTAGGTACTTGAAAGGTTGATTTGTTGCCTTCATCCATTTTAGACAAATTAGCATCTTCATGTACATTGTCTTGATTAGGGGATCTGAGTGAATTTGAATCCATTTCAATAACCACCTTCGATTTCCCATCGCCAGTTTCCTTAGCAGAATCTAAACCAGAAAACGTCTTCAAATTGGAAGGACTCATTGGGAAGATATGAGGTTCTTTGGAAGCCAGGATATTTTCATAAGCCAGCTTTATTGTTGACCATTCTTCGTCTGCAGGCATGAGTGACCAAACATTTGGGATAAAATACACAACGATTTGATGAAACGGTTTGCTTGGAGGAATTGTATCGGACTCAGAAGATTCTGTGACGGGTCGACCCCATAGTTGAGAACCAGGAAATAAGACTGAGGTTGGTTGGGCAGTTGAACCTTCGGTACGGCTATAACGAAACTCCAAGAAACGATGCCTGGGGAAAGTGGATAGGATGATAACAACAGTAAACGCGACGTTGATCAAAGGGACGCGTAAGATCCATATTGTTTGATATTTGCATATAAACAATAAAAGGACAGTTAAAAAAATAGATAATTTATTAACTATGCAATGAGATTGTGAAAAAAAATTAGGATTAATTTAAAATCGATGGCGCTATATTGCGCACTTATGACCTGACTGTGTGGTTTATTAATGGGTAAACTCGAAGTTAAAATATCAGGAACTGAGAAATTAGTACTTCGTAAATATGGATTTATTCACTATGGAAACTTTTTCGAATTCTGTATAAAGACTGAAAAAAGGTTTTACAAAAATAAAACAAGTGAATGTGAAGACAGCTAGCTTAGTCCACATACTCGTTTAGACATATGGATAAGTAGTCAGGTGGATGATATATTTTATCAGTACTAAAATTAATGTTGAGTAAGGACGTTAGATTCAAGAGTTACACTTCTATAATTGTTCAAGAACTGTGTAAAACGAGAGATCAGATTAGAAATTAAAATAGAGTAACATACCACTGTGTGCAATACGATAAATCGAGACCGATAAGCTGTTTACAAGTACGAATGACCGTGTTAACAAGCGTTTGCGGATTTGTAGCTGGGTCTGGTCCGTCTAAATCCCGACTCCACGAACCCCCAATAGCCTTGAGTCTTTCGTCAACTTTTCCAGCAGCCAGTATCTTGATGTACTTACGTAATGAGCCACGAACACGACTGGGAGACTCTGCACGGACAACTATCTTTTCCATCAGTTCTGCCATTGCCGGGAGCGATAAAAGTAAAACATAAGCAGCAAAACCACTATCATTGTTGTAAGGTTGATGTATTTCTTCACAAGTGTCTTCGGGTTCTTTGATTATCTATATAATATAAATTGAATACTTTTATCAAATAATGTATTTGGAACAAAAAACAGAATGGAAACAGGTGTTTTAATCTCGATTATATTCAATTGCCATGAAACTCGTTGTAGTATGACATATCCACACAAACAAAACCGCTATATTTTAAACTGATTTTAGGATTTATATGTCTGGCAACAAAGCATCAACGTGGTGAGGTGTGCCTTTTTAGGGCTGACCGTTTATTACCTCTTCCATACACTGTGAGGGAAACACCTTACTGCTGTCATACCCGTCTGCAGTCAGCAGTACGACTTCGCCCTCAGACCTTAAGTTGCTGCTTTTAGTCTTACCGTCCTCCTATCAACCTGCTTGGCATAGAACCTACAAGAACATATGTTCTAGCCAATATCGCTCGGTTGGGTAATCACAACAGGAAAATCAAACAACCACGTCAAGGTAGCAGCTACAGTCGAGGCACCTTAAATGGCTTACGCATTGCGAAAGTAGCCGGAAATTCCAGAGGTTATAAAAATAGTATATTTAACTGAACGAAATTCGGCGCAAAGGGACATCAATATATGTGAGCACCACACAATAAGAGAATGAGGTTGTGGAGATAGTGAAAGGAAGGTATCGTAAAAAAAAATCAAAATGAAAAAAACTAAGAACAATGAGAGTAGCTCCACTCAGAAAAACACAAAGAGAAAAAGTAGTGTTATTTATAAGAAGAAAATCACAACTGAGCTGCCAGTAGCTTTGATTCTGAACCATGTCCCACAACGAATCTCAAAACATTGCTACACCATTTTTAGGATCCCAACCATAAAGTCATGAACAGAAGTCAGTCCTGCAGTTTTTTTTGATACCACAACGCCATGTCGTAAACTGATTTATTCCAACCAGTTCCACGGTCGGCATATAATGCACGATGTTGAACTCGCTAGAACGAAACAGGTAATACATGTTCTAACCATCGAAGTCGTTGATAACAATTTAATTACCGTTGCTGTGCCCGAACACGCATTGCCTGACCTCTACACCACTAACACCCTGTTGTCATTGAATGTCAGCCACCCTATGGAGACAACGATGGCATAACACAGGAAGTTGCCTAAACAGACTCAACTCAGAGGCCAGGTTCCAAAAGTATGGAGCAAGACCGCTCTCACCGATAGATTGCTGGTCCGAACCTTTACAGCCAGATTAACATTATTAGGGTGTAATGATGGCACCGACTGGTATAAGCCGATCCGGTTTTATATTAAACATGTGGACACTGATTGCCAACGTATCAAGTTCGGATTGCATGGCTTGTAGTGTAATCGCACATAAGACGATATCATATGCATAGTCCAAGTCACAAGTCCACACCACCATTACTGACATTAATCAGCGCAGTTTTCAGAACTGCACAAGGGCAGAACACTTCAGGGATCAGTTCAATTGGCCTTCAGCCACACTTCGGTTACCCACGATCTGCAGTCATCCTGAATGGCAAATCTACGTAAGCCCTCAGAATATTTATGAAGTTGATTAAGCTATAGGAAATCTGAAGCGAGAGAGCAGTGGGTCCTGATAGACTGACTCCTGAGATTTCTAAGGATGGTGCCTCAATTATCCTTAGATGCCTGTGGCTCGTGAAGAGCGGACTAGAGGAAACCAGGCTGGTTTCAGACCTGGATGTGGAATCATAGACCACATTTTCACAATACGACAGGTTCTGGAATACAGACACATTTAGGTGCCGACAATAGTGGTCGTCCTGGACATTAACGCGGCAGCTGACTCTGCTGATCGTGAGGTTCTGTGGCAGTGCCTGTCATTAAAAGGTGTACCAAGCTCTCTATTCGAACACTACAAAGCAAGTGAGACCTTATGGCGAACTGTCATCGGAATTCTTTACTTCAAATGGTGTCCACTCTCCCCTTCTTGTTCAATTTTGCCATACACATCTCCTTCTACCAGAAGGCTTGCTTATCGACTTAGAATATGCTCTTCCTAACTTTATCTCACTGAATTTTACCCTAATCTCCATTACTACTAATACTTCTACTACCACTACAGCTATTGGTTTTGACCTGACAGTTGCGTCTCTGTGCTAATGCGGTATGGCAACCTGAACTGATGTACATACGTACGAAGTTCTGTATTGTATCCGTCTGTCATTCAGAACACCTGCTTAACCACCGCCTGAGAGGCGTTTGTATGCTCTCACTCTTAGATGCTTGTATATAAAGCCTGTAATGTTTTATTGAACGCCCCAGGCACACCCTCCTTCAACAAGCGACCTCCAAGAGCAGTTCCGTCCAAAAATATAAGTCGGCCCTGGTGTTAAGAAACTGTTGGCCCACAATAATCATAGCTGTGTCCTGACATTTGGGGTGAGTCAAGATATGAACAATACATTTTCGACCAGAAAGAATCCCATCATGCTCCTCACGAGCTGATTCAATTGTATGTTTGCCTTTCCATAGTTGCTGCTTTGGTTATGTCAACCTTTTTAAAAATAGGCACGACTATAGCTGTATTTCAAGATGTTTGAACAATCTCCAACTGCCAAATGGTTGGAAGAAACTCCGTCAGTACGATATTCAGAAGGTCGGCACCATATTGAAAAGGGCCGACTGTAAATCTTCTAGGCGTGGCGACTCATGACACTACAAGAATTGGAGTGTTTTGCAGACTTCTGTTTCGTTAGGGTGGACCAGTCGTCAACAGTCATGGAGGACACAAAAGTCCCATCGACGTCGTCAGGGAGGAAAACCAGCTAAACTGTTCCTCGAAGAACTGTTTGTCATCTAAGACGTCGGCAGACCTTACTGATTGCTGACACAAGCTTCAAGAACTGCTTCACTTAAACCAGACTTCTTTGCTGCCAGTAGCTCGGATGAGTTGAAAGAGATTCCGGCAGTTACCAATGAAGTTGCTGCTTTCATCTTGGCCCCAAACACTAGGCTTTTTGATCCATACGAAAACTTTGCACATTTTCATTGCGTCTCAACGGAGGCTTATAAACGGGACGTTTCGCGAAGCTGCAGACGACTTTGTACATCAACTTCATGGCGTCATGCAAATGCAGCCAATGCTCATTCATGCTTTTCGGAGGGTTTATACTACCACTGAACATGGCTCAGTTCGATATCTGGTTATAACGGAAGCTGGAACCAATTTGCTTACACTGATAGCTTTAGGACGATGAATTTTTTGGTCAGTGTAACTTAGGACAAGATTAGCACAAACAAGGGCATGATCAGAGTCCAGATAGGTGCTCCAAGATGAACAGCAGTCTGGCACACAACCACACTAACAATAGATAGGCGTGATGTAATCAATCTGAGATCACGTTCGAGAGGCAGAGGGAGGACACCATGTAATACATTGCCGATGACTGTGTCGATAAACCGTGCAACAACCCTGTAAGTGCTTTATATGCTTCTTAGGACAGCATCATTCAACTACTTGTATTTACGCCTGTTAACCCCATAGAGTATAGACCGCCGACCAGTATTCTCCAACGTGCTCGGTCCTGGGCTACCCTTACCAGTTTTGTTCAACTTTTGTTCATTCTTCTTATGTATGTCTCCATTTCTAGGCGTAATTTGTTCCTTGGCATTCCTCTTCTCCTCCGACCTTGTGAGTGTCATTTTAGTTTACATTCACGGAATATAGCATCATCTCTTCTGGAACCAATATCTTTTGCTAACCTGCGCCCAATGTGTTCATTGATTCCAAGTACCCCCAGGTTATCATTTCTTTTAATAGCAACATGATTCGCTATCGCGGTCTCCCACAATGTCCTATCGTAGGTGAAAAGATACCTCAACTACGCCACGAGTGAACCAAATTGCTGAATAGCACTCGAGATATCGTCACACATCAGGCCATCAGCACTGATGAGATTCCCAGGAGAAGTGAACAGAGGACACGCTCAACTACTTCACTCCCTATCATTATATTCGATACCCACACAAGCTAATCCTGAATCAACATTTTGCATTTCCAAGGGGAGAATCGCATCCAGTACATACTTGTATTGTTGCTTAGGGTAATCAGGAGAAACTGCGTTTCGTCAGTCTTCACCAAGTAGAACTGTCATCGGCAGATTCTAAGTCAACCATTGAATTTCCAGATATGTTTATTCCTGAAAGTTCAGACGATGATTTTATTAGCTTTAAAAGCAAATCTACGACAAAGTCAAAGAGTGGAGAAAGTGGACATCCCTGACAGATAACATTTGAAGTAAGGAATTCAGAAGATAGTTCACCATAAGCTCTAACCCGACCTGTAGTGTTCGAGTAGAACTTGCATATAGTCGATGTGCTTCTTTGGTACACTTTTTCATGACAGACACGGCCATAGAACCAAATAAATGATAGAGTTAAATGCCACTTCAAGGTTGAGAAATACTAGCACTGTCGGGCGTCGGAACTTGTGTTTTTGTTCTAAGATTTGGCCTAGTGTGAATATTTGGTCTATATAGCAACGCCTAGGTCTTAATCCAGCCTGGTTTTCTCTAGTGTGCTCCTCACTAGCCGTCATTAAGAATCGGAGTAATATTGGGGCCAGTATTTTAGAAAAATTATTAGTTAGACTTATTCCTCTGTGATTGTCACTAGAGGACTTCCGTTCTTTCTTATGGGCTGGGACAATCAGTGATTACGCTCACACAGGTGTCTTTCCTTTTACTTAGCTTTCTTACTTGAGCATTCAAGTCACCAGTCATTATTACTACACCATACCGTCTAACTTTTTGGAGGCCCGAAATTTCTGCGTAAGAATCATCTAAACTGCAGTCACTGAGAGCGTAGGCAGATACAACGGCTAGTGTCCCTATCTTTGCGAGTCCTTACTGTCCCGTTCAGTCGGAGGGCGCATTTGCATGAAGTCTTCAGATTGTACGCCTGAATTATGTTCATCACGAACAAACAGATATTTGACAATAACCACGGTAGTTTATAATATTATGGTTTCTAATGGTTGAGTATAATATCAGTCTTTCAAAATTACACCGCAAAAAGCGATTTTATACCAAGGGTTTTGGTAGTAATAGTGCGTATCTTTAAAAGACAAGAAACTTGTAAATGTTAACTGAAGATTAGGATTCTACCATTAAACAACTAATTGTTCCAAGCACTAGTCAATATATGAAAGTAACAATTGCAGTTGGTAGTTAAGCATATCAATAAAAGGGCTGTAATTCCCACCTGAAAAGTTGTAAGGTACTGAGGCTGAAAAGGTCGTAGCAACGGAAAAGATTCCTGCCAATTGCATCTAACACGATATAAGTCAACCGGCGGAAGAATATTTGGGAAGCGCCTTTGTAGGTCTGAGAACAAATACTCTTTCACATTCAGCATACGTTTGGGGTTGATTGGGGTTCTACAATACAAATCAGACGTAGGGGAGGAATGGCGCGTTGTAACAGGATCCAAAGGGCTTCTCCTTCGTTCACGATTGGGAGACTTTTTGATTGAGTGGTCTTCTCTAACACAGATTATAGAAATCGAAAACAAAATACCTGTTTAAGGCATGAGAACGCTTTTTGTCAACTCGTCGGTCACCACTAGATGGATGAATATCTCGCTCACGGGAAGCTTGTTTAGTATAGCTATCACGTGGAGAGTGTTTGTGTGGGGACTGGCTTTTCCAGTAGTTGTTTTCCTCTGCTTTGTCTCTGGACTTTCCACGGCGCTCTTCAACTCGCCACACTTTTTCAGCACTCCACTTAATAGGCATATGAGGTTGATACACTGCACTTGCGGCAACATTATCTCCTACTTCAACCATTGGACCAATAACACACCTTAAATTTGGATACAGTGCAAGTAAAACGATACTTACTTCCTCTGAAAAAAAATTTCATTATTGATATATCCGAAGGTGGGGTACATCTTGGTTACGTACCCCACTAACTGGTGAGAGGAAGACTCAGCGGCCATAATGGAGCCAGATCCTGCGGCAGGAAACATCGCGGAATTTACTTGGCGCCAGAAACTGCAAACAAAACTTCCACATGGAATAAACAAAGATCTCAAACCTTCTTTTCACCTAATAATAAAAATTTCGAATTCAGTTTTTCACCAATAATCAAGAAGTATAAATTAGTTTTGTAGTTAATCAGCGCTTCGTTTGAGTTGGGCGGACTACATAGCAAGCGGATGTTTGGTAAACGTGATAGGGATAAAAAAGTAACTTTGGATGGTGATAACATTCCTAATGGTTTGACAGAATGTGCAAATGTCGATGAATCATTTCGGCAGTTTTTTCGCCCCCAAGTTTTCACAGATGGTCAGTCACAGCTACGTACTCAAAGATCCCGCGTTCTGAATAATGATATTGACGTCTGTATGACAAAGGATATGGATTCAAAAAGATGTGACGAGTCAGTAGGTGAGCACCTGTCCAACTCTTTTCTCTGTTCAAAGTTGCCACGAGTAGAAAATAAACAAATATTCGAAGATAACTCAAGGAATTCACACATATTTAAACGTTCCCATGAATCCATCAGTCTTCTTCCTAAGTCTCCTGCTAAGCGAAAGTGTTGTACTGGTGGGGAAGATAACGAATATGAACAACAATCAGATGAACCCTCAACATCTAATCTTCAATGTGATAAGCCTGCTTTTTGTGGTTTTGATTCAGCCTCAGGAATTAGATCAGGAGCACACAGATCAGGAAATCATTCCTTACCTTCGGCCGCTAACTTAAGTTATGAGATAGGAGTAGTGAATGATAATCCAGATGACTTGCAAAAAATAACAGAGAATAAACACCAGTTTGAACGTAAATCACCTGCTTTCTGTCTAACTCATCCATTAACTGTTGCTGAACTAGAACAAGATAAAAATTTGGAAAAGAATGAAAATCCCATTCCATTTTTTTCTCCTCTAAGTAAGTCTCGAGCTCCTTCTTCGGCAGTATCCCCGGAATCTTCATTTGGCAACTCAGTAGTTTCAAGTGAGTTATTCGTTATTATTGAAATTGACTTCGTTGTTATTTTATCCGCCTTCATTTAATGTTTCAAACATCTTCCCATGCTTCGATAATAGTCTTAACTTGATCAACAAACTTCTTAAAATTACCCAGTCCTTATGAATGTTTCCAAACTATTGTTAACAAATTACCTACATAATAAATGTGGCTTTTTCTTAACTGTCGAGTTGTATCGTAATCTATAAGACATTAACATCCTATATGTTTATAATCAAGACCATATGCCGGATATTTACGTTTTGATGAGTGATTTTTACTCATGTATAAGTGAGGTGAAAGCTAGGGTTATGCAAACCAAGACATAGAATCAGTCAATAAAAACACTAACTGTTGGACTGAACCTTGTTGGTAGGTCAGAATATTTTGCAAGTGTCAATGCGGTCGTCGTAAATTACTATGAAAGTTGGGTGACACGGCTCAATATCAACATCAAATTATCACGAACATTCACTCATTGCAGGACGGAGTACATACGTGCTTTAGTCCAAGTTGCTGCACAATATCTACGGATCGAGATGAAATTGCTAAGATTAATACCAAATTAGAGGTCTTGGTGATAATCAAGAATGATAAACCTAGAGGATATGGTTCCAGAAGCAAGAACAAAATGTAAATGTGAAACTCATGTAGTATGGATGTGTTACTGCAACTGACTCCAAGCCGCACTAACTTACATCATCAACTGTTGTATGCAACAGTTGTGCGACCCCTAACCAATTATTCTATACCTACCTACACAATTTACTCTAAAAGTTACTGACTTCATGGATTTATCCCATACTTCGATTTGAACAGCCCTGATTTACTACCAACCTATTAACACCAAATCAACGTTGTACGATGGTTCGACACGCAATGTATGTCCCGAACACCTGAGTTGATGGGAATTCATAATCTCACCAATCGATGTCTAATCTTTGCATAGTTTCCGATATCTAACCCAATCATTGCTCTTTAGTGGTCACAACAATATTTCGTAGTCATCTTTGAATAAATACTGGTAACCTATGAATATCATCTACTTACTAAATACTTGAAGACCATCACTCCTTACGCGGCTTCTGGCAACTCACGTCACTCGTGGCGTAGCAAGATAACCGTCTACCAAATCAAAGATAGTTTTACTGTTCAGAAGCTCCTTTTTTTCCACTTTATGACTATAATCTGGTCTCTAAAAATAGCTATCTTTAGGCTTGTGGTAAATCATGAGTATTTCCGAAGCTATAGTTGTATATTTCAGAACAGTCAAGTTAGCGATTTTAAGGTGAAGTGCAGAGTACTAGATAAGTATGGCAAGTTGATTGATAAAGTAGTGAATCTTAGCTGACCCGAATGACTAAGATATGTATTACGTATAGCCATCCACCGACTTGCTTAACGTGTGCTGATGACGTATAGTAGATCCGAAGGAAACTAGGACTGGTCAGACCAAGACAGCATCAGTCCATGAAGACAATGACCGTTAAACTGAACCGTAAAAAGTGACAGATTGCGTGGTTGGTACCCGTGTGATTTTAATGACCAATGGTTAGAGACTTTGAATGAAATGGTTCAAAATCGTTGACCATTGTGCTGGTGCATTATTTCTTTGTATTCCTTCAGATTGTAAGCCTTCAAACTTACCACAAAACCATCTAATGACTAGTTTATATTTTTAAAATCATATTTTCGGTACGTGAAAATCAATTATGAACAAGTTTTAGATTGTTAGAGTAAATTGCTTGATGATCACGAAATAAAATGCAATAATACGATGCACCCGGATGACGGTCGATCTGAAGACTGCAATTTCGACTGATCGAATGAATTGATTTGAATTACAAAATCACTCTCTTAAAGGGAGATTTTATTTTTCATGAGCACATGTTGTTATTAAATTTAAACCCAGTTATTTTCTGAAATCAGATGAACCTATGATTATCACCTGTCATGATTACTGTTGAGAAGTTACCATGTGGCTGTTTGACAGAATTTTCTAAGGCTCTCCTGTAAGATTGTTTTTCTTTTAAGCACAGTTAAAAACAAGTCTGACAACCCTAGATGTTTTAAAGGTGGGTTATTGCCTTGGTAATCTTAGCCAAACCTTTTTATCATATATTATCGTAATAACTGTGCAATTCATGCCAATTACGAAACTAATGTATTCGGCTGAGGCCATGATGCTTTTCAAAGAATTACAATGTGTCTTGGCTGTTTAAACTGAAGTATATGCGATTGAACCTAGCCCTTAGACATAAGTAGTACATAAAGCTTAAAGTACCTGGGCTAAACTACTCAATAACTACCTATTGTAATCTATAATATTAGTTTTCTAGGTACTATTTCATTTAAGATGACTTCGATTGTTTTAATTTAAGACCATCGTAAGTCGGGTCTTCAGTATATCGATTTTAGAAATGATTTCTGAAAGCATTTTATATAGGACATTTGTCAGATCAAACTACTCTACTTACTCTGTGTGACTTATTTGTATAATTGGTAACGCGAAAAAAATTCAGAAAACGACCTAGTTTCAGTAATTATTCAATCAACAATTTAACGTTTCGGTATGTCACTCTCTTCAAATTGACTATTTCGTACCAAGAAATAATCTGTCTGCATACTTCGTGGGGTGTTGATGTTTTTGAGAATTTATATACTGGTTCAGTCAGTGAAATGTTAATTAACATTTGAAATGATAATTAAAATTGCTTTTTTTTATTTTTTCAGCTTCAAAACGAAATAGCCTTTTTATTGGTTCCGCTGCAAAACGTTCCCGTAATGTTAACAGGGACAGTTGTCTTATCCAGGAAGCTGTTGATAGCTCTGGTATTTATATACCTGGAGTAGATCTACTTATAGACGACTCTGAATGTGAGCCCATCGATCTTATATCTAGGTTCAGCAGAACTCCGATTTCTTCACCGAAAATAGTTGACCCTGGTAGCACAATATCATGTGCTCTTGCTGGACCTTTCTCTTCGTCTCATATTCTCAACCAACTAGACTCCAACATCGCACGAAGGTATATCACCAGTTTGTTTTTTCTATTTGCAAGTGTGGTAAAATTGCTAACTTAACACCGAGAAAAACAAATGAGTTTTACTATTAAGCAATGAAGTTCACGACCATAAATAATTTTCAAGAAATGCCTGGTAGTTTATGTGTCTTAGATGCTTTCAATTTTAGTGTTTCTTACATTATATGAATTACTTGCAGAACTGTTTTAAAGAAAACTGTTGCAACATTTTCATTTTCCTTTCTCATTTTGTCTTAAATAGAGTCCAAAAGCCAACTGGCTCGGTACTAGTGAAATTCATCAGACTTATGCTGTTGTATCAAACTATTGGTTCAAATAATTTTATTTAGTTTATAGTTTCGAATGTGTCGCTTGTATAAGATATCTCCAGACTCAATGGTTAACTTAATATGTGATGACCTCGAACTATAGTTAGTCGAAAGCCACATGAATGCTTTCACTATACAGTAATGTGGAACCTAGCAATGGTATTTTTTAAACTTATATAAATATTCCTTTTCGACTATTATAATTAATGTGGGAAGTCACTAACACTGTACTATATTTGACATATCTGTGCCAATTTTAATAAAATAAGAGTTGTGCATCTCTTGAAACTTAGGAGAAAACGTATACCTCAAAATAAATTTGCGAAAATTATTTTGGATTAAGACAACTTACTGATGGCAGGGTGATTTGGTAAAATCACAAGTGACTAATCATGCTTTGTCACAAAAACTATGAAACATCTGAGTAAAATCATATCATCAAAAATGTAAATGTTTCCCTAACAAAAGACCAACTGAAAATCATAACCGAAATTAGATTCAGTTTTATCAATAAGTTTAACTGGTAAATAAACTTGTTCTCCTTTTAAATACCTGGGAGTATTGTCAAATTACCATTGTTTCAAAGCTTCACAACAGCTAAAATGAATAGATCTTTTGGGTTGTTCATTTAAAGTCAATGATGATCTTCTTAGCATTGATTCATCTATTTCAAGGTTCATAAAGATATTCAGAAATGTTATTGTGTAAATGCCTAATTCCACTATTAGGTATTCAACTGAAGCTTTCCTTTTTTATCTGATTGTTCTTGATATTCAGTACTTCTTTTGTTTGCCTTAAAAAAGACGTACATCTTCGGCTGCCACATCATCTCTGAGTGCTGTTTCTGCTGGAATGGAATTAAGTAAGGCCACAAAGGTAGGTATTACTAGAAACCATCTTTTCATTTATATTTCATAGAATGCCTCTGTTTTTCTTATCTTAGTACTGAAGTTATTTTTAAATAGTCACGAGTTATGAATTAAAATTACCACCGAAAACCAAAAGGATTTCTATTCATGTTGTTATCAGATTTTTTAAAAACTTTAGTGTTGGTTTCACTTGTAATTCCTTTAGTGGTTCTAGACAAACCTACGTGTAATTACGGTCAACTGAACTTCAATCGTAGAGGAAATTCTAGACAGATAATAAAGCTTGTAATTTTCAGCTGAATGTTCATCTCAACATTTTTAATCTTGCTTATTGGCATTACATATTTTTTTTTAAATGAAAAGTTAAATTGAGATAATTACTGTTGTATAAAAACATTTTGAGGCAAACATCCTATTTAAAAATTCCTAACCACATATTCAAATGATGTTCTGGATATTGCATAGCTCCATAAAAAGTCAATAAGTTGGACAAACTACTTAATTTTTAGAGAATGATTTTGTTTCAAGAAACTGTCCGAAAAATCGCGAGACTGTTACAAACTGCATTGTAGCCTTATCAGCCAATCAATATTATGTGACAAATGCAAAGCCAATCAGAATCACGTTTAGTGCCAGCAATCGCGAGTCAGCTCCGAATTCTGATTGGTCCACAGCTCGATAGCTTTCTCTCGACCAGTCCAGAAGTCCGTAAGCCAATCTCCATAAGATTTTATATTTTAAGCAGACAGTTTATTATCAAACACCGAAGACCATATTTTACCATAAAGTGAGAAAACACATTTATGCGTGAGCAAGCCAAAATCGGCTGTGAACAGGAATCTGAATAACAAACCAACAGTAGATTAGTGATAATAAAACACAACAGTAGCTGAAGAGTTGATCGGGAGATCGTAATAAACGGAATAAGAATATAATGTGGTTACTGAATAATTATGCAATAACGTCATACACAATAACAATCCGTAAATCAGCCTTGGAAATTAGCATTCCTTAAATTTCTTCCTGATGTGGCACTTTCTGTACTACTACACTCAAATATTTTCATAACCAGCAAAATATTGAACGTCGGACTAAAACATTCGTAGCTGTCGCAAATCCCATGAATTTCATTTTTGAAATTTTTTACCATACATTATGTTCCAAGGAATTCTATTTTTTGGATAACTCCTCCAGGAACGGTGCGCACAGTTAAGGCAACGTCGGCGAACACAGCCAGCCGAAAGGCAACCACTACCTGCTTTGCATTTGCACCTATCCAAAGATGGTACAAGTCCCCTGCCTCCGGGTTGGCAAAGAGCACCAAATACTAAGCGTTCGGCCGATGGCCAAGATCCAGGAGATAGTTCTGGCACATATGCTTATTATTATTACCATGTCCGCACTCGTCAAACCCGATGGGACCCACCTGTTTATCCATGGGATGCCGATCCGACGGACACTCTTCTTGGTGAAACTGGAGAGGATGACCCAGAAGCTCCCTACAACTGGGGTTGCGCATCGCGATTCGCTGTCACACACGAAGAAATTGAGGCTGTAAGTCATGCTATCATATTTTTATGATTATGTTCGTGTTTATACTTTCATTCATTCTACGATTACCATTCACTGTTCGTGGCACCGAATTCAGTCTGTCGTACTTCATATATCATTATTTCACAATTCTTTAGATGTAACTTACTAAACAGGTTTGTTTTCTCTTGTTAGTGCATCTTCAAAACCTTATTACTAAGAATGTCGTTCCTGATGTTTCATGACGTCAATCTGGGTTCTTCTTTCCGTCCAAATTATTTTTCCTCTTGCCTTTGTTATAACGGTGTCGAAAAATGAAAAAACTAACTAACGCTTATTCTAGATTAAATTGTTTGTCAGTAACTTAAAAACTCAATCTTATCTTCAGAACTATTTGCTCCTCTGTACAAAAAATTATAATTTCCAAACTGAATTTATGTTACAGATGTACAATCGTGTGCGTCAACGAATACTGGAACGTCAGTGCATTGATCTTCTGCATGAATTGGCAGGCAGACCAGATGCTCCTCAGGATGTAGCTGAACAGAACTTTGCCATGGAAGTCAGTCCTATTTTTTTTTAAGTGCTGTTTTCTGATAACTAAGTACTTTGACTGTTGAATCAGAGAAGTTTGAATAGTTATAATAATGTTTCATTCACTTGGTGTAACATTTTAAAGATTAGGCTATAAAGCCTATATTACATGTATGGAAAAGTATCCACTAATATTAAGATAGCCTCACTAACTAATCTTCAAACTTCCCATATAATTCTATCTAAACACCTAGATTTCTTAGAGCTGTCATTTAAAAAAAATTCTTTACTACCTACACGTAGGATTCTCTTAATAACTAGTATCATTGACTTTATAGAAATACGTCCAATATATTGTAAACAAACTACAAATTTTTGTTTCAGCTATTCACTTTGGTTCACAATACGTTACGTAGCTTTCGTGATGCTCGATGTAAACTTGGTCGCATTGTTAATGATGAAGATTTATACTACTTAACCAAAAAGGTAGATTATTCACTTTTGCTGTATATAATTGTTCTCCACAATATCTAGTTTCATCACAGTTTAACACAACTGATTATTTGTTAAGGAACAATTTTTCTACATTCTCCATAATCAGAGTAAATTTATATCGCCTTGCACTGCAGTAAAGCACGTTAAGGATGTCAATAATTTGTTGTGCAATAAAATTATACATTAAAACTAAGAAATTACTGCTTCCTATTTTTTCCAGCTTGCACAAGCCGTGATTTTAAAAGAAATACAGAAGTTTCATCAAACCCAGGCGGCAAATACTTCCTTATTTTCAACTATCCTTACCCCTGAACTCCCTTCAACAGTCCGGTCGAGAGTAACTACTTATGTTAAGCGATATATGGAGTCTAAGGGGGCATTCTATCGTCGCCGTGTTCAGTCGATACCTGGACCAGGTATTTCACGTCCAGAACAAGCACCCCAATTAAAACCAGACCCCGCTCATTTTAGGCCATCTGTTAACAGTAGTATGCGTTCTCGACCAGTAACGCATCCTCAAAATCTCAGCACGGTATCTTACCATACGAGTTATGTAGATAATACTTTTTCTCAATCTGCTGCCCCCATAAATACTACTGCAGTTATTCCAACACGCCGCTAGCAGCGCAAATAATATCCGTAACTGTATTTTTGGAGGATGCCTTTGTGTTGCCACTCTTCCAGTCGTTAATTTGGATTTTTCTATCTACCTGTTGCTTTGAAGTTAATTTTTCTATTACAGTGGTGAACAACTTGCTAGTGACTTAAATAAATCATTTTTATTTGAGTCTCTTGTATATAGACTTACAGACTGTTTACTTTGCAAGCTATCCAATGTTATTTTTCCTGAATCAATGCTTATATGCTAAGCAATATTATCAAATCTGTAATTTCTATGTTTTCCGCCTAACTTTTGCACTTACTTGTTAAAAGATGCAACAGTAGGTGCGATACATAAATGTAAGTATGTGAGGTCCACATTATGGATTTGTAATAAAATTGTACTAAGAATACGCATTTCGTGAATTCTTTTTGGTTTCTGAAGTAATCATACAATTGTGGTCGTGCTTAAAGTTCGCAATGTGATAATATTTTACTGTGTTATAATTATCATTGAGAATATCGACTCAGCAGAGAAGTCACGCATAAAAACAGTGAAGACAGTTTACAATAAGCGAAAGTAACATTATTCGTTTATTTATGATAGGAAAGGTGTACGAATAAGGACAGATAATGTACATAACACTAATATCTGATTGTTTAAGGACATCAGGGTTTCATTAGCAGATTACATTATTTCCATATCCATTCGAGTAAGTCCGGCATAAATTTCACTTGGTAGTCTGTGTGGAATACGACCAACATATGCTATCAATCCCTTCGCTCTAGCACGAATTTCAGAAGTAGCCATCTTCGAAGTACTATCCACTCGCGTTCCATTGCTAAAAATGTTCGAATAAACAAAGTGGTACTGAGTTTTAATTAAGCTAAAAACAGTAGTCTTAGTATCTATTTAAACCATCAGGGAACTGACCTTGTGACAGATGTGACTCGACCACACTTCGCTGATAAACAACGCATTAGAGCATAGAGCGCCCACGGGAGAGGGCGACGAACAAGATCTGGGAGTTGTGAGAATAACATGGCACATGATTCCACATTGGAAGCTTGTGAATTAATTGGGAATAGACCCAGCTGGTCCATATGGTCAACAGCAGCTTGCCATCTTTCTGCATCAACTAGGTCGAAGAACGCGGCTAAATCGAGGAGATAAAATAATATTTTTATAGCTGATGTACATCCAGTCGCGTCTGTTTCTACCTCATTTTGAACGAGATAATTACTACCATCTGTAGATAAGCCCAATCGGCGGACTCTATGAGCAATCTATTTGGTAAAAAAAACATTTAAAAGAATTAGATGGTTTCAGTCTGTACTGTTTAGATCCTATATAGGGATTGATACGCCTAATTTAGCTTACATACACAATACATACGTATGACGTTCTACGCTGTAGCTGATTGACTAACACATTTCCTGATAGAATGTTATTTATTAGTGATTTGAACATCATAAAATTCTTTACGATCTTATGACCAAACTAAATATGGTTTTCTAAACAATAGTATAATTTACGATTATAATTTTGTTCCATCCGTACATTTTTTTAGCATAAAGTTGATGTTTTTGCTAGTTATGGCGTAATAATAACCTCCTCCGTCAAGATCTTGGAATTCATGCATTAGGTAAACCACGAGAGGCCGAAATGGTCGAAAACACTAACTGTTAAATATTAATATATTAGTACTCTTGAATACTAAGTCAAAATGGCTGTTAATTAGGAATATGTGACTATTGTATACTTATGAAAAGGAATGTTTACTTCACTAGAGTAGTTTTTACTAGGAAGAAATGTATCTTTTCACCGTAAAACCTCGAAGAAATATTAACAGTAGGGATCATATTGTTGGACAAGCCGTATTAAAATAATTTTCATAACAGATGCTGCAGATAATAAGAAAATTAGGCATACAGAAATGCAGAAAACAATGCTTCGTGAAAATAAGCCTTACCTCTGTTGCAAGTCTTAGAAGTGAACTACGATCTAATTGTCCTCCAAATCGGGATTGCGTTATTGGTGTTGCCCCCAGGTCAGATGTTACTATCACACTTGATAGCACAGTATTTATTAAAGCAACAGAAACTAAAATGTCAGGTTTAGGGTCTCCACAGGCCGAAGCAAGCAAGTACAAATGAATAGCTTCAACCACTTGACCGCTGGATTCAAAAACATCAGCAACAGTACGAATCAATTCTCGACGTGATTCTACAGACCTGCAAAAACGGTCGATAGCACCAGGCTAAAAAAAAAGATCGAAATTTTTATTCATCATATTTCAATATAAGAGGCATTTGATTAAAAGAAGCGTCAGGAAATTGTTTTACGTTTCTGTAGCAGAAGATGGTGAAATCGTCTTGAACTAATCTACTAAAACATACGATGATAAGAAGTGTATCAAACGACCGACAAAGCATTTTAAAATGGAGGATATACATATACGATAAGCATTGTTGTGCCCCGAACAAATTGCCTTTGTCACATGTCACACTAATTCATCAAGATGATAAATGAGACTAATCACCAACAGAAGAGTGGAACTTCATACGTAAGTATATCATTTCAGATTGCCATAAGACATTAGCACACAGGTGTCATTGTCAATTAGAATCCCATAGTAGTAGAGATAGTAAAAGTATTAGCACTAATCGGAGAGATTAGATACTTATTCAAGAAGTATAATTCAGTGAGGTATATTTAGAAAGAGAAGATAGAGATGATAAGAAATTTAGAAGGTAAGGACTTAACAGAACACAAAGAAAGTAAGCACGTGCGGTTCTGCAAACTGTTTTGGGCCATCTCATTCAGGGTCGCTAACCATCAATTACTAGCAACTTGATGGCGATAACCAGGTAGTTGGAACCTAGAGACATGGCTCAGTCCACTTGTCAGCGACTTCATGGATTTGTGCCATATTATGGTCTGACCAACCCTAAATTTATTCCAGCCTACCCCTACATCACAGAACATCGCTCGTCTAGGCAGTCAGTGGTTGGACATTCGGAACACATGTACCAACAATCTCAACTGATGAAGATACAGTACTTCATCGACTGATTTGCCATCCCTCCCTAGTACCTGTAACCCAACAACTGCGCTGCTCACACACTTGTCTCACCAAATATGAGCAATGCTTCGAAGACACCTATGATCGAAAACCAGTGACCTACGAATATCTTATACTCTCAATGGGCATCTTTCACAGCCATAAAGTAGGACGGAGCGGACTACTGCGCAGTACACTCAGCCTTTGCTTAGCAATCCGATATCTCGCCTACGTTATAAGTGACGCAGGTTGGCAAAAGCCAATCGAGCCTTCTGTATCGCTGCTGAGATTTCGTCAGTCACCAGACCATCAGCACTGACAACACTCTCGAGATAAATGAAGCGGTCTACACGCCCGACTACTTCACTCCCTATCACTAGTTCAGGTGCTGATACAAGCCAATCTTGAAGCAATATTTTGCATTTCGACGGGGAGAATCACATCTCGAACATGCTTGCATTATTGCTTAACGTGGTCAGAAGACTGTATTCTGCCAGCGTCTTCACCGAATAGAACTATGTCATCGGCATATTCTAAGTCAACAAGCGAGTATCCTGGTAGAAGGTCAACTCCTGAAAATTCATACGATGACAATGTCATCTATAAAACCATATCAAAAGAAAAGTTGAATGTGAAGGGAGAAAATGGACAACCCTGACGAACACCACCCGAGGTAATCGATTCCGATAACAGTTCGCCATAAGCTCTCACTCGGATAGCAGTGTTTGAGAAAAGAGCTTGTACAAGGTTAACGTACTTCTCTCGTTTTCCTTCCAGTGACAAACACTGCCATAGAATCTCACAATCAACAGAGGATAATCTTGCCTTTAGGTCAAGAAATACTACTTTTGTGGGACGTCTGAACGTGTGTCCATGTTCCAGGACCTGACGTAGTGTGAATATATAGTCTATACACCCACGTCCAGAACTGAACCCACCCTAATTTCCTCCACTCCGCCCTTCACGAGCGCGAGCTAGGCGGATAAGTATTAGCGAGGCTAACATTTTAGACACTATATTAGACAAACTGATTACCCTGTTATTGTCACAAGAGGACTTTCATCCTTTCTTATAGACTGGGACAATCAGTGATTGAGACCGGTCGGATAGGATCACGTCCAGTTCTCAGATTCTACCTTAGATATCAGTAAATCTAACTGCTAAAACTGGACCACCATCCTTAGCAATCTCAGGAGTTAGCCTATCAGGACCCGCTGCTCTCCATCGTTTTAGATTTCCTATAGCTTTTTTGAATTTACTGGGAGTTGGAGGACTTACATTAATTTGCCATTCAGGTTGACTGGAAATCGTGGGTAACTGATGTGTGGCTGAAGGCGTTGAACTGATTCCTAAAGTGTTTCGCGCATCGACCCAATCTCCTGGATTGAGAAGGAATAATAATGCCATTCATCTGAAGTTTGTGCTGATGATGTTGTTCGGAAGCAAAATGAAAGCTTCACAACCAAAACATCCAGCTCAGAGAACGAACACCGCCAAAATGCCATCCTTTTCCCAAATAATCTCACTAACAGACAGATTCTAATTTCCAGTTTCCTTGATAAGTATGAATAGTTGTATACTGTAAATTATAGCTACTACTGCCTTTTGCATCCGCTACCCACTACTGTTTCCGATCATTGCGTTAGCTTTTTATCAGCTTGAGTTTAAGCTGGCTTGGCAGTTCATCATTTTCACAGCCGAAAGAGATGAGTTTTCAAACGTCCATCATTTCGGTAGAAGCCACAGATCTACTGCTTCTGCCTAACCTTATGGTTTTCCTTATTCGCTTTTATCACTGCTGTTTCCACAGCTTTCCAAGCTGTATCGGGATGGGGACCAATTACAAGGTCGCCTAACCGTTCTTCTAGTTGTTCCTGAAATATATTCTCAGCTTTGCTATTATTAGGTAGAACCCTAAGAGGTTTCTTTGCAGCGTCCTTCGTACGTCCAGTAAGACGCAAACAAATATGCGCTCGCACTAGAGCATGGTCTGAGTCTAAACAAATGCTCCAGGATGAGCGACAGTCTTCATTAGAGACTCTCCATCGGTGGCTGATAGCAATGTAGTCTAGTTGGGTCTACTTTCGTGTCAATTTTGTGGGTCACCATGTCCAAAGGTTTTTTTCCTTAACCTTAAAGTTAGTATCTGCTAGAAATAGGCGATTATCTGAGAACAATTTCAGCAGACGATCACCATTTTCTTTCCGATGAGCTGCCACACCATAAGATCCACTCGAGTATCTTTCCTTTACACTCAGTTTACCTAATCGAGCAATAAAGTCACCCGCCACTTTTTGAAGTTAGAAAGCTTCCTATAACATTCATTTTTTAAATCATTTGAGCTGCAGTCAGTTGCAGCGTAGGCAGAGACGACAAAGAGGCAACAGCGATTGTCACTACCTTCACGAGTCCTTACTGTCCTAATTATTCGGACGGCGCACAAGCGACTGTCCATTGGGATCCAGTCTAAGAAAGCTAGTCCTGCTCTAGGGCTTAACAATATACCTACACCAGTGAAGTCACGGGAAGTAGCAGCACGGCTTCCTGATACACGGAGCGTAAGCCGAGTGGGTTCTTTATTTGGCAAGGTGAAATCAAATTAATTATTCTACTCGGATCCTGTATGCGCGTTTCAAAGACGCGGCATACATCGACGGCACGGGATTCCAGAGTCCCAGCCAAGGAAGCCTGTTGCTCTATTCGACACAAGGTTTGAACATTAAAAGCTCCAGCTTGTACTTTGGAGAGAATTTAGGAGACCAGGAATAGCGTCTCGTGAGCTCGAAGCGTCTGCATCAGCGGCGCGAGGTGACAGGAACGAAACAAGGGTTGGGCGTGGAGGTTAATAGGTGTAGGAAGGAATCGATCGTGACTGATCCGGTCTCGCGTGTTGTTAAGGGTATGACGGTGGTTGTTATTCCCAGCTACCCACACCGTGGAAGGGTACTTCTTGATGAACCTGGCGAAGAAATCGGGTTGGCGTTGGTCTTAGAGATCTGGGAGCGTAACCGCGCAGCCCAACGGACAACTGCTTGAGGCCGGTCACTCAAGGCCTTTTTACAAGAAGTTTTAAAAGTGTTAGCTCCGAATTTGTTTTAAACGAGAAGGAAATTAGTGGGTAGGGTGAAGTGTGACATTTTTAGGGTCGACTTTTTATATTTCGTTCCTTACGTTGAGAGAAGGAAGCATCGCTGAAGATGTTGGTCACACCCCTCAACAGTCAGTGATGCGACTTCACCCTCAGACCTTGAGTTGCTGCTTTTAATCTCACTCTTCTCTGCAAACATTTATTTAGTATCAGTGGATTGGTAATCAAAAAATACAATGAAGATCTACAATTTATAAATAGATATACGAAATTGACTTACTTTGCGAATATCGTTATCACCGATACACCCCAAGAGTAAATCTAACTGTAAAAAAAATGAAAGTGAATAATTAGTTACTTATGAACGTGCAATGGTGGTGAATATCGCTAAGTAAATTTCCAAAAGCATTCAACTGACACGTATATGAACAAGGAAGAGAACAAATAGATTTTAGAAAAAATGAATTCATGCCTTATCATAGTGATTGGAAGCCTGCAACAGTCGATTTTCATGGAGTAAAAATGTGGTGTATTCGCCTAGTTGCATTTTAGGTTTATGCAGCGAAAATTGCTGCACACAATCTGCGCGCATAATTCGATTGTTCTTCAAGAAATTGGATGTTAATTAATTATTATCAGGACCCACTGCTCTCCATAGTTTTAGATTTCCTATAGCTTTTTCGACTTTACTGGGAGTTGGAGGACTTACATTAATTTTCCATTCAGGTTGACTTGAGATCGTGGGTAACCGAAGTTCTAATAGTATGTCGTAAATTTAAGGTTGACAGAGACACTAGACATGACTAGTTCACAATGAAATAAGGAATTTCAAAACGTATTAAGTGAGTTTCGGAATATAATGGATCAGCTGGACCATATGTAAAATAAGCTGGTAATAAAAACCCTAATTGTGAATCGAAAAGAAGTATAAACAAGCTTTATAATAATGATAGTTACATGTTGGAATGGACGAAAGTGATTGAGTCAGCAAATTATAAAATTATAACAATGAGTATAACCGATAAAATATATACCTCTTTCTAGTCAAAGAAATTCCATATGACCAAAAGCCATAACACTATATCTCTATAAAAGTAAACTAGTTATTGAATGTTTTTGGTCACATTCAGAAAACCATCCAAGAAGTTTCTACTGGTAACGAAGATCGCATGATTCAATACAAATCGTTGTGATTCGAAGACCTATGATAATTTCTAGCAATGGAATATTAAGTTTGAGTAGCTATGTTTATTTGATAAGTGTAACATACACCCGACCATTAATCAGTGAAAAGGTAGCACAAAAACAGTTCCATTTTTTATTAAACGCATAAAGACAACAGATCAACAGTCAAAAATACTAATATTTATAGTTTACTCAAGACGGATCGTAATCAGACAACCAATTCATGAACTCGTCTGTGATTTACACTGTGTGAAAAGGAATTGAAAATTATCCAACCGCTTAAAACAATAAGAGGCGAAATGGGTTAGACCACTACCCTATTGCTCTGATAAACTTTCAGACAAGTGTAAGGAATGAACATGCACCTCTTAATTATTAAGTATCTTGGACCTTAATTGGTTAAAGAACGTGATCGGATGATGAGTTTGTTCTAGGGAGTATTGAACCGTACAGATCCTTGTAACCTAAGTATATTACTAGGCAATAGTACTATTTTGAAAAACGATTTTGAAGAACCTACCTCTTTGTTTGCCAAAGCCAATTCACAAACACATTGGACGAACAAATTTTGATTTTTAGCAGTCAAATTTTCAATAGATGTATTATGTAATCCATTGGGAATAGTCGCATTAGAATCTTCAGGTGGTTTATCAGTAGTAATTGGGATGTCAGAAAGCATGTAATAATACATAAGGGCTTTCTCTGGATCAGTGACTTCAAATTTCCGCGTATACAACATTATTAAACGAGCCAAATTAAGTCGACGAAACCCTGTAGGATCGTAATCATTACGAACCACTAGGTATGATAAGAAAGTACACATTGAAAACTAATTACTTATTGAGCTGAAAGATGATTGGTTACATACTGCCTTTTTTATTAGTAAAAACTGTTAAAAAGGAAATAATATTAAGTCATATTTGTAAATAATTCAGCTTGTAAAAATTACTTTTAGTGCAAATTAAAAGTTTGTGAGAATCTAACCATTGTGTAAAAAAATAGACTTAAACTATTCATGTTAAATGGTTTACTAAGGCTCTCATAAAAGAGATTAACGCATTGACTTATGAGATGGTTCATTTACGTAAAATCAATTCATTGGTAATAGGGAAATAATTTTAAAAAATCATCTTTGTGAAGGCTTTACATCAAGTTGTATTTGAGAGCTATATTTTCCACTTTATTCATCGTAACAAACATTGTTTGAGTAAGAGCTTTGAGTACATTTTAGCAATTATATTTTCAGACAAAGGACAAAATGGAACCTCATAAACACTGATTTGATTATCACCGTAAACCAAATAGTATAAGATAGTACATCATGAAGTTAATGTCAGAAAAATAAACAAAGAAATTGATGAGATTTACCAAGTGGCGAGTGGAGCCAGTTAGGAAGTAAAAGCATATGCAAATCCCTTAGAACTAAAGCAATATGAACAGCATGGCATCGCAGTTGTTCAAACCGAGTAAGAAATCCGATAGCAGCTTCATACTGTTGAGTAAGACATAAAATTTTAAAGAAAACAAGTGGTTGAGACCACGCGTCAAAATGCACTTCACCTAAAAAAAAAGGAAACGTGAACATTGTAAAATGATAAAAACTAATAACAGAAAAAAATGCTAGTAAGAACAATGTATGACATAGATCAGATGAATTAGACTAATTTCCGTCTAGTTAGGATAAAGAGCAATTGTTGAGACCTGGAATTTAATTAAATTAATACGTTTGCAAACAATACTGTAACCGAAAGTCTAAAGCTAATAAAGTACAGGTGTATTATTTTTATAACCAGCTAATCATTAATTCTTTTAGCCCGGTGAATTACAAAACATACCAAATTATCTGTGGATTTTGCCATGAGTTTTTTATGAAATAACTAAGGAATATTTTGTTGATCAGTTTGAAAGGGTACGGAAATTGCAAAATACTGCTTGAAAAAGCCCATTCGATGAATGCACTTGTATTATATAAATTAAAATGCAAGTTTAGAATAAAACAAAGAACTGAATTCTTCGTACGGTATTTTTAAAAAATTAATTTGTTGTTTCAAAACTAATTGTAATCAGATTATTCATCATGGTTTAAGATGATGGTATAGATGATCAAACAAAGACGTGATTAATATATATTTTCGAAATCTGGTGGACAGAATGAAGCGTTGACAGATAATTAACACAAGTATAGGCATTGATTCAACGAGGAAAGGAATCAGTGTACACAAACGGTAAATCAAGGAGTAGTTTCTTAAACAACAAGCTTAGTATTGATTGAAGCTTATCAATTATAAGATTGCAGTAATTATATAATAATTAACAAAAACAATCATACCATAGGTTTCATATAGTAAACTTTGCAATTGACCTAAAGTAAGCGTATCCTCCATACCAACTTTTGATGAAACCACTGGTTCTGCAGACTCTTGAGCAATAACCTGAGATATCTTTATCCATAAAAAGTCATCTATATTTGAAATAATGTCTGAATGATTTTCACTGAGGTCACATTGACCAAGGATAGAATACGTTAGTCTAAAATAAAAGATATTGTAGTGGAAACAAACAAATAAATTTATTTGAAAACTAAATATCTTTAAGTACGGGAGCAAAGTAAGAAAAACAGTGATATATACATCAAAAATGTGAATTGTTTCATACAAACAATTTGATTCAATCTAACCTGCAGTAAGAAATAAATATGAATGGGAAATATATATATATATATATATATATATATATATATATATAAACCTTCAGCAATTACTGATCTTAGATAACAAAAGACTATGGTTGATCTTTAACGTGACAAATAATTTTTTCATTTAGATGTTTGAATACAGTACTGTTCTGAACAAGTGTTTGTTATTCATGGAATATCATTTTTTTTATTAAAGCGCTACATAGACGGTAAAAAAAGTGAATGGATATAATGTACTGATTTAAAATAAAATAAAATAGTTATTTTTGTGATTAAAGAATGAAAATGTTATTAGCTTGGGAAAGAGCTTGTAAAACGCTTCAGTAAGTGGTCAGATGGGATGCAACAGTTCACCTTTTCTTCATTCCATATAAAAAGATAATCTTCCAAAGATGTATCGGAGATCATGAAAAATTAATTTAAACAAACAATGCTGGCTAACGTATATATGTTTACGATGACCTTGAAGATGGAGTGGTAAACTAATGTACAAAAAGAGCAACAGATCAGTAAGAAGATGTCTTTAATAAAGACGAAGAATAAACTTCCATAAGCTTTTGAACAAATAAAATCAATCGAATTTATCAAATAAAGCAACAAATAGTACTTTACTTGGATTTTATAACATTAACAAAAACAATGCCGCATGATATTAGCTACTGACCGTTTATATGGATCACGAGTAGACTTGATCACTTGTTTACATGTCTGACGAAATCTTCCTTGGTTGGGAGTTCGGAGACGACGATTGTGCTTTATGTAATCCTCTAGCACATTAACAAAATTTCCCAAGTTGTTTCTAAGATTAATAGGCAAAAAAAAACATTTAAAGACTACCATACGAATAATAAAACAGCGTTTCAGTACGTTTGGTTTCTAACTCTTAATGTTCTGAAATGTAAACATTCGCGACCTGATAACTAATGAATAAAATACGTCTGAGAATAAAGAATTTTGCTACTACTGCAAATCTTCCAACACAAAAGGTCTATTTCGAAGTAAAACTCTGTAAATTTCAATAGAACTCGGTATATTTCCTGTCACTGTCAGTGTCTGTTAACGATTTTAATGATGTAAGTGAGATACTACTATATGGGAAATGATAGTGCAATATTCACTATTCTAGTTAAAATGGAAACATTTGGAAGAACTCGGAGTAAGTAAAACAGTAAAACAAACCCATTCAGTCAATCAGCTGCAATTTAGAACTTTGTATATACGTACATCAGTTCAAGTTGCAAAACCACATCAGCACACAGAGAGGACATTTTCAGTTGAAATCCCATAGGAGTAGAAGTAGTAGTATAAGCAGTAAGCGAAAAGATTAATGATCGAGGATATCATTCGAGAAGTATATCCCAGAAAAACAGATTTTTAGGAAAAGAAGAGAGAAAAAACTGGTCATGAGGAATTCAGATTAGATTTTGAGAGAACACAAAGAATAGATGCATCTGATCCATTGTTAACGATTTTGAGCCATATCATTCAAAGTCTCCAACCATCAGTTACTATTATCTCGTGAACCCCAAACAAGGGGTCTACAACTACCAACATGGCTCAGTCCACTTGTCAGTGACTTCATGGATCTGTGCCATATTATGGTCTGACCAACCCTAAATTTATTCCAGCCTACCTCTACAGAGTTTGGGATTTTATACTATAAGTAGTTATACTTCAAAATGCAAAAGATCAGCTTAAATCAATGCAGTAACAAAAGAACTAAGGAGTTAAATGTCACACAGCGTTAAGCCATATCAGTAACTAAGCTTCTTAGAATAAATCAAGTTACAAGACAAATCCAGAATTTATTGGCGTAAGTCAATGAATCATAAATCACATATGAGTTTAATCATAGGTTAGCTGGCATTTTAAGTGTCACTGATCGATAAGAATGAGAATAATAACGAAAAATAGCTTTTTCGAAAAACAAAGTACCAATGAAATGTACGCAGAATTAAACCAGAAAACTAAAGCCCACTTTACACCTTTAAGAATGGAAAGTACCAAAACTAAAATTATTTTTTGAAGCTTTAATTTTCTCTTATTTGACATAAAACAGATCATAAAAGTATAACTTTTGGGTGCCATTTGATGACAAATTGAATAATTTGATTCTTTCTCTATTTAACAACTGGAATAGGAAATCTAATTCAACGCTATCATGATATACCGAATGTGCTTCTACTATTTCAAAACACTCTCAACAAAACGCAATTGTTCGCACTCACTACGACTTAATGAGCGGTTTTAGAGAATTTGATTTTGATGAGAACTACTACTTAAAGTAAATTCATATTCATATAAACTGTTCACACATATAAACGCATTTAAGACATGATTTAACGAAGGCAATAAACTACTTCAAATACACCATTAGCATGTTAATAAGTAAGGTAAGTCTGTTATAAATAACTTACAGGGCATCACGAGCAACTTCCAAAGTAACCTGAGTATCTCCCGTGCGAAGGCAGTAAAAAATCATTGGCCACACAGGAACACCATCTACAAGACCATCCTAGGAAAAGAGGAGAAACTAGAATAATAACTTTCATAAATTAAACCTGGAAATTGTGAGTTAGTTGGTGAACCTTAAACGTGCTTATTAGTTCACTAATATCAACTTTGAACTAAGACCCTACCACTTAAATAAAGAAAAACCTCGGCATTTAAATAAGCTTTCCAATGAGTATTATTAGCCTAACTCAAAGTTTGCCCAGTAAAAAGCAGCTCCGAACTGTATTTTGGAGAGAATCATAACACAATTAATTTGGAAATTGGACATTTACGTGAACATAAAACCAACTAATTCAGGTGACTTAAGCTTATAAAACCAAATCTATAGTAAAACTGACTTATTTCTTATTTAATAAGATGAAATTTTACTACAAGGTGTAACAGACAACAAACCATTAGACAGTTAAAAACTACTAACATACATCAAATTCCCAACCATTTTGTTCGGATAATTGATAAAGGTTACTGAGAGATGAAACATCTGTCATATTTTCAGAGGGTAGACGAAGACTTAGATATGCACGCACTAATGATCGAGTTCCCGGACGTCCACCAAGTCGAGCTAATCGAGGTTGGCTGGAAACTGTCACTTTTATAAACTCCAGAAACTCAGACTCCAGATGCTCCAGAGAACACATTGATAAAGTATTCTGTACTGACACAGACGCTCGGACTTCCAATGGACGGTCATAAGATAACATACTGGCATGTTCATTACGCATACGATCAGAGATTCTTTTCATGAGGCTCCATATCTCTGTGACGTCGGAATGAGGATTTTTTAAGTGCACTTTTAACTGCTTTTCGCGAGAAACAGAATCCTGAGTCCGTAACATATAGGTTAGTAGATCGCGAGGAACTCCATTTTGAAAACTTGTGAAATCGGTAGATGAAAGACGCATGGTAAGGTAGTGATCTAACTATAGGTTAATGGAAAAAATGATAGCAAAATTATCACTATCAAAAGATCCCGTGTTCTGATAGAAAATAAATAACATAAATAAACTGACAACATTTGATAAGTACATTACATATGATCCAAATATGGCTAAGCTGAGAGTGCATTTACTCATATAGTCCTAAAATAGGCACTCCTCTCTGAGTAATAAGAGGTAAATGAAGGATTTGATTGTGACTTATTTGTTTCCGTCTGCTGTTAAGGTAAGAGGGTGGATGTCACTTCCCAGCTGCCCACACTGTTGAAGGTGAGGTGTGACATTTTTACGGTCGATCCTTTCTAACCCCTTTCATCCTTGTGGGAAGACAGCATCGCAGCAGATTCTGGCTGTCCGAGGGAAACACTGTTGTCACACCTCTCTACAGTCAGCAGTACGACTTTTCCCTCAGACCTTGAGTTGCTGCTTTTAGTCTTACCGTTCCCCAATTGATCTGCCTGATATGGTAGGACTTAAAGCAAGATATGTTCCAGCCAATATAGCCCGGCTGGGTCATCACGATAGGCAATCCTGACGACCACGTCAAGGAAGTAGCTACAGTCGGGGCTCTCAGTACTAGAGACTTTCTTAATTTTATTACATTGATTACCGTTGTCTATTGGTGATATCGCTTGCAGTTATTTCAATGTCCTTACTCTATGATCATTACCAACGAGTTTAACTTACGAAATAGCATTCTTTATCGTTGAAACCACGTTGCTAAGGTTCGAACGCCGTAATGATTTCTAAAAGAAGACTCACTAACCAAAATTCTGCATTCACAAGATAGTCGCGTAAGACCTTCGATTATTCATTTCTTCACGATTGACTGATAAGGTGAGCTGGTGCAGTGAATACTACTAATGCATCGAGGTCTAATAACTTTCAGATGTAGAGAAAGAAGTGAGTCTTACAGTGGAATACACAATTTCACTGAATCTTAGCAGCCATCCGTGCTTTATCCTAATACATTGTTGAAAGATTAGAAAAAAAGCGATACGTCACACCATAAGAACTTATAAGGTACAGTTTGGATAAATTCTAGACCTCATTTCGCTCTAAGGCATTCCATTTACAAGCATAACCATAGTAATTAACACTGTGGGTTATGAAATAATTTATTATAAACGAGAGTAGACTGACTTTCGGATATGGTATTTAGCTATGGCATTAGAGAATACCTACACGATCGAGTTATCACAAGAAACGAACGATAATAATGTTTACTATATTACTTGAAAGATATTAGTGTAACAAAACTAAAAAGTTAGTGACTAAATGGATCATAATGAGCAAATTTATCTTGTCATTATTAGAACATTAAATCTTCAGCTTTTCGTTTTAAAAATCAGGAGTCTTTCTTAATGAATATCAACCACATTAGCACCCAAAGGTGACATTTCCAGTTAAAATACCATAGTAGTAGAGGTAGTAAAGTATCAGCAGATATTCACTGTTCGTTAGGTCCTAGAACATGGACACATGTTTTGGCGTCCCACGATGGTATTATTTCTCGACCTTGGGGCGACATTCGACACCGCTGATCGAGAGGTTCTAAGGCAGTTTGTCATTAAAAGGTGTACCAGGGAAATATATTAACCTTGTACTAGCCCTCTACTCAAACATCACTGGTCCAGTGAAAGTTTATGGCGAACCGTCATCGGAATTAAATACCTCAGGTGGTGTTCGTCAGGTTTACCCACTTTCTTCATTCTTGTCTAACTTTGTCGTAGACATGCTTTTGGAGTAAACATTATCTTCATCTGACTTTTCAGGAGTTGACCTACCAGGAGACTCGCTTGTTGGCTTAGAATGTGCCGATCACATCGTTCTGTTAGTTGTGGGCGCTGACAAAATACAATCTTCTGACCACGTTAAGCAACAATACAAGCATGTTCAGGATGTGATTCTCCCCGTCGAAATGCAAAATGTTGTTTCAGGATTGGGTTTTATCGGCCGTTTTTTCTTTTTTTCAACTGCTTCATCTGGGGTATTCATCTCGAATGATATATCCGATCATTAATCTCTTTTATTACAGCTAATACTACCTCTGCTACTATGGGATTTTAGTTGACAAATGCGTCTTTGTGCTAATGTAGTGTTGTAACTTGAACTGATGTACGTAACTGACTGCGTGACTAATGAATATCAAAGCAGTAGATTTAGTTGAGTTATCAAAAAGATGGTTTTTAAATGGGTTTGTACTAGACCGCTTGATTTCACGACACACTTTCCATGTGTATCTCCGAAGCCCAAATTTGAAGAACAATAATTCGAATTAAAGTGCTGACCACCATCAAACAACACCCGTGAAGTATTCATAAAACTATTAACTGAAAAAATAAATATAAATCGGGTAACATACTACAGAAATCTAAATAAAAATGGTCCAAACAAACGTACTTGGTTTGCATAAAGTAGTTCGTCCCGAGTTAGTTGCATAGTTTGTATTACATCTCCCAAATCTGAGTGACGATAATTTTCTAAATCGGGAAGGCAAGTGAGTTCTGTATCCAGAGGCCCATTTGAACCCGAGAGAGCACTTAAAACACCAGCAGCTTCTTGTTCCCACCAGGACTGTAAATAAGCATCACAGCGTTCTTCTACTTCTTCAAACATCTGAAATAAGAAGCTATATCATCAACATATTAACGACGAATGACATCAAGAAGTTAGCCAGCTTCAAAGTAGAACTTTGTATATACGTACATCAGTTCAAGTTGCAAAACCACATCAGCACACAGAGAGGACATTTTCAGTTGAAATCCCATAGGAGTAGAAGTAGTAGTATAAGCAGTAAGCGAAAAGATTAATGATCGAGGATATCATTCGAGAAGTATATCCCAGAAAAACAGATTTTTAGGAAAAGAAGAGAGAAAAAACTGGTCATGAGGAATTCAGATTAGATTTTGAGAGAACACAAAGAATAGATGCATCTGATCCATTGTTAACGATTTTGAGCCATATCATTCAAAGTCTCCAACCATCAGTTACTATTATCTCGTGAACCCCAAACAAGGGGTCTACAACTACCAACATGGCTCAGTCCACTTGTCAGTGACTTCATGGATCTGTGCCATATTATGGTCTGACCAACCCTAAATTTATTCCAGCCTACCCCTACATCACAGAACATCGCTCGTCTAGGCAGTCGGTGGTTGGACATTCGGAACACATGTACCAACAATCTCAACTGATGAAGATACAGTACTTCATCGACTGATTTGCCATCCCTCCCTAGTACCTGTAACCCAACAACTGCGCTGCTCACACACTTGTCTCACCAAATATGAGCAATGCTTCGAAGACACCTATGATCAAAAACCAGTGACCTACGAATATCTTATATTCTCACTGGCCATCTTTCACAGCCAGAGAAAGATAAAGGTGATGGTGAATTCAAATGCTGTACGAGGTGAGAAACAAAGGAATGCAAAAAATGGGACTGCAAAAGAACAAACAAGTGATTAGATGTGAATAGTTGTGAGTATAACCCGTTAGATCGCGAATCGGAGCAAATATATTTCTATACCGTTGTAGTTTGTCTCATTTGCCGAAATCCGCAACCTAAAAAAGCCTCATAACTAAACTAACGTTGAAAGGAAACGTGGAGTCTGCCAACTGATCTCTCCAACTTTCTTAGGTATGATGCTACAAACGTAGTAGACTGGAAGGACTGATTTTCTTTTTTTTATGCAGTATGTGAGTGATGGCAAATCGGAGAGCTTAAGTGACTCCAAGCTTATGCTATATTTTTCGACCTGAGAGCAAGTAAAGACTTCATTTCATAAGACAGTTTGTCAATTGCATGAAGTCATCAGCTTGTACAATGCATCGACGCCTGAATTATCTTCACAAACAAACAGATATTTGACAATAACAATAAGGTAGTTTATAATATTTTGGTTTTTAACACGATATTGAAGAACCCGACCAATTTCTAGATTCAATTAACTTCCCTACTATCAGAACATTTTGTTAGACAGGAACGGCTGCAATTATAGGAATAATATGTAGCAACTTTAAAAGATCCCAGCGTCTGTTCAACCCATTTGTTAGGGATCGAGACTCTAACACCTTTAAGTTGATCCTCTATACTTACTAGATTGATTCGATTGCCGGATACTTGCTCTATGTCCGCTTGATTTCTTAAGCGCCCCTGCCACGAGAAGGCAATAAGTAGGACTTTGTTGAGATTGGTTGCCATATAAGAGTACTTCAATAAAGCGAACTCTACCCGCAGTTACACCAGAGCATAAGTATGAATTGTTGAATTAAAATTTATTTTCTCACAACTGACTCTCTTTATAAATTTGAATGAATCGGCTGAACAAACCCGACAAAATATAATGATTTCATAGAATTCTGTTTAAATAATTATTCTTGTTTTATTAAAGATTCGGTTATCGCCAACTACTCATTGATACATTACTAGGATTTTCGAAAAAAACTAGGTGTATTCCTGAACGAAAGTTGTAGATTAATATCATGCATTTCTTTGAGAAGTCTTCCTCATCGACTGGTATTGGTTTACAGTCTGGTGATAACTTATGATTGGACGTTTCAGATTCGATTAGTGGGGTAAAATCACAGATATGTATATCGAACGATTGGAACTATTAGCTAGTGACATACGGTATTCGTAATAAAATAATTTTTAGTTGGTCATGTGTAGTCTCTAAGTACAACTAACACAAAGCCGATTGATAGACATTAGATTGGAATTCTGTCAGTAAATTATACGGTATGAACACTTCATAAAATTTCAATACATTATACGATATTCTGTGTTAATGACGAATACTCAGTTTCGTTGCTTCAATCCTTTTCTACTGATATACAATCGATAAACTTGACGCATTTTGATTGATTTTATACTGGGTCAAGTTGAGGATATCTGCAAAACTGATGTTTCTACTTAAAGACTAGGAATATCAAAATATAGCGAACGTGTGGTATGTAACCTGTTTTCTCATCCAACTCACGTTCTTATGGATTTGTATTTTTCTCGATATTATGAAATAGTTTCTTAAATCGATCAACCAAATATATTTGCATCTCACCATATTATGGGTAGTAATGGCTTCCAAACATTTTAAAACATAATAATAGACTACCTGGATTCTATACTTACGTTCCACCTTTATCTTACTAATTAATCTGAGAAAATCTAATGCTATACAACAATTGTAATCTTAGATGTAATTCTGATGAGCCACTGTCTGTTGATTTGAAATAAGTATAGACATCAGCCCTTAGAAACAAGGATAAGAGATTACGTGAGTTGTGTCAATCCTTGAGATTAGTATAGCTGTAAGGAATCAATCCCTTCCTGAATTCAACAAAGTTGCTGGTATAAAGCATTTAACAGACGATTTTGGCAGTTCACTACTGGGTATGAGGAACGGAATTCCAGGCGTAGATTACTTGATATGAAACGATAGTAGTTGGTTGACATGTGATAGCATACAAGATTTCTGCTTTGCTTTAAACCTCTGGACTTGTTAAATCTCAAGCAAACTGCAGGGAGATAAATGCAACAGAAAGTTTACTACCGATATGCAGTAGTGGGTCTTACCTAGTAGACAAAATACCAAAGTGTGACCGACATCTCAAATTCGAAAACGAATAAGCGAGATCATTTACATGGTCTTCAGCGAGGAACCTACTTACATACGAACCTTGAAGTGACTCATCAAAAACTGTTGCATGGATAACTTGTGGTAGATTTGGGCATCAATTATCAGTCGATTATAATCTGTATGTTTAGGTCATCTAGTGCTAGCAGACACCAAAATCTCAATAAGTATGATGTATTACAGAAATGGGAATCAATCATTAAAACTCACCGACTTTCGAGTCATGAGAACTGCTGTTAGTAATGCATTATTTCTCTCTGAACGTAGGAATGACTGTATATCGGTTTTCGGTAATGAGGGACATATTTCGTGCACATCAGTTGAAACTAAATTTTCCAACTTTGTTGTCAAATTCTGCGGTAGCTCGTAGCTCATTTTTGGCCCCAACAGACGCGCAGCTTTAATATCACTGTTAGATCCCCTGGACAAATAAAGTTTTTCACCTAAGTGACGCATTTGGTCTAAACTTCTAGTGATATGCGGCAGATCATTGTCTTCTTGTACATCCATGAGTAACTTTTCAGACTCTTGAACTAAATCGTCTAGAGTAAGATCCATCTTAGTAGGTAACTGTCAACTGTGAAAACTCTCGGTGGAACCCGTGCTTATTTACCGATACAGACGACCTTGGAAAAACAAACCACCCTCTCCAATATCCAATATCTTATTCACGAGCTAGTATAAAGTAATTGATTTTTTGCGCTTGATTCTTGTTCTCTCAGTACGGTTACAGGTGTTAGGTAGTGTCCAATGAATGGAGGTCTAGCCACTCGAATGTCTAATTCTAGTCATATGGCAGCTGTTCGTGAGTTTGTATGTCACGTGATTTGAACATGTGCGTTTGCTTCGAGGCAGTAGGGTTTCTGGATACCAGCAGCCTTCTGTGTTGAATTCGGATCAAGTATGTTGTCTCTTCCATAAAACTTCTTCATCTTCAGTATTTAATTTTTGTGAACTCACCAGTAACATATCGCTAAGAGTGATTTCAGATTCATTTGCATCAAAAAAACATGTAACAGGAGAAAATGGTTAACATAGCTGAGGGAAAAATCGAAATTTTCACTTAACGGGCTACCTTTCAAAAGGCAGTGGATCACTGATGACTTCCTTTGGGTACCTAGGCATGTTGGAAAACAGAAAGAGAAATACTAGTTAACTATGGTTAAAATCTTTTTTAAGTCCCAGAAAATATATCAAGTCACCGTTTAAAGGATTGCTGTGAACTCATTTGAACAGACTGCACTGAAATCCAGAATGTAACTGCCTTTAAAACAGATCTAACTACAGTTCATTCTGATGTATTGTGTTTTAAAACCCATGTGTTACTCCAAAAGTTTGTATTGGTAAGAAGCAGATGTAAATGATGTACAGGGTGGTCAGGTGTCTCACGGATGTTCTAAGTCACTGAAGTTTAACCTTTGAGACGACGAAATTCTATTAATCCATTGAACCAGTGTATTCAATCTCTCTTCATAATGTTTAATTCTCAGTCGTCGAGATGACTGCATCGCTCACCTTTACAGTGCATTTGCATATTCTGAAGTGTGGTAGAAAACATACAATTCATTTAGTCAGTTTCACCGTGGAACTTCGTACATAAGTACATACGTTCAGATTACCATACATCATCACCACGGAGACGCTAGTGTCTGTTCATTCCCATAGTGTTAGCAATAGCATAATATTGGCAGTAATGGCGAAGATTAGGGTTCGAAGTTATGATTAGAGAAGTATAATTCTGTAAGATGATTTTGGAGGGAGAAAGATAAAGATGATGAGGAATTCAGGAGGTTGCATTTAAGAGAACACAAGGAATAAATGCACCGGCGCTATTGCAAACGATTTTGAGCCATGACATTCGTGTCTAACCATCGGTTACCATGGTCTCGTTTACCCCAACCAAGTAGTCTACATCTGCCAACATAACTCAGTCCACTTGTGAATAATTATATGAGTTTGTGCCATTTTTGGTTTGGTCACCTTTAGTCTTCTTTCACCCTACTCCTACATCACAAAATATAGCTCTTCGAGGCAGTCGGTGGTTGAGCTTTCGTAACACATGTCACAACCACCTCAACTGATGAAGTTTTAACACTTCAATCATTGGTCTGCGATCCGGGCCTAGTACTCGTTTCCTAACTACAGCATTGCTGAGACTTCGTCAGTCACCAGACCACCAACACTGACATGACTCTCGAGATAACTGAAGCGGTCTACACGCTCGACTACTTCACTCCCTATCACTAGTTCAGGTGCTGATGTAACCCAAACTTGAAGCAACATTTTTGAATTTCGAGGAACAGCATCGCAACTTGAACATGCTTGCACTGTTACTTAGAGTAGCCAGAAGACTCTGCACTTTGTCAGAGTCTTCACCAAACATCTATGTCATCGACACATCTTAGGTCAATGAAAGAGCTTCCTGTTAGAAGGTCCATTCATGAAAAGTCTGACGATGATGATGTTTGCATCAAAAACATATCTACGACAAAGTTAAACAAGAATGGAGAGAGTGGACAGTCCTGACAAACACTACTAGAAGTAAGGAATTCCAATGACAGTTCGCCATAAGCTTCCACTCGGTCAGTAATAATAATATATTTATGCTCAAATAACTACGTAACAAATAGATAGCCTGTACAAGGTTAATGTATTTCTATGGTACTCATTATAATGACAGACACTGCCATAGAACCTAATGAATGACGGAGTCGGATGCCTTTTTTAAGATCGACAAATACAATTATTGTCAGGCGTCTGAACCTGTGTCTCTGTTCTAAGACCTGACGCAGTGTGAATATTTGGACAGTACATCCACGTCCAGGTCTGAAACCAGCCTGGTTTTCTCTAGTCTGCTCTTCACGAGCTCTAGTTAGGCGTCCGAGTATTACTGAAGTCAATATTTTAGACACTATAGTGGTTAGATTTATTCCTCTGCGCTTGTCACAAGAGGACTTTCGTCCTTTTTTATAAATCGGTACAATCAAGGATAGAGACCAGTCAGATGGTATTACACCCACTTCCCAAATTCTACCTAACATAGCAGATAATCTAAATGCCAAAACTGGACCACCATCCCTAAAGATCTCAGGGACAATTTTGTCAGGCTAAAAGGCTCGCCGTCGCTTCAGATTTCTTATCGCTTTCTCAATATCGTAAAGACTCGCAGGACTTACGTCGATTTACCATTCAGGATGACTAGAGAATTTGGTTAAAAGTGGTGTGGTTTAACTGGTTGAACTGGTCCCTAAGGTGCCCTGTCCATTGATCCAATCTCCTAGATTGAGAATGAATAATGAGACCGTCCTTTGCTGAATTGACAGCCCATCATCAGGGCATTAGGGCGTGACCTGTAACAGTTGGTAGGAACAGGGAAACCATTTGTTTATCACTTACTGTTACTTACATGAATGGCAGTGTTTTTAAGTACAAGGTGGACCATAAAAGTGTGTCTTGAAATGAAGTTTGAGTTCAGTAAATAGTTGGTGAATCTATTTAGAGTCTAATAACAGGGTCACTAGCTTCATGAATAAAGTGATTGTGTCACAGACACGACAGGAATCAGTATTACTTTCCAAAATTAACTGTACCACGTTGCAAAGAAATAACAACTTTTGTATGTTTTGTAATGATTATCATAAGTCTATTTATCCACGTTTGACCCACCATTGCTAAGTTTGTTACCGTTTTTTATTTTTCTTACTACTATCAGTACACCTGTCTTCCTACTATCAACTTGTACTTTTGCCTATTATGTGTAGTGATCTAATCCATTTCATTTCATTGTGGTTACTGACTCAAATAGCCTTGATTGGTTAGACGTTTTCGTATAAATATTCATGTAGGTCAGAGTAAAGCCTGATGACGATCGAATCGTGTCGTTCTAGTTTTCACAATCGGAATCTTTAACAAATATATTATTATTATGACTGAAATCAGTGCTTGTGAATTTGAGATGTATTACGCGGATAAACATATTCAGCTGCTGAACGAAATATGTCGCTAAAAATTTTGCGTCAACAGGAACTACCCACTGTCATTGTGGAATACGAGAACACAAATACATAAAAATTTCATGGTTGTCGAGTGAATATTCATAAAAGCAGAAAATATGTAATCTTATTGAATACTTACTTGAGATATGACCCTTTACACTAAGACAATCATATCTGAGGTCTACGAGATCACTGCTTAACCCTTCATGTGGAAGTAGATAATGCATTGGTAAGCCATGATAGAATTCATACTGGTTACTAAAATTTAAGTAAGTTGTAATAATGTAGCCCACAAATGAAGGAGTATTGCAATGAAGAATGAAGGGTTGTCGAGTGTGTCTATAGGATAGAAGAGAAGTTCAAGTTAGAAGCTGGATGTTTGTATACAGAAACCAAAAGTTCAGTAAGCAGAGTACGATTTGTTGGTGTCTAACTAATTAAACATTTAATTAAGGCTAAATCTTTAAGAATCTACTATCGTTGTGAGAATACTCCATCCAATATATGTCAAAGCCGCTAGTAGTGAACCAATGAAAGGAAATTTTAACATCTTTAAGTCAATCATACTTATCATTTGAACTGTTCAGGTATCACATTGGCTTTGTAAAAGGAAATCAAACGACTACTAATAAGAGATGGTAGTCTCAGTGTAATGCAAATAACTTACGCTGAATAGATATTTTATTAACTTATACCTTTGCAGGGAATATAATGCTGATATTATCAAAATATCTTATTTTTAGTCTACTTCGAATCTGAGAGCTTAGCTGCTTAGATTTCAATCAGTTAATACATACCTATGATAGAATTACATTCCTAAATAATATATATGAGCTAAAGGAACTTTCTAGCTAGAACAACGTTTTCATAACTTCACAAACCAAAGCGTCTAAAAAATCGTCCCACATCGACTACGATATTGCTCACCATGGCAGCGATGTCCGGCGGTTAAATAAGTCACTCGTCAACATAATGATAAACTCGGACAATCAGCACCTTCACACACTTTGAGCTTTTAATAATAGTGAATCATCGAAAGACGAACTAAAGCTGAAGGCATCCTAGAGTTTTGGTTTGAAGAAATAACGACGAGAATCATACCTTTCGATAATGCGATCGCATATCGTTTCTCTGACCGCATATCCCCTACTAAGCTAAGAGACACCTGCGTTCAAGTACATGGTATGCAGTTGCAGCCATCTGTCTCAAAAATTAGGTGTTTAAATATTCATTTTAGCACATGATGCGGGTATTCATATCTCCGGAAGCCCAAAATTTAAAGAACATGCTTCTTTCATTATGTCTAAATCTGGACAGATAAATAAATGAGAACTTGCAGACAAATGAGGCTAAGCTTACAGACTTCAAAATGTGTATAATGCCATCCCTTGAACTGAGAAGTTAAACTCGACAGATGATATGCTGTAGCCGCAACAACATAACATACATGACTGAGAAAAATGGATTTTGGACTAAGTAAAATGTTCTAAAGTCCAAGGGTTATCGTCTACTCCAGTATCCAATGGATGGTAGTCCAGCTACACGACGCACTAATTTTATTTAGTTGTGAGTTACTTCTGAAATTGTATGTCCTGTGATTTGAGTGGGTACGTTTGTCCCATGATTGTGGGGGTTCCTAGGTGTCACATTACTAGGTCTCAGATCAGTAAGTTCCAATAAGAAAAAAAATAAGATGAAAATTCCAATGCCAACGAGAATAATTCAGAACTATGCAGTAACTAAATAAATTACTTAACTGACAGTGAAGATCGTGTGAAAGGATAGAAGCGTAAGCAAGGAGGAAGAAACAGAAAAAATAAGCGAGATAGAATTAGTCAGAGATCTGGGGAGTGATTATAATAGCAACTAGCAAGTTTCGAGACATGCATCAGGTACAGCTGATCCAAGAGGAAGATGATATTCCGTACATGAGTGCATGTTTGTCAAGTTTCTTCTTGAAGCTGTCCATTCAGAATGCTACGGTTACTTCGTCAGGAAGAATATTTCAAGATAAGGCAACTCTTGAGGAGAGAAAGTGCGGACTAACCGGGGTGTTCGCTCTCTGATGCGAAATTTTTCGGGTTATACCTCGATGGCTGCGGTGGCAGTGTTTCAGCAGGATGCCCACATTGAGACTATTCAGCGTACTTAATATGTTGTATGCTATTGTCAGATCGCCTGAGATTCTACTTTAGCTCAGAGAGAATAACCTCAAGTATTAGAGTCTGTCTTCAGAAAGTTTGTTCATCAAGCATATCACCACTTAGTTGCTCATGCCTCGCTTAACCCATGTTCTTCTGTTCCCAGCTATGCGGGTTGCCTGATTGACATTAGGTAGAACAACATTCTGAATCATGTCTCTTATTGTTTGCCATTTATATTCCACTGTCAGTCTCCACCATTCTCGTGGCTATGGAACGTTCAGAAGATGCCCTCTCGAGAATGTGTAGTTTTCCTTAGAGTAGCAAAGGTAAGATTTCTTCATGTTCACTACTTCCTATTGGTGTGTGACAATGGACAGCCTAGGCCAGGAGCTGATTGTGTGTCAACAAAAAAAAAACAAGTTTGAGGTTTTTCCACCCCTAGTCCACCTAGTAGCTCTGCATACATGCTCAGTCAGTTCGGAACCTTTGATGGTTGCGCCAAACCGCTTGCGGAACCGAACATAGAAGCCGTACTACGTTTGCCGAGATTTAGAAATTGAGTGTTGAGATCTCCAGATAAGGGTATCTGAGCAATCGCAAAGAGTGGCAACTACTCTATTAACTTATTCCATTGAGTGATTTGAGTTTCAGGATACCTTTTCCTCCTAATCCTATTTCGCTTACTGGTCCAACAGCATTAATATTACATTTTTCCTTGCCATCAATCACATGAAATTGTGGCATCTGCAGGATATTTGTTATATGTTCGGCTGTAACACGTAACGTACTTAGACATTACCGAACACCTGGAACCGTACCGAAAGAACAAGAATCGAGCGCGAAGAAATCAAATTGGTTTACAATAATGAGTGGTGCTGTTTTTCTTCTTAAAAGTGAAATCACTATGATTTCAACAATGAAGGTACCTTCCATGAATACTTTACTGACATATAGCGTCAAGATGGCCACAACTGCTGTCTGAAACTTACCAATTCAGCCAAATCAAAAGAGTTCGGATAAAATGTCTACTCCTTAGTGATATTTTTCTACATCCTCCTTCTTTCAAACTCAGTAGATGAAAATTTAGTCCATTATAGTAATGAAACTCGCTTTTCAAATATTTTAGTTCCTCTTTGTAGCAGCGTCGGAGCACACTCCTGACAGACGTCGGGATTTCAGGGAAACTGATCTAATAAGGTCTAGAATTTCATTGACCTTCCTAACAGTAATGTCTCCTCCATTCATCATTCCTATCCTGATTCGATCGAACTGTTATCTCAACAAAAGATGTTTTGGTGGTGACTTCTTTATGGTCAAAGTTTCTAAATATGATTTGGAGTGTGCAAAATACACCACAATACCGGTTGCTGCTGGATTTACACAATGATTGTAACTTCTCGAAAGAATCGCAGGCTCTGATTGTACAGCTTCATAGTTGCCGTAATGAGTCGTATGCCCAGTGCTACATGTTTGTCTAAATTTTCTTGCCACAATTAAGGCGTAGTTTGCTCAAATTCATGTCTTAACTTGTTTGAACGTCTGCAAAATATCGACTGGTTGCAGCTTATGAAGTTTGGCACTTTATTAACTGGAAAGCGTCCATTATTTCCTTCACTGTGTTTCTCGATATCACACTAAAAATAATCTTTAACAGTGGACAAGTGAAGTGTCATGAAAAGAAACACTTCATTTATTTCATTTATACCGTCTGAAATTTTTCCTGGCACAAGAAACTCCTGTTCACACAACTGCGCTACACCAGTTTTGGGTTTATCCCTAAAATTTCCATATTATCTAGGGAAAGCTGAGAATTTGTAAATGGTTTCGGAGAAGCCGCTAAATTTCTCTGAAGTTGGAAGATAGGACTAATAATTTTCTTTCACTTGTTAAATACGCATAAGTACCTATCTAGAGGCATCGATGATCCACCTCTATTAGAAATCGATGCCTGTTGAGTGAAAGCTATTTCTGTTTTGTCGTAAATCATCCTAACAATCCACATCAAGAAACTGATATTGGCTGTTGGAAACGGCGCGTCATTTTGAGTGCGCGTCACATTTGTCCACGTACGTTTGTCTTATTATTGCAAGGCTCAATGGTTTCTGTACCACCAACAAAACATGAAATAGTTACAATCTTAAACAAACTGAAATCTTTGCCGTCCAACAAGGTACTATAATTACTGCCTTACGGTTCTTGTATAGCAATGCTTCGACTGTGGTGCTACAAATCCAACATGGGCCAGTGTTACCTATGGTGTTTTTCTTTGTATTGACTGTTCAGCAGTTCACCGCTCACTCGGAGTTCATCTAAGTTTTATTCGATCGACGCAGCTGGATACTAACTGGACTTGGGTTCAGTTGCGTGCAATGCAAGTTGGTGGCAATAAGAATGCGGTAAATATGATATCCCACTAATATTTTGCAGCTTACCTTCTTCTCACAAAATAATTGTCGCTCCTTGGACGCACAAGAGAAGTACCAGAGTCGGGCTTCTCAAATGTACCGTGCTAAACTGGAAAAGCTTGCCGTTGAAGCTGTCAAAACTTATGGTAACAAGGTAACCCACCACTACCCATCATAGTTCCCACAGTTAAATTTGGAATCTGATGAAGTAAAGGGGAAATGTGGAAAGGTGGCTGACTTCTTTGAAGAACATACTGAGAGCAGTACAACTGATATCAGGAATGATGTTCCTGTGGCAGTAACAAGTGAGTTGTGTACTTGTATATTTCTTCTCTGCCATGATACGTAAAAATATGGATTACTTAGCAACCACGTTGTTACTTTGAGTTTTTGTATCTAAGACATATGCTGGTCTCTGATATCCTGATTATCCATTCTATGGGATATTACTCGTCTGTTAACAAACCTATGGATGATGACCGGCAACGAGTTCAAATGTTTTATGGGGAAATCGAAGAATGATTTTATGGTATTTAACCTCAATTGACGAAACCCGACTATATATACTAAAAAGGTTGTCCCCTCTTTAGGCAGAGAAAAAAAGGATTAACGTCGGTTATCTTACGGTGGTAAAAGTATTACTCTAGGATCTAATGGTCTGTTGCTTAAAGATTGTTGCGTCAATGCGCTAGTTGGACATCGTTCCGTTATTATTAACCATGAAGTTATATGACGCGATATGTTGCCCAAATCTACCTGATTTGTAATTCGGATACTATTTTTGCGAGTTACATGCCCATGTTCGTAAACGCAGCAAACTCCCCATTACATTGAACGTATCCAATAATTCAACAACATAGTGTCTCTAGGGTGTCGATATCTTGATTTTTTACTGTTCATCAGACCATTGATTTTCATATATGTCCTGAATGACAAACGCTAACTCGTATTCTTCAATTCATAATTTTTTACTCCACTGGCTGAGAAGTACTATCCTATAACTTTTGAACGATCCTGATAATTCAACTCGCGTTACTCGAACAACCATGACGAAAGTTTTTACCATGTCTCATTCCTTTACCCATTCAACACTACTTACGTGGATGCTTTTGAGGCTGTTTGAATCGGTAATCAACGTTGATTTGATTGCTAGTAATAGATATATCGATAGCGACATTTACCAAAAAATATTTAACAATTTCAAATTATATAATTATTATCGAGGTGTTTTTTTCAGCTCTGGTGTTAGTAAATTCAAATGAATAAATTCATCCATAAGATTTCATGTCATCATTAACAGCTGTTCTTGTAATTGTCACGTTGATGCTCCTATGTATTGGTTTTAAAGAAATATTGTCCTGATGATATTTGCAAACGTGATCTATGAATCCTGTTTTATATAATGTAGTGGAATTAATTTGTATATTTACAATACGTGCCTCGGTTATTCGTGTTTTTAGAATATCTGGATAGCTGGGCTAATGGGACCCTCAAAAGACAATTTTTGTTTTTAGGTGAAAATGAAACAATCTAATCGATTTATAATGTATCAGATAGTATAGTTCCAAAAACTGTTCTCCTTTGTTGCATTGTGTCTAATTAAAGTAGTGCATAGAAGCACTTATTCTTGTGTACTGTGCGGACAAACATGACATAATTGTCCTAATCTATTTCAATCCGCTGCTACCTTGACGTGGTGGTCGGGCGTGATTATCGTGATGACCCAACCGAGCTATACTGACTGGAACATATGTTTCTGAAGGTTCTACCATGTCAGGCAGGTCGATTGGAGAACGATGAGACTAAAAGCAGCTACCCAAGGTCTGAGGGCGAAGTCGTACTGCTGACTGCAGAGGGGTGTGACAGCAGTAAGGTGTTTCCCTCGGACAACCAGCATCTGCAGCGATGCTGCTTTATCCCTGATGCTGCTTTCCGTGGTCTTTCTGGCGTAGGCATAGCATTGAGTCGTAGAGCTGAACAATCTCTCCTTGACTGGATCCCAGTAGATAGTCGCTTGTGCGCTGTCCGACTAAATGGGACAGTAAGGACTCGGAAAGAGGGATACCCGTCGTTGCCTCTTCTTCATATCTGCCTATGCTCCCACTGACTGCAGTTAAGACGAGGTTAAAGATGGGTTTTACAGAAAGCTTTCGGACCTCCTCCAAAAAGCTAGGCACTCAGACATACTAATACTAGCTGGAGACCTTAATGCTCAAGTAGGTAGACTAAGTGAGAATGAAAGACACCTGTGTGGATGTTATGATGTCGCGGCTCAGAGAACAGACAATGGCGACCGTCTGTTGTAAGTATGCTCAGATAACGGCCTATTTCTAGCAAACACTAACTTTAGGCATAAGGAAAAGCATCTGTTGACCTGGCGACCTCCAAAGTCGTCTCAACGTTGGACTCAATTAGATCACATCGCCATCAGCCACCGATGGAGGGATTCGATAGAAGACTGTCGCTCGTTGTGGGGCACATGTTTAGATTCAGATCATGTCCTAGTACGAGTGCGTATTTGTTTGAGGCTTACTGGACGTAGAAAAGACACCGTAAGAAAGCCTCTTAGGGTTTTACTTAATGATAATAAAGCTAAGAATATATTTCAGGAGCAACTAGAGAAAACAATTAGGCGACTGTGTAAGTGATTCCCATCTGGAGGCAGCTTGGAATGATATCAAAAAGGCTGTGGAAACAGTAGTGAGATCTGTTAGTAAGGTAAACCATAAGGTTAGGATGAAGCCGTGGATCTCACTAGCATCTACCGAACTCGTGGAAGCTCGAAAACGAATCCCGCCTGGCTCTGAGGGCGACGAGGGACAGAGTCAGCTTAGACGTAGGCTGATAAAAAGCCTACGCAATGATCGAGAACAGTGGTGGGTGGCGAAAGCGAGAGAGCTGGAAGAGGCAGCGGTGATAGCCAACAGTAGGCAACTATTTAGACTCATCAAGGAAACTGGTATTAAGAATCCTAGTGTAAGTGAGACTATTTCGGAAAAGGATGGTCTTGTTATCCATTCTCAATCCAGGAGACTGGACCGGTGTGCAGAACACTTTAGAGAGCAGTTCAACTGGCCTCGAGCCACTCTTCAGTTACCCACGATCTCCAGTCATCCTGAATGGCAAACCGACGTAAGTCCTCCTAGTCTTTACGAAGTTGAGAAAGCGTTAGGAAATCTGAAGCGAGGACGAGCTGCAGGTCCTGATAGACTGACGTTTGAGATATTTAAGGATGGTGGTCCAGTTTTAGCAGTTAGATTTACCGAGATCTAAGGTAGAATCTGAGAACTGGACGTAATCCCATCCGAGTGGTCTCAATGACTGACTGTCCCAATCTATAAGAAAGGACAATTCTTCTTGTGACAATCACAGAGGAATAAGTCTAACTAATATAGTATCCAAAAAATATTGGCCTCAGTAATACTTCGACGCTTAACGAAAGCTCGTGAAGAGCAGACTCGAGAAAACCAGTCTGGTTTTCGACCTGGACGTGGTTGTATAGACCACGTCTTCACGCTACGACAGGTCCTGGAACACAGACACATTTGGGCGTCCTACAATAATTTTCTTCCTGGACCTTAAAGCGGCATTTGACTCAGTGGATCGTGAGGTTCTGTGTCAGTGTCTGTCGTTGAGAGGTGTACCAATGAAGTACATCAACCTTATACAAGCTCTCTACTCGAACACTAGAGGTCGAGTGAGAGCTTATGGCGAACTGTCACCGGAATTCTCTACTTCAAGTGGTGTGCGTCAAGCATGTCCACTCTCTCCATTCTTGTTTAATTTTATCAGAGACATGCTCCTAGAAATAACCTTATCCTCGTCTGAATTTTCAGGAGTAGACCTTCTACCAGGAAAATCGCTTACTGACCTAGAATATGCCGATGACATAGTTCTATTTGGTGAAGACGCTGACAAAATGCAAAGTCTTCTGACCACCCTAAGCAACAATGCAAGCATGTTCGGGATGCGTTTTCCCCGTCGAAATGCAAAATGTTGCTTCAAGATTGGGTTGCATCGGCACCTGAACTGGTGATAGGGAGTGAAGTAGTCGAGCGTGTAGACCGCTTCACTTATCTTGGGAGTCTCATCAGTGCTGATGGTCTGGTGACTGACGAAATCTCAGCACGGATACAGAAGGCTTGATTGGCTTTTGCCAACCTGCGTCACTTATGGCACAGGCGAGATATCCGTTTGCTGACTAAAGGACGAGTGTAATGTGCAGTAGTTCACTCCGCCTTACTTCATGGCTGTGAAAGATGGCCGGTGAGAGTACAAAATATTCGTAGGTTACTAGTTCTCAATCATAGGTGTCTTCGAAGCACTGCTCGTATATCCTGGGACACCCGAGTGAGCAACGCTGTTATTAGGAATCGGGTGCTAGGTAAGAATGGCAGATCAATAGACGCAGTAGTGACACTTCATCAGTTGAGGTGGTTGGGACATATGTTACGTATGCCTAACCACCGACTGACTCGTCGAGCTATATTTTGCGGTGTAGGAATAGGTTGGATGAAAGCTAGGGGCGGCCAGACCAAAACATGACAGAAATCCATGAAGTCATTGACGAGTGGACTTAGCCAATTACTTAGCCGATTACTTCTAATCCTTTTACTTCCTCTACTACTATTGGATTTGAATTGACAATTACATATGTGTGCTAATGTGCTATAGCAACCTGAACTGATTTACATACGTACGAAGTTCTACGTTGCATCTGACTGACTGACTCTATGGAATCATGGTTCACGGATTTAAATCATGCAACTTGACTGTTTTATACATAAGTTTTTTAGCGTTTGCAATCGGAAACAGTTTATCGAAATGTTCTAATTTCTCAGGATTTCTAATTAGGTTGAATTTACCTGAAATGCAGCCACCTTTGCAATATGACTTGGTGATCCTCACCTGTTTACCAATTTTATTTTTTAGATTTTTCATAATTATCAAATGAACAAATTGTTTTTTAATAGACTCTTTACAACTTTTCATGGCCGTTGAATAATATTGACATTTTAAACTCTAAATTTATGTTCAAATAAAACAGCTTAATACATTTTTCATATTTAATAGAAATGTTGCCAGAGCAGTCAGTTGGGCCAACTGTTGATAATCTTTTCAATTCTCCGGTATCTGAATCTGGTTCAACAAGAATGCCTTCTGTAATTGGAACTAGGAAACCGAATACTACACGGGTAATGTTACCAAAGTACATAAATTTTAGTATACAAATAGATAGGAATAAAAGCAAGATGTATGCTCTGATTTCTGTTACCAGCCAAAATAAAATAATGCATTATTAACAATGTAGTCTCACTTTACCTACTTGATTTTCTCATTCTACAGTTTATAAGGGCTGGAATTTTTGTGTCTGACCCTTGGTGGGATCGTAAGGGGGATGTAATCGAGTTTCATATCTTTACAAAAAACTTCCTGGTTCCTAGTAGTACTCCAACGGAGGTCCTTCTGTAACGGTTAGTAACTTCAAACGAAACTAATCTCTACAGAACCCATCTGCCTAATTGAAATCAACCGTCTGGACTTTTATGGGTTGAACTTTAGTCGTTTTACTGGACTCTTTTCCCATTGTTTCATTTCAGTTCTGTCCATTCATTTGAACAATTCTTCAAGTCATCTCATTAAATCCTATCCTTTCACAAGTTTTAAACATTTTCCAGACATGAACTAGTGCATTAATATTTTCACCAACTGCTGACCTGAACAAATCTAAATCGGTCCGGTGAAATTTTACAAGCTTAGAATAAATCCCACCAATTGTGATTTTGGCTATATAAAGAAGTGCAAGAAGGATTCGATTGTGACTTAATTGGTTTCGTGTGCTTTTACGGGTTTGAGGGCGGATGTTACTTTCCGGCTTCCTACACAATGGAAGGGTGTTTCTTGAGAAACCTGGAAAGGAAGTTAGATTAGTGTTGATCTGAGCGAACTGGGAGCGCGATCACAGAGCCCAAGGGACAACTGCTTGAGGCCGGTTGCGCACGGCCTTTTTATGGGATGTTTTGGAAATGTTAGCTCCGCTCTTCAAGTAGCCTTATGCCTGGAGACGGAAATCTGTGGTGTAAGGTGAGGTGTGACATTTTAAGGGTCGGAGTTTTCTAAGCTTTTCCTTCCTTCTGAGAAGGCAGAATCGCTGCAGATGCTGGTTGTCCGATTGAGACACCTTACTGCTGTCACACCCCTCTGCAGTCAGTGGTGCGACTTCGCCCTCAGACCTTGAGTTGCAGCTTTTAGTCTTACCTTTCTTCAATGGACGTACCTGGTATGGTAGAGCCTACGAGAACATATATTCCAGCCAATATAACTCGGTTGGGTTACGATGACGGGCAAGCCTGACCACCATGTTAAGATATCATCTACGGTTGGGATCTTCGGATTGTCCTACCCTCTGATCCCTCTGTTCTAAATCCTAGTTTATTGATTTTCCTTCTTTATTTTTGATTGGTTACTCTAGTCTGTAGTTTCCTGCATACTTGGTTGCATCACATAGCTCTCTCATATTTCCTTTTATTGTTGTTTTTGTCTCATTTTCAAGGTCCCAATAGATTCCCACCTTTCAGCTCTAGTCCGTTTCTTCACATGTTTGCTTTCGTGTTTCCACTTTGAGCACTGGGTTTCTACATTTTTGTTCGGCTGTTGTTGACTAGTGTCTTGTTTTTTTTTCTGGAATTTTGCTCAGTCTATCTGAAGTAATTTCTTCCTTTTTCTGGTGCTTCTTGGGTGTCAGTAGCCTATGATATGCTGAAGCTATTGCTTCTTTATGCTACTCCAGATGTTTCCTCTTTCATCAACTTTTGTAAGATTTGGAACTCGTCACTAAGGGCTATCTTGAACTAAGTGAACTTATTAACGTTTTCCGTGCCTTTTTGGAGGACCCTCCTGAATATTTTGTATTCTTCGTCATCGTTATAACTTCCAGTGACTTGATTCCCGCCATAAGGCTTCATAGCTCTACTATTTGAAGACTCTTCAAACCATATAACTCAGCTGAAATGATTTACACAACTCATATTGGTAGTTTTTCTTCAAGGAAATTCTTTTCTATAGTTTCGGTTCGCTAACTCCATTCACAACCTCTCTCATTTACTGTGGATTAGCAATCACTTTAAAGGCGCTCCAGGCACATTTTGAATATGTGTATCAAAAGTAAATTTTGTCGTCCGCTAGTTCACGATCTGAAGCATGTTATTAGCATTACAATAAGAAACAAAAAAATGTCGTTCAACTCCAATGCCTTATGCTATACCCTTGTTAAAACATATTCTAATACCAAAGGTTATAACTTTCACGTAGACATTTTCAGTAGTATTTATTTAAATTACGTATCTTTTCCAAATTAACACGTATTTGTTCTTCTGTAAATTCGAATTTTTTACTTAGTCTGGTGCTAAAAAAGGTGGACTAGGTGCATCTAAGGTAAAAGCTGATTTTTCTGCCATTGTTTCGGCTGCCGAACATGCTGATTCTGAAAAAGAAGGTCAAGTTCTCTCATCGAATCAGGATTTGAACGATAAGGAAAAATCCGATGAAAAACGACTGTAAGTAACGCCTGAAAAATGTTCAGTTCTATGTATTTAAAAATTACTGACTGACTACAATTTTATTGCATAAGTACTGTATTTTGATTAGATCACTCCGTAATATATATATATATATATGATGTAGATCAAACTGTATTGCGAATCAACAAATTTATTATTTATTTAGTGCATCACTTCGGTTGGCATATAAAGATATTACTGAGGAATGTGAAAGGCGAGATACTGCCAACTTGGAGTCTATAGACTCTCAACGTGCTAAACAAGCTGAACGCCTGGGCATGGGTAAAATAGGATCAGACAATAGGTAAGTTTTTAAAAAAAGTATATGTTTTTCTCGTTCTTTTCTTTCGTTGATTCTGAATCACTTTGTAAACTGCATAATAGTATATTTTTTATTTCCTGCACTTCAAACTGATATCAATCTGGGATTTGATTCCGGAACAGTTTAACAACTGTTATGTTTCCAATTATTTACCAGCCCCGTTTTTCCCCTTAATTTGTAGCATAACGCATATTAAAATCCCAAGACGCAAGAATATATATATATATATATATATATATATATATATATATATATAACTCTGAGCATTCTAGGTCAGGAATTCCCTTCTGATGCATTTTGACAATGTCTCCTGTATGTCCTATTCACCTGCAGCGTATCTTCCTAGTTCCTCTTCATCTGGAAGCTGGTTTGTTCTTTTTTACGGTAGGTTGTTAATGGTGTCTGACCAACAAATCCACAGTATCTTGCGCGGACAATTGTTAATAAACACCTGTATCTTGTGGATGGTGGCTTTCGTAGTTGTCCAAGTTTCTGCTCCGTACAATAGGACTTTCATGATGTTTGCTTTAAAAATCCAGACTTTTGTATTAACTGGTAGTTGTTTAAGTTCCAGGTGTTCTTTGGTTCTAGAAATACCTTTCTAACCCTGCTAATCCGTGTCTTCACGCCTGCAGTAGACCCACCTTCATCAGCTGGTATGTTGTCTGGTGCTGCTGCTTTGCCACCCTTGATTTGTCTGATGGCCCTGCTGATTTCATCAGTTGCTGGCGGGTTAACACGAATTGCGAGATCTGTAAATTCTGCTTCGACGTTGGGTGGGTTCAGTGGACTAGTCTATTCAAGAGTTCTCCAACGTGCCCCACCCACCTGTTTCTCTGTTGTTCAATGTCAGTGATTGCTTTGCCCTCCTTGTTTTTCGCTGGTCGTTTTAATTTACTATACTCTTCAGTGAGCTTCTTCGTTCTGCCGTATAGTTGTCACATGTTTCCTTGTCTTGTAGCTTGTCATGCTATCAATGCTTGTTCTTCCATACATTTACGTTTGTTAGCTCAAATGCTCCACTTCGCTTGCTTGTTTGCTTCGGTGTATTCGAACTGCGCCTTGGTTTTCTCTGCTCTTATCCGACTGTTATTGATTGCTTTCTTCCTGTCCTTCCTTTCTTGAATCTGATCCAGTGTATCAACAGTGATCCATGCTTTGTGATGGTGGTTCTTGTGGTTCAGAGGCTCGTGATATATTGAAGTTATTGCTTCTTCGACCCCTTTCCAGTTCTCCATGGTAGTTTCCTCTTCATTGAGTAGGTAGTGAAAGGCTTAGAACTTAATGCTGAGAGCTGTCGTCAATTCGTTGAGCTTGCCAGTTTCCCGAATAAACTCCGTACTAAACTTTTGTGCTGCTGTCTGCTCAGTTGTCCAGTGCTTTTTTAGTTTCAGTTTCATCTTGGCCACAGCAAGCGATGGTCCGAAGCTATGTTAGTTCCTCTCTTTGCTCTTACGTCCTTAATGACCTTTCTTAACTTTTGATTGACGCAGATGTGATCGATTTTGTTGCGAGTAAAGTTAGCTTCCACTGCGGGTCTTCATCACTCTTCTTAATATAGACCCTTCGACTTTTGGTGGTGTGTTCGAGTTGCTTTTTCTGGTTTGAATTTTTTCACTGAGGTCATTTTTCACAGCCTGGGCTTGCCAACCCATGTGAATTTCCCCAAAGGATGATCTGCTCTTGTAATAACTATAAGCGGCTATTTTTCTTAAAATACAATAGTTATTCCACTTAAAAAAACTTAGATTACATAATTTTGAAATTGTTTCTCATTGTTTATTTGTTTTTCTGTATATTTGTCAATGTCATAACGAAAATACTTTTTAAACTATTAACATAATTTAATCTCTTAACTTTGAATGAGTAACCACAAATCTATCTATAATTTTTTTTGTAGAGAAATATCGCATTCAGCGTTCGAAAATGTTAAAAAAATAGAGCAAGAAAACACAGTTCCTATCCACTCTTCCTCCCTAAGTTCAAATTTGGACCCTTTCTTCATTTCAAGTTACAGCAATAAAGACCGTGATGCACGCAACTTTTTCGATCCTGCAGATGACCGTTTGTTCGGTTGGTAACAAGTCTTAGTTTTTTATCAGTGTGTGTTTTACCATTCTGTGGTAAATATTAAAAGACGTGTTGGTGATCAATTAAAAGAGTATTAAACAGTCTTATGCAGTTTTAGCGTTATGCAGTTCAACTTGAATGCATTTTTATGACATATACTTCTTAAATATTTACATTAACCTGACCATAGTGCTCTTCATTCCAGTATAGCTAGTAATTCTAACTATAGTTGACCTTCTGAAACATGCAGATCGTTTACTTCACATTTTTATTAATTATATCAGTCGTTCATATTTAATTAAAGATTGTTGACATGTGCTTCCGTGTTATTTACTTATTTAAGGAGACTCTACGGCTTATGGTATGAATGGTGGATGGTCAAAAAGTAAACCAGGAAATAGTGATCGAGATGAACATTTTCCAGATCCTTTCAATCAAAAACAAGCTAGAACACGTGATTTCCTTAATGTTGCTGATGATTTTTCAACGAAATCACCCAACAGACAACCTACATCTCTTTCATCTACACAATCAGAAGCTAATTCAGACTCGAGTGAATTGATGAAGAAATTCGCCAATGCGACTTCCATATCGTCTGATGCATTTTTTGACCGAGATAACGTAAGCCTGAACAGATCAATATGTTAATCTTCGATTTTTGAGCTTACACTATAATGCTGTCATAACCTATAATAAACGTTTGACAGTTATTGGGGGTACCTATATTTTCCACGAAAATTGTGAGGTAAAAGTAGTTATATATTTTGTAATCGTGAGATGATACGTTATTGCTTATCTCCGTACTTTTCGAAAATATTTAACTGGAGACAACCTACAGATTCAGAATTATTTGGTATATTTTCATATCGCAGACATATATAGACAATGAAGTTGTCTTAAAAATTCTTTTGATTACTAGAGAACACAATCTGAAATAACTAACGAATTACAGAAATACTTAGTAGTTGATTGGATTACTCTAATTACTATGAAACTCCTTTAGGTTAACATTGAACCTTTCGTACATATTCATTATAGCTGTTGTACTAGATCTAAGTAGTTTTCATTCTTTATCTCTTAATTTAGTTCTTGACCTACTTCTTTCGTTTGCTGGTTGCATTTCCACCATTAACATTAAGTCTGAGATGTTATTTTTTCGTCTTCTGATTGTTAATTTGGTATACACTCTCGATTTCACTCCCTTTCTACTTATGCTCAGTGTTAGCTTATGACGATTAAAACAAACAAATGCTTTTTTGCTCTAATGTCAGATGAAATCCAGAACCCACAAATGGACATTCTTGACGTCAAGTTGATAAATGTTCTGTTCGCTGCTCCTCTGTGTTAATTTTAACGTCATACAAATACTGCAACACTTCACTTGTCACTTGTTAAACTAGGTTGGACTGATTGATGATGACAGTCAGAACAGTTGTTTTGTTCCAATTTTTAATGTTGAAATCATGAATCGATCAATGTTAGACCACCATTAGAAACCTGGAAGCACTGGACGGCCGTTTCATCCTAGTATGAGACTGATCAACAGTGTTCGTTCACGACTACTGCACCTCACAGGATTCGAACCCGAACCTTTGGTCTTGCGCGCGAACGCCTTATAATATGACTGAATGTCGGTCATCAGATTAAATGCAATGATACGATGTGGCTGAGTAATAACTATTCATGACACTAAATTATTGACACAAGCCTTCCAAATAACATGTCAGGAAAAAGCCAATTTCCCTGAAGAATGAATTTTTTCTCTAGTAAAATAACGTAGTTATGTCCAAAATATTAGCACTTTAATCATTATGATTTGATCCGATGTGTGATTAAATGGTATTGATTTAGGATTTGTACAAAATGGTTCAACCATCTCAGTCATGTTACGTCATTTTTATATTATCTGCCGTAGTTAGTTTCGACGTCACTTCTCCATGAGGTTTTATCCGACTAAATGTTTTCGGATAAATAGCCTCCAGCGAGTTCACATGTTTCTTGTTACATATTTCATTAACAGATTGTATGAAAAATCTCCCGATTAGCAGTGTAGGATGGTGCCTCTTCTATTCAAGGAGTACGGGTACGATCGGAGAGAAACAAGCTTTCCAGGTTGTACAAATCACTTGATCATTATGAACAGGTAAGAGTAATCACCTTGTTAAGGTAACATCTATATTGAAGATTGCCGCAAACAATGTAAAAGTTGTTAACAACCATGTATATCTCGTTGATTCGTAGAATACATCTCGCTCACATTATCTTCCATAGAGATCTAAGAATATCTGTTATTTGTCAACTTTTTAGTAAGTGTAGTTCGTCATAACTGAATTATAATTATGTAAAAGCAATACTTTTTATACGATAGCAATTGAATTAATGAGCTTTTATGTTTGTTTTTCTATCCTTTGAAGGTTCTATATATGTGCGATATCTATTTATTCACTTGTTTTTCACTTATACTAGTCTGAATCTGATGGGCTGTCAAGATTTCAAGGGAGTTCATCCATTTCCAGTGACGATTATTTTGGTCGTCCTAAAGTGCGACAATCTCAAGTGTCTAATGAATTACAGAATATCAAAGATGGTGTCAAACAAAGTGTAACTAAAGTTGCTGGGCGGTTGTCAAATCTGGCAACTGACGTAGTGCACACTCTTCAAGTAAGTTGAATGAAATAACATCTAAATATGAAATATGTTCTGAACAGCATTTTCGAAATGTGTTCGGTCCAGTGATCTTTCAAATACTTCTGAATAATAGGCAATGATTATATCGTCTTACCCAGGCATTTCAACTTCGACCAACCGAGAGAGAGCATCAGCTTGACCAGTAGCATTCGTTAACGGATACTTGATGATTAACTTTTAGCTGTTTAAACAATAATTCCTTTCTTAGAACCGAAAATTGCAATTAGAGGTTTATGGTCTGTCAGTAAAGTTGGTATACGAACGTAGAGCATTTTTGGAATCTTGACAGCGAGTATGATTGCAAGGGCTTCCTTTTCAGTATGACTGTAGTTGTGCTGGGACAAGTGATCTAACATTATCAGCAATTATCTTCTGATTTATCTGAAGACGTTAGATTTCACTTCTCCGGCTTTGAGATGGTGGAGAAAATTTGTAGCTTAGGTGAATGATTATGACGGAGTTTCGTTCATCTATCAGTGAACGTTACTTGAAGCGTTCACACTACGTTGACATGTGCTAGAGTACAATTGTTATCAGCTTTATATATATTAAGACACTGATCTCCAGTACTAAACAATAAAAAGAATTGACAAAATATATGTGACTGTCCGGCCACTATCTCTTCTAAAGTGGGCTCTCGAGGTAATTTCGGCAATATCTGATCAGCATAACGAGTATATCTGTTGTATCCTAACTTGCGCACCAACAACCGAATCTTCCATGCATCATCATGGGATATTTTTAGCCTTGGGATGGCAGTGTGTGAACTCGAGCAGTCAATGGTTTAACTGCTCCCTCAACATTTCTAGCAGTCGCATTCGGGCATCAAGTTGTAATTGCTTCTGTCATAAAATTCGTTTAAGCTGGTCATCTGTCGCATGCATGTGTTTTCCGTCGCCACTATTAATGATCTCGCTTATACGACCCAGCTACCTTATTTCTTAGCATTCTTTGATAACACACAACGCTCAACTATTCCCTGAAATCTGAACACGGCTTCAACGGTTAGTGCTTCATATTCTGACGAACCAAGTTAAATACGAGGAAATCATAGTGACAAGAATTTTCAGCATATTTATATTCTTACACAAGAATATCCTTCAACCTTCTCTAGCTATCTGCTAGCGTTGACTGGCTAAGAATGAACTAATTAGTGCTCCCATATAATCTTGCAACAGACATGCTTCCGTCCAATCTATCCTGCTAATCATCGAAAAAAGGTATATTCAGCCTGTGCTTCTTTTGGTCCACGATAGGATTACCAAAACCCTAAATCGCTTGTTATAAAATTCCTAACCCCTATCCCGTTTCTTTTTGTTCCTATATCTCTCTTGATCTATTTATTCGTCTTTCCCACTTTACATGAATTTTTTTATCTTAAATTACATTTATCACACCTCATAACACATTAGATTCATACAACGTTATTGTTATTGTCTCCATTAACGAGAAAAAAATTTTCCTACTGTTCGCTATATTCACATGATTTATTGTATTACTATTATAATCATTTTAACCCGATACTTTACAACGAACCATTCCGAGCTTTATTGAGTGACTCCTAATTTACAAATGACGGAATCTTGTAGTACTTATATCGTAACAGATTCAAGGGTTCCCCATTTTTAGACTGTAACATTGTTGTAATTTATTGATAATGCTTTATTTTTGGCCTTTTTAAGATAGCTTATTAATTCTGAACTAATAGATATAAAGCCTGGTGATAAAGTTCGCTCAAATATTTTAGTTTTGCATATTTTATTGGGATTTTCAAATTATTGAATTTTTTCTGTCTAGCACTAAAGGTCAATAAAAGTAAGGATAATGTATTTCTCCCGAAAAAAAAATACTATTTACACGTTATTAATCTCGATAACAGTTGTTTGTAATGTTGTGTTGGTCCTATATTTGTTGCCCATCTACCAGGCTCATCTCTTTGAATCACTACTGTAAAGATTAGCGGATTAGTAGCTGTAAATATCTATCTAATTGAGATTGAAATGCGACATTTAGCGAAAGGGACATTTCAAATATAATAAACTACCTGAATCAATTAAAGTAGAAATTACAAGTGGCAGAATAGACGTTTTATCGAATGGTTTTGGTCAGCCAATATGTACCAAATTATCCCAGTAATAAGACGTATTGTAGTTCTCATTGCAAACTGATCGAAACGTCTGATGAAAGAAACATTGATCGTTCCAAAAGTTTACAAGGAAATAGATAGTCGATATAGACTATACAGTAAGATGTGGCTGTCATATTGCTCATCAACGAGCTTCAAATTAGCATGCATTTTGAAAATAGAAGTTATTTCTTCTATTCTTAAGTCATTTCACAAAACTTAGGAACTTGATAGTGTATAAGCTGTTCATCAAACATTTCACCGTTAACTTTAGCCTATGATGCTGTCGTACAGGTAAGTATCCATTTGTTTTAAGAGCAAAGTTTGTTATTCCTCATGGTTATTTCGACTTCAAATTTTGTCGGAAATATCGTCCATTGGTTATTCCAACCTTGGTAGATGAAGCGAAGTTCGCAGTAGTGATCTACTTTCGATCAGACTACCGAACTATTGTTGCCCAGTTAATGTCAAGTATTTTTATATCATTTTGTTTTTGATAGTAATATATTTTAACTTCGCTTAAAATGTGTGTATTTTTTTCAGGACCGATTTGGTTAGTTGTTTCCAGTTTTTGAATGTCTTCAGTCAGTTTGTGATGCGTCTACTCAATATTTTGATTTAGTCGTCAATCCCTTCTTTGTTTTTGATCACAATCGGGGTTCAGGACATTCCTTTTAGTCCGGTTATTTATTTTTAAAGCTTTTGTTTTCTTTATCTCTTGAGAGACGAACGTTTCTTAGCCCTGATTGACTGTAAGAGCCATTTTATTTGGTTCACTTTGTTGATAAGTTGAAGTTTTTGTAAATCCTTGTTTTTGTTTGTAAGCACCAAGTAAACCATTTTTTGAGGTGACTGTTATCCTGAAAATTTTTCTATTATTGTCGGAAATTATTAAAACGTAATCTCTCCAATTCATGTGAATCACTTTCCTTTTGACTTATATATCGAATAATCTGTACGCTAGGTTGTTTCTAGTATCTTTATCTATGAGCAGGAAAGATGTAAACAAAATAATCATGATATCTACCAGGGATCGAATCTAGGACCTTTTTTCAACTGGCCTTTCTGGGTGATTGTCAATGATAACCGTCTATTGCACGATAAGATTTTGTCTAGATATTATCGTATTATGTTATATCACTCATCTGCTGTAGACCTAGACGCTGTTTAGAAAAAAATAGCTATCGAGTTTTGTCCCACAATATCACCAGTGTATGACGCCGTTGAATCTAGGAAAGGGTTGTGTGGTGTGTCGTAATGACAAGTTCTCATTTTCAACGCGACTTGCTTGAAGCGCAAATAGTTCTTTAGCGATTTAAACGGGGATTACAGAAACAAAGAGACGTTCTTATTTGGAATGCAGGATTTAATAGACTACTCTATAATTATAGTTCCTTGTTTGAAGATTTGCTGCGAGTTGTTGTTTTAGAACACCTTTACGAGATCGAACAATTTTCCTAACCTAAAATCAAAAATACTGGAAGGGATTGGTTTTTAAAGTGAAATAGTTCGCTATTATTACTTAAGTTGGTTCAACTTTATTTAGAACAAAGAGTTTTCTACAATAGACTGTTATATCAGCTTCCTGTTTATTGCGGTTTTATAATTGTCCTGTCTTTTATAAATAAACTACTCAGGTAGTAAGTAACCAGAATTTTCGGTACGACGCTGTCAGAAAGTCTAATTTTTGATTGATATAAAGGTTTTGTTTTGTAGAATTCTTAGTTGTAGATGAAAGAATTCTTTTCGACTGGCCACGTAAGCTCTGAAAAGAGAGAGATGCATAATACCTTTTATAATTTGGAACCAATATTAACGATTATTGACTATAAAATTACCTGCTAAATGTGGAAACTGACGTATTACCTGAAAAAGTAGGACAGTATCGTTTTGTGATTTCATCTTTATCTACCGTCAGTGATGTTTACATGGAAATTCAATTTGTAATAATAATTGGGTAAAAAGCCTTTGATGTTTTAAATAATACCTCGACGTTTGCATAATATTCGTAAATTTGAAATCTTGAAACAGGTTTATCGTGAAATATACGCATCATCTCATCTTATTACTCTTATTTTGGAGCTATCTTCTGTATCTATTGATAATCATACTCTGACTGACTCAGCTCGATTTAATCTTCGTGTATCTGGAAGCCCTGATGCTGCTTTCCGTGGTCTTTCTGGCGTAGGCATAGCATTGAGTCGTAGAGCTGAACAATCTCTCCTTGACTGGATCCCAGTAGATAGTCGCTTGTGCGCTGTCCGACTAAATGGGACAGTAAGGACTCGGAAAGAGGGATACCCGTCGTTGCCTCTTCTTCATATCTGCCTATGCTCCCACTGACTGCAGTTAAGACGAGGTTAAAGATGGGTTTTACAGAAAGCTTTCGGACCTCCTCCAAAAAGCTAGGCACTCAGACATACTAATACTAGCTGGAGACCTTAATGCTCAAGTAGGTAGACTAAGTGAGAATGAAAGACACCTGTGTGGATGTTATGATGTCGCGGCTCAGAGAACAGACAATGGCGACCGTCTGTTGTAAGTATGCTCAGATAACGGCCTATTTCTAGCAAACACTAACTTTAGGCATAAGGAAAAGCATCTGTTGACCTGGCGACCTCCAAAGTCGTCTCAACGTTGGACTCAATTAGATCACATCGCCATCAGCCACCGATGGAGGGATTCGATAGAAGACTGTCGCTCGTTGTGGGGCACATGTTTAGATTCAGATCATGTCCTAGTACGAGTGCGTATTTGTTTGAGGCTTACTGGACGTAGAAAAGACACCGTAAGAAAGCCTCTTAGGGTTTTACTTAATGATAATAAAGCTAAGAATATATTTCAGGAGCAACTAGAGAAAACAATTAGGCGACTGTGTAAGTGATTCCCATCTGGAGGCAGCTTGGAATGATATCAAAAAGGCTGTGGAAACAGTAGTGAGATCTGTTAGTAAGGTAAACCATAAGGTTAGGATGAAGCCGTGGATCTCACTAGCATCTACCGAACTCGTGGAAGCTCGAAAACGAATCCCGCCTGGCTCTGAGGGCGACGAGGGACAGAGTCAGCTTAGACGTAGGCTGATAAAAAGCCTACGCAATGATCGAGAACAGTGGTGGGTGGCGAAAGCGAGAGAGCTGGAAGAGGCAGCGGAACTGGCCTCGAGCCACTCTTCAGTTACCCACGATCTCCAGTCATCCTGAATGGCAAACCGACGTAAGTCCTCCTAGTCTTTACGAAGTTGAGAAAGCGTTAGGAAATCTGAAGCGAGGACGAGCTGCAGGTCCTGATAGACTGACGTTTGAGATATTTAAGGATGGTGGTCCAGTTTTAGCAGTTAGATTTACCGAGATCTAAGGTAGAATCTGAGAACTGGACGTAATCCCATCCGAGTGGTCTCAATGACTGACTGTCCCAATCTATAAGAAAGGACAATTCTTCTTGTGACAATCACAGAGGAATAAGTCTAACTAATATAGTATCCAAAAAATATTGGCCTCAGTAATACTTCGACGCTTAACGAAAGCTCGTGAAGAGCAGACTCGAGAAAACCAGTCTGGTTTTCGACCTGGACGTGGTTGTATAGACCACGTCTTCACGCTACGACAGGTCCTGGAACACAGACACATTTGGGCGTCCTACAATAATTTTCTTCCTGGACCTTAAAGCGGCATTTGACTCAGTGGATCGTGAGGTTCTGTGTCAGTGTCTGTCGTTGAGAGGTGTACCAATGAAGTACATCAACCTTATACAAGCTCTCTACTCGAACACTAGAGGTCGAGTGAGAGCTTATGGCGAACTGTCACCGGAATTCTCTACTTCAAGTGGTGTGCGTCAAGCATGTCCACTCTCTCCATTCTTGTTTAATTTTATCAGAGACATGCTCCTAGAAATAACCTTATCCTCGTCTGAATTTTCAGGAGTAGACCTTCTACCAGGAAAATCGCTTACTGACCTAGAATATGCCGATGACATAGTTCTATTTGGTGAAGACGCTGACAAAATGCAAAGTCTTCTGACCACCCTAAGCAACAATGCAAGCATGTTCGGGATGCGTTTTCCCCGTCGAAATGTATGCCTAACCACCGACTGACTCGTCGAGCTATATTTTGCGGTGTAGGAATAGGTTGGATGAAAGCTAGGGGCGGCCAGACCAAAACATGACAGAAATCCATGAAGTCATTGACGAGTGGACTTAGCCAATTACTTAGCCGATTACTTCTAATCCTTTTACTTCCTCTACTACTATTGGATTTGAATTGACAATTACATCTGTGTGCTAATGTGGTATGGCAACATTAACTGAAAGGAGGTTCTGACTGACTAAACAGTAGATTCTGACATCGATAGTTGTAAACGGAACGGCCTTTCTCAAAATTGAGTTTCAGTATGCCTTCAAACGAATCTAGTTGTAGTGCTTATAAACGTAGACGCTACATGAAGTGTAAAGAATTAAGGTTTTTCGATTTAATATATAAGAAAATTACTTTCCACGCGCAAAACATCTCTGAACTAGTTTTGCAAGAGGAATGCATGTTACATGCGGTAGTGGATTTGAACTGTTTTAATAATAATAATATTTCAAGAGAATAATGGTGGAATTTTATTTGGATTGGTGTAAACAACTCTAAGCTATCTTTCCAGGACTGACTATTAGCAAATCACGTTCTTATTATATATATATATATATATATATATATATATATAAATTTTACGCTTACCCGATTGTGATGATGCTTCATATGGAATATCGTAGAGCCTCATGTATTCTCTTAATGGTATTATTCCTTCATAAGGCGATATGTCCGCAAAATACCCAACGGCTACTAAACATAAAATTCACCCGTTAAAATCTTTTAGAGCATAGGTTAGCAAAATTATTTAAAAGATAATAATCGTAAATCGTCATTAATCTTCTAGCCAGTAATTATTAAAATATTAACTTGTCCTGTTAAATCGGTCTTTGTGATCATCATCATCATCACATAAATACCAGAATCAACTGGAGGCTTTCTTATAAAGAAGTGAGTTAAAGTAGTCGGCTTCGGTGTTCTCAAAAACTTCATCGTTTGCTACAACTTAAATAGGAATTTCCTTTCGTGTGCAACTTGATGTATTTCATTCAGCATCTTCTGCCGATCAGGTGCTAAACTTCTAATCAAAGTAGTATTACGCATAAATTTTAGTTTATTTGGTTGCATCAGTCTAGCTTCTCGTAATACATATATTTATTTCTGATGAATGAATACTCCATAGAACTCTTTTTGAATGCAGTTAGTGGAGAAAATGTGATCGTGCACAACTGGGACCATTTTCCTCTCACAAAACTCTTGAAGCTTAATTGGAACTAGCCTTTACCTGATTCACTAAACTTAGTTTAGACAGTATATTCCATAGGATGTGTGATATGAATATTATGAGATCTAATTAATTGCAAGTAGGATCGAATTCAAACTTGCATTCAGTTAATCACCAATCGAATTACGTAGCAATATATATGTGTATATACTTTCGGAGTCATTCTCGTGCTCTAATAATAAACAGTACCGACCTTGGCATGTGACATATCTATAATAATTATCTCTTCACAATAAACGATTTACCTTGTTGTGGAATCAGCTCTGGACGTACTTGACGGATATTATTCAATATTTCGGTTAGCTTCCGCTGAAAAATGAAATCTATACATATTTTAATCTTTCAGGCATCTAAAATGTCATAAATAAAACCATAACATTTACAGAACTTATATAATCAAGAATTAAGTGTTTTGGTTCAGACTAATCCACCATTTTTTAAAAATTACCTACGTTGATTGCGACTGAATACATTCGCTTTAAACTTAACTGAAAATGCTGTCCAATCACTTCGCTGTTTGAGAAAATTCATTTATTTTTGTAGTACCTTAAATAAAGAGATCTTTTATTTTCCTAATAAATCCTAGCCTATATCTATTTCAACCTTAGATCACTTAAGTAACGAACAGAAAACGTCCCTGTGTGGTCGAACCGTTTTAAGATACACTTTGTCTTACGTAAAATTTCGACTTCCCATGAAGTGGCGGTTTGGTGATTTGGTCATTGAGCCTTCAGCCAGTAAGTGCTCACTTCAAACCCACCTAGTTCAGTTTAAGTGGTTGGATAATAACAGTGCATACGAACAGAATACGTTAACTTGTTCTCCACGGACATATTACAACGAATCAACTTCTTAATTTTGAATAATCCGAGCGTCTTGACCTGACAGACATTAAAATGAAGATTTTCATCTTGAAAGAATTTCGAAATTCAGAACATTTCATTTATGTAAGGTTGCGACACTACATAAAATTAGTTTGTCAATCAGTATATTTCTGTAGCGTACATAGAGTTTCACAATTTACCGGTGTTACATAAATGTTTGATTCCGTAGACCCAGCTGAAGATTAGGATGCAGACAGAAATAAGTGTATCCGCCTGAACAGGAATACGGATATTTTTACTCTTGGTGCAATTAATTGCTGTACATTATAAAAAATCTGAGTTGGCATCATATTCGACCGAAATGAAAATATATGAGCTGCTGTTTCATCATTTCGATTACCATAGTTAATTACAAAGTTATTTGAACATGCAAATTAAAACTAAGTTAATAAGTGCGTTGCTAATATAGTTAGATTGGTATATATCCTGACTTGACTTGTTACTGTCCCAAGAACGTTTCTATGATGTATAAATAAACGAGAGTTGTGTGCTTGCTGGGTTTTGTATAATATACTTTCTACGCTTATAAGATTTCTGTTAGCAGTTTGGGATCAAGGTAGCCTACCTGGACGCTAGTAATTATCTCGTTAGCGTTTATCGACTGAGGTGAACTCGTAATAGCTTCAAGCCTACCTAGTGACGAACTTAACACTTTATTAAACTTACTTTAAAAACTTCAGGAACGTATTCTTCTTGCCCCTGTAAAAAAATAAGAATATTTTATGAATAGTTTCCAACAATTGAAAATTTACTTGCTAACAAACGCGGAAATATGTACTCCAAGAAACCTCACACCGTTGGGGCTCCAGACAATCGTTTTCTACAGGTTAACTTCGCCTGCAGCCCTCCAGGGCTACTGCCTTTCCCAAGCCCTGGTAAAAGTGGTGGGCTGGGACTAGCGGCCCCGACCAGTAGAAAACTAACTTGCTAAACAACGCTAACAAGCAAAAATAATTCAAACCATTTAAACTCTGCTCTGGGAGTTAGGTCTTCATTTAGAAGAATTATGGTGTCTCATCATGAAAGCCGAGTTCCTTCGGAATTCACGAAGCTGATGACCCTTCTGGCAACTAGATTCCTTCCAAGATGTAGGCAGCCGGAAACTAACAACCAACCTCATACACGTAACAGCACATGGGACCAAATCTGTCACAACCAGATCCCTTATGCGCCTCCTAATAACTCTTATCTTCACGACAATCAATTCTTTCGTTCCTTTGTCACCCTACGCCTCTGACGCAAACGCTTTGAGGTCATGAAACGTTAATCCTGGTCTTCTGAATCCCCATTCTAAACTATATGCTGGAGACAATAATGTTCAACATTGTGTCAAATAGGGCAGCAGGCTTCCTTAGCTGGGACTCTAGAATCCCGTGCCATCGATGTGTGTTGTGTCTCCGAAGCGGGCGTACAAGATCCGAGCAAAATCATCAGTTTGGTTTAACCTTGTGCTGATGGAGAAACAACACGGTTTACACTTCGTGTATCTGGAAGCGCTGTACCTGCTTCCAGTAGCCTCGCAGTCCCACTAAACTGGACAGTTAGTACTCGTAAAGATAGGGTCACTGTCTGTTGCGTCCCTTTTCGTCTCTGCCTTCGTTCCCACCGACTACAGCCTGGACGGGGTAAAGATGAGTTTTACAGAAAATCAGCTTAAACTCAGGGTGATAAGAAGCCAACGCAATGATCGGAAACAGTGGTAGGTAGTGGATGCAAGAAAGGTGCAAAAGGCAGTTGCTATAGGTAACAGTATACAACTATTCATACTTATCAAGGAAACTGGAAATTAGAATCTGTCTGTTAGTGAGATTATTTGGGAAAAGGATGGCATTTTGGCGGTGTTCGTTCTCTGAGCTGGATGTTTTGGTTGTGAAGCTTTCATTTTGCTTCCGAACAACATCATCAGCACAAACTTCAGACGGATGGCATTATTATTCCTTCTCAATCCAGGAGATTGGATCGATGCGCGAAACACTTTAGGAATCAGTTCAACGCCTTCAGCCACACATCAGTTACCCACGATTTCCAGTCAACCTGAATGGCAAATTAATGTAAGTCCTCCAACTCCCAGTAAATTCGAAAAAGCTAGAGGAAATCTAAAACGATGGAGAGCAGCGGGTCCTGATAGGCTAACTCCTGAGATTGCTAAGGATGGTGGTCCAGTTTTAGCAGTTAGATTTACTGAGATCTAAGGTAGAATCTGAGAACTGGACGTGATCCTATCCGACCGGTCTCAATCACTGATTGTCCCAGTCTATAAGAAAGGATGAAAGTCCTCTTGTGACAATAACAGGGTAACCAGTTTGTCTAATATATTGTCTAAAATGTTAGCCTCGCTAATACTTATCCACCTAACTGGAGCTCGTTAAACGGGCACCAGGTAAGGAAGGCTGATCAAAAGATGAAGTAGTTAAACTTCACCAGTTGAGTTGGTTGCGACATGTGTTACGAATGCCCAAACATCGACTGCCTAGACGAGCTACGTTTTGCGGTGTAGGAGTAGGTCGGAAGAAAGCCTGGGTCGGCCACACTATATTATGCCACAAATCCACGAAGCCACTGACAAGTGGATTGCGTCATGTTGGTTGATGTCTGCGAGATGATAGTAATCGATGGTTAGAGATCTTGAACGACATGGCTCAAAACAGTCTGCAATGGTGTAGGTTCATCCATCTTTGCTCTTTCAAATCCCAATCTTCCAGGTTCCTCAGGTCAGTTTTTTTCTCTTTTTATAATTGATTCCTCTGGGCTGTACATCTCGAATAATATATTCTATCAGTAATCTCTTTGATTACTGCTAATATTTCTACTACCTCTAATACTATGGTATTTGTAATTGCCAATAGCGTCTCTGTGCCTATGTGATATGGCAACTTAAATTGATTTACGTACGCACGGGTGAAGTTTTACGTTTTCATTGGCTGACCAGTTTTCGCCAGGTTTATAAGCCTACTAAAAGGGGATAACAATTAAATGTTTATTTCTGATACACAGTGGTCAGTAATTCTGATAAACCTTCAGTTAATTGGTTGAGGATCGGCCTACGAAACCCGATTCTGATAATCATTTATGGTCTAAATTAATTTAGATTTTTTATTTAGTTCTAAATTTTTTTCTTTAATTACATAGCTTCCTCACATATCAAAGCTTGTACTTTGGTGTTTGGTTAGCTTGTTATATGAAGCTTGTTAGTTTGTCTCATCTCTAATCCGGGTTTTGTGAGCTGTGATTACTTGGCCGCATTAATCTGTTGGGTTGAATGTATTTGTCAAATCATCCTATTATAACAGTTGAACGAAAATGCACTATCAAGTTTCGCACAACGCTAACTAGTAGTAAATTACAGTCTCTTCAAACCAAATACATGACAATTTCAGCAAAAGTTAATTCAGTTTTGAATGCACTTCGTTACTACGTGTTTTAAAACTATCCATAAAACTGATAAGCATATGGACTGCTTGAACTTTTGTATCACACAGTAGTCAAAACAGAATAAAGTTTCTTTGAATTTAAGACATGTAGATAATCAATAATTACTGCTCAAAAAGATTTCCATTGCAAAAGTTGATCACCTCTCCTATCTGATTACATATTATGTTTAATCTACATTGGTCGCCCTTCTTGAATTAATAAATACACGAAACGTTTATCACCTGAATCGAATTTATAACTCCGAATCTTCTAATGATTTACTGGCACATCAACATCTGAAAAACGATTTTGGTGTTTATCTATTAGTATTACTTTTTAGATAATTCGATTCATTCCAGCACCTATCCTCTTGCTTCAAGAAGCTATTGGTGCCATGACGTGTTTACAAGCTAATTTTATACTTCAGCCTTTACGTCTTAGTCTCTTGCCATCTTGTGTACAAACAGACTTAAATCCCTTTCTCTGTTCACTAAACAAAAAGATAACTCTGTTAGTATAAAAATCCGTTTCATGTCTTCTGCAGTTACCTAGCTCTTTAATTTTTTCAAAGGTCTGCTCTTATGTAATTGCATAGAAAACAGGTTCAACAAAAACTGTGTATTCAATTTTCTTGCATAGTTAAACCCTCAATTTTCCAAATATATAAAACCACACAGATTTCAATAACTTTCCATATAAGCATCTAAATGCCAAGAATTGTTGATGGAATTACATTCAGTTTTAACGTTATCGCATACCAAATTATTGCCTAGATATTAGGAGTTTAAACTAGCTGGTACCATATGCATCCTATGCCAGTGTGCTCATTATTTTAATGTTAATGTTTTAATGCTAAAGTATCATAGAAGAAAGTGCTCACATTGTCTTAGATAGTACAACCTCTTAAGTATGTGTCCGAAGATTTTAACGGTTATATTTAGTTTTTCAGGTATACCAGAAGTGTTATTTTAAAAAATTTATTTATTTTGACCAAACAATTCAACATTTCCCCCAGAAACTATGATAGATCTTGAACGCTTTTTGTAATAGATTGTTTTGAGATATTCATGCTACGATTTAAACAGTATTTAACACGAGTTCACTCTTTTATCAATCTACAACTGGAATTAATTTTCCTACTGTGTAACAACAGAGTACCAGGAGCGGTTTTATATTTGGACCTTATGAATTGTCGAAGAAGACAAAACGACGGAAATCTGGTGATGAAAAGAGGCTCATAATCAATCCAAATTTATTTGTTGATGTATTAAATTAGTGTCCCATATAGGCTAAAATAAGAAAATTATTGCAGTGCCCTTTTTATCTTCATGTATCTGTCAATAAAAACGTGATTCACCTATTTAGAATAGGATTTAATTTTCAAGCTGCTGATTATATCTTCGTAAGACTCCCTGCAGATATGATGACCACATTTTCAATATTTTGATTCTTTTCATTTTAGACATTACTAGAAAAATGAATTTGAAGTAGCAAGGTTTCATAAGCAGTCGAAAAGCACATCCAGTAGATGGCTAGTTGTAACAACACGATTGTCAGAAATTTAATATCAAACAAAACTGTTAGTTCTGATTTGAAGTGAGATTCATTTGAAGGGAATGTTAATTATAGCAAACCAAAACATATTTATTTATTCAATGTAACCTACTCGCATGGATTCTTCTGCTAGATGTACACTTAATTTATTCACTTGACTTAGTAAGTCAAGTAACTTTTTTTCATCGGTTTCATTTGATTCATAGTCTGATATGACTGTTGGTTCCATATCAAACACCAACAGTTCGTATGTGCGATATATACGGTGAATAACATTATCCATTACACACAATATACGATTATGAATTGTTGGAGCCAAAGAGTTTTTTCTGTACATTTCTCGAATGGTTGCTTCATCAATCTCGCTGAGATGGTGGTGGTCTTGAGTATGATGTTGATCCACATTCATTTGTTCTGAATGGAAACTAATGTAAGATTCTATGACTTCTTCAGACTTGGAAATTAGGCGGAGAAATTTAATCAAACTTCTAAAACTTGACTGACTAACTCTTTGAGAACAGGCTCAATACCTCAATAATATGTATCACGTGATAAGGATAAACCATTAGGAGACCTGTAATATGATCCGGTGGCGCGAAGTTAGACGAAATTTTTTCGAAGAATCCTATCAAAACTAAGTGAGATCTTAATTTAATCACTAACTTCCAACTTCATTTTTAGTTAGGTGTGGTGAAATCTTCCCAACTAGTATTACACAGTATAATATGTTCGCCTAAGTGACTATTAAGTTTTGAATGAAAAAATTCTCACTTCTCCTTGAAACTGTTTTTGTTCCAGTTCTTGAAAAAGAGAAACCAGAACTGGTGAATCTTCATCGTTGCTCTTTGTTGACATGATTTGTATGTACGCACGCTTTTGTTACTATAGACAGATTGGATCCAAGGTCCAATACATTTTCCACGACCTATTTTAAACAAAATGATTTTTCGAGGTGATCTGCATGCTTTGAAGAGTAATAGACAAAACTCCGGAGTGACCGTAACATGACGCCTTGGCATTCACAGAAGAGTTGAATTGGCCTTTGTTGTATTACCTTGAGTAGTTTGAACTGGTGTTCAAGCTCTTTCTCTGGACAGTTGTAGCTCTCAAGGGAGACATTTACGGGAAAGACGTACATAGAAAGTCGGTTGTCAAAAACGGTTGGATTAGAATAGTAATTAGTTTTCAAATTTATAGTTTTAATGTATTATCTTTACATTTTAAAAACATGTTGCTCTTATCACCACCTGCACTACTATCTGCTTGATTCATAGTTTCATTATCTTGTCAGATCGGTAATTGTGATAAACCTATTCAAATTGTAGCATTTGCTGAAGAAAAATTTCACGCTTAATAGTTAATTGTATGCTGATAGCTCACTCTTGAAAACTGACGTGTCGTCATTGACCGCCCACTATTTACAGGAAAAATGTAAGTTTTCGATATCAGTTTGGGACATTAAATATTCCCGAAGATGTAAAATTCTTCCTATTCATTAGCAGACAGTCAAATAAACAATTCAGACTAATGTTCCTATTCCAATGGGAACCACTACGGAGTAGGTCCAGATGCCTCAATCAACTGCTTACTTTCCAATCGCATCGGATGAATATATAATTTTATTCACTCGCAAACTGAGGTCTTGTTCAAAGGTTCCTGGATCCACGTGACGTGACGTGGCAAATTTCGGGGGACTTTCGAGCTCTATTCATAAGGTAACACTGAAGCTCGAAAAACGTTACAAACCAGTGATAGGGATGTTAGACAGAACTCATTGCTTTTATTGAATCATGTATTGTCGGATGGAGGGTTTTCATAAAGGACAGTAAGATAAATAGAACGCAAAGCTTAGAATGAGTAATACCTCGGGTAAACTATGCCGGAGGGCCTAAGGGCTGAAACGTCGTAACAGGGTAACCCCACCGTTGAGATTAACTTTAGAATTGAATTGAGTTTTCGAAGTAAAACATCCAAACATCTCACAGACCCTCGGTTAAACTGTATCCCTCAATTCAATTGAGACACGACAAACCTTGGTTAGAAAGTGAAGTCGCCAGAACATCAAAAGGCAATCAAGTGCAGACCAGTATGATAGTTCATGGACTGTCTGAGGTTGCTATCAGTAACCTGGATGAAGTTCGCGCACATGACGTGCAACAATGTCGATGGCTGACTCTTTAGACCACCACGGGTATTTACGTTTCCAGCTGTCTCGTCCGTCACACCTTACAACTATTAAGTCTCTGATTCTGATAGCTGTGAACTTCGGAAATCGGGACGGTTTGAGGTGCTTCATGCTTCTGGCAGCAAGAAGAACGATATCGCTAGTCAAATTAGGCGCTGTGCAAGCCGACCACTTCGTTTGCGTTGGAATATTCATCTTGTTTTTCTTCTTATTTGAACATACTGATCTGCGGCCTAGTAATGTGATATCTAGGACCCTCCACTATCGTGGGACAAACGTACTCACTCAAATCACAGGGCATAATTTCAGAAATAACTCCCAACTGAATAAAATTAGTGCGTCGTGTAGCTGGACTACCATCCATTGGATACTGGAGTAGACGATAACCCTTGGAGTTTAGAACATTTTACTTAGTCCAAAATCTATTTTTCTCAGTCATGTATGTTATGTTGTTACTGCTACAGCATATCATCTGTCGAGTTTAACTTCTTTTCAATTCACCGTTAAAATATTCATAACGTACCCCAAAAAACCACTTGGCTGAAAAGAATTGAACATTTGTTTGGCGAGACACTAGTCGCTCGCTATATACGGACAGGAGAGCCCGGCACATGTGGTAGGTATTTCTGAAGGATTGTGATCGGAGTCATTACGTGGAACTGAGAAGCAGACGCACTGCCAAGATTCAAAGTGATATGAGCTACATGTAGACGGTGCTAGCAAACAAAATTCAGGCAGACCCGAAATATCTGTTCAGATGTGTGACTGGAAGAAAATGTATAAACCAGGATGGTTATGCACTGGAAGGTCTGACTGACAGAGATCTTGAAATTCTGGAACTGATAAAATCTGTGACAATATTTTATACAATCAGTGAAAACAGATCACAACAATTTCAAATTAGTTATCAAAGCTAATGCCAGTTGACTGACTCAGGAATGTTTGACAAACTTCTTCTTCTATAAAAAGATGTCTAAAACAGGAAAGTGTCTAGGATTCAACAATATTCGCCTTATACTCTGAAAAGTCTGCGTTATCCCTCCGTTTATAGGTTAGTGACGGATTCAGATATTCAATGGAGACGCACTATCTCCATTTAAATGTAAACGAGCTGATCTCTCCAATAATTTTAGAAGGAGATATGTTGGATCCTTCTTGTTACAGACTGGTTTCATTATTGACAATACAATCTAAGATAAAGGGAAGAATGTTGAATAGACAAATGAGGGAGGGCATGGGTACGAACAACATACTCCATGAAGCTCAACACAGGTTTAAGGAAAGACAGATGATGTGCATCCAATCTTGTCATAGCATGCAATAGCTGGACAACCTGCTGAACCGAAAAGGTACGGTCCGTAAAATATCTGTCGATTTCGGTAAAGCTTCAGACACTGTGCCTCATATATGCCTTATAGCGAAGGTTTAGAAGATGGTCTTCACTTATCCATTTCTACCTTGGTTCGGAAAACATCTTGAGAACAGTGTGTTTCGTAAAAAGGTGAATAAATTGCTTGAGAGTTGGAAAGCCTGAAAATCAGATATTTAGTAATGCAGCATATCAGTTCCGCTCCTTTCTCTAATATACGTTTATAACTTCTTAGGTATAATAAGCTCAGAGCAGCTAAGATCTGGAGGTCTTTTAGGAGGAAAGAGAAGAACTCAAGTTAGCTTCGAAAGGATCTTACAGCATCTGGAAAATGGGCAGCAAAAAACTGGTCAAAACTCAACCATTCGAGACTTGACAAGCATGTGCTTAAACACGGATTATCATCTTTATGTTGGACCAGCTGCACCGGATGCATGCCTCGAAAATCGCTAGTTGCTTTGGTAGTCGTTCTCCAGATCACTAACTTATTCTAGCTAGTTTAATAAACCTGTTTTGACCGTTTTTTATCTTGATACCCGTGTCATCTAATGGTCGGTACGTGCGGCAGGGTGTCACCAGTCACTCAACAGCATACCAGCACGGAAGTTCAAGGCTTACCCGAACTGGATGGCGGTAGCTTTGATGAAGCCCACATGCACGATGTGCAACAGTGGCGATGGCTATCACAGAACATCGGCCTTCCCACCACGATGGCCGCCTCGCGAGTCATACCTCACTATCATCAAGTCACCACGTCTGATGACTATGGAATTAAGAAATCGGGATTACCCAACAGGGGCTATTCAGACTAGGTGTAACTTGAAGGACGAGCTCTCTAGACTTATCAGGTGTTGCGGAGGACGATTCAGATCTGTGAGACAACGGCAGGAAGGTCAAAATAGACGCACATGAGTGACATTAGATGGTTGGCATTGATCAAAAAACCCCGGTACATGACTTGAAGATAATAGTCTTCCGATTGAAAGCACGGCAAAGGCAAAACACCTGCAGAGGCGAGTTGCTACAGCACTCGCCAGATCGGTTTAAATGTGTTTGAAAATCCGACAACTGCTGCTGTCGCAGAGGTGCGCCAAGTGATGAGACAAGCCACCAAGTGCCTGTATAGCAACCTAAGAGGACCAAGAGGTAAGCTGTTCTAAATCAGGAATATGTGCTCGCTGATGGATCTGAAGATCATAATCCTAAATGAAACATGGCTAACCCCTGAGATTACAGAAGACGAAGAAGATTTCGGAAGACATGACACTTCCGAAGCGATAGTGTATACCAAAAAAGAGGCGGAGTGGCTATATATATAAACAGGCATTTCAAAGCCGAAAAATAACAAGACACCCAACCAACCGATGTGAACAAATCATGGTGGTGTTGTTTTGAAACAGACTGCACGAAATACTTCATTGGACGGACATATCAGCACACTCAAATACTAAGGCTTAGAATGACAAAATGACTGAGGTAATACTGCAACTGTCACTCCTTGGGTTCGATCAAGTACTCTTTGTTGGAGATTTCAAGACTCCATCTCTAAGTCTCAGAAATGAGTGTACAGCTTTCACTAGTTGGTTCCACAGACGATTTGGCGCAGCCATTAGAGGCTTCGGGCTTACTGAGCATGAAAGCAGTGCCACTAGATGGACTAAGGGGGGATATATCCCAAACCTGGATTATTTTTTAACAAATGATCAGCTCCTGGTCGGGGATGTTCACGTCTATACAGCAATAGGGAGTGGCTACCATGACGCAATCTTGTTCAAAATGGTCATAAACGAAATACTCAACAACTTAGAGATGACTGAGATCTTCAACACAAACTTCACTGAGCAGCTAAACCAGGCATCCACATGTGCAGAATACTCCGTAAAACCAGTGCCAGCTGACGGCTTAGGGAATGCCCGTAATAACCGTGACTTAGTAGTGAGGAAACTAAAATCCTTATGTGCAGGAAAGTAACCAGGGTGTGACAGTGTTCGCCCCATAGTCTTGAAAAAATGTGCAGAGGCTCTCTGTTCAGACATTCACTACAGTCATACCAACTCCAAGCTGAATTGAAACAAGAAACTTTCTCTCCAATCTTCAAAGGAGGATTTAGGAGGAATCCAGCCTGTTACAAACCAGTCACATTACTACCAATACTAACAAAGGTAATGGAAAGGCTGGTGAACGAACAACGGAGGGAGTACATGGATAAGAATGAAATACTCGATGAAGATCGGCACGGGTTTCGGAAAGTCAGGTATTGCGCATTCAATCTTCTCATAGAATGGGACGAAAATTGGACGAAAAAATGGGCACACGTAATATTTTTTGACTTTGAAAAAGCCTTTGACACAGTACTCCACGCACGCCTAATCGCAAAGGTTGCAGAAATAAGCCTTATTGACCCACCCGTGTCTTGTCTCAGAAGCTAACTTGAGAATAGAAAGTTTCATACCAAGGTGATTAGAGTGATGTGATTATGGCATACAACATATTAAGCACACCAAACCATTCCAACGTGATTATCTTACCGATGCATCACCACCACTCCGCTCGAGGTGATTCTCGAAAACTTGCGAATCAAAGAGCAAACACTTCGGTTCATGCACACTTTTTCGCGTTCGGAGTCTTTGCAACTTGGAATGCTCTCCCAGCCAAAGTGACCAAAGTCCTCTCAGTGGACAGCTTTAAGAAGAGACTTGATAAACACGTACTCACAAATGGATTATCATCTCCCTGACGGACAAACTTTACCTGATATATGCTTTGAGACTTGCTAGTCGTTATTACTGACATCTCCTCAAATAACTAACTTACTCTATCTCGTCTATTGAAATTTTGCCCCGATTATTCTCCAAAATGTAAACAACTAACCTCCGGTCTAGTAATGTGATAGCTACTGATACACAGAAACCCCACTTCACTGAAACAAACTTACTTAATCAAATCACGGGACATACATATTCTATTGGGGCACAGTTTTGGAGGTTTGCGTTTTTACACATTTGAAATCATTAATCAATCATCATTGTTAGACCACCATTAGAAACCTGGAAGCACTGGACGGCCGTTTCGTCCTAGTATGGGACTCCTCAGCAGTGCGCATCCACGACTCCTGCTCCTCGCAGGATTCGAACCCGGGACCTTTGGCATTGTAAACGAACGCCTGTCGGGTGTAGGCAGTAACTACCAAAGACAAATGGGTGAGGTCGCGCAAAATCCCTAGATCAATCAGAGTTAGACATTAACACCGTTGGATGCCGGCCCAGTGGTCCGATGGTAAGGCGTTCGCCTACAATGCCAAAGGTCCCGGGTTCGAATCCTGCGAGGAGCAGGAGTCGTGGATGCGCACTGCTGAGGAGTCCCATACTAGGACGAAACGGCCGTCCAGTGCTTCCAGGTTTCTAATGGTGGTCTAACAATGATGATTGATTAATGATTTCAAATGTGTAAAAACGCAAACCTCCAAAACTGTGCCCCAATATAATGTAACAGTGCTCACTAGTGACTAGCTTCGTGAGGAAATTCTCGGAGTTCTAGTTGAGAAGACGTGACCAGTGGAGTTCAACCCTGTCGGGTGTAGGCAGTAACTACCAAAGACAAATGGGTGAGGTCGCGCAAAATCCCTAGATCAATCAGAGTTAGACATTAACACCGTTGGATGCCGGCCCAGTGGTCCGATGGTAAGGCGTTCGCCTACAATGCCAAAGGTCCCGGGTTCGAATCCCGCGAGGAGCAGGAGTCGTGGATGCGCACTGCTGAGGAGTCACATACATATTCACCAACAACTACCAACTGACTAGAATTAGAAAGTCCGGTGACTAGACTTTCATCCGTTGGACACTAACAAATGCCTGGGGCTCTCTCGAAAGAATAAGAATCGAATTAAAAGAAATCAACCAGTTTATAATAGTTCGTGAGAAAGATATTGGATATTGGATGTAGTTTTTCTTTACCGCTTTGATGATAAGGTAACTATGGCAAATGTGCAGGCATATTTGGTTGTCATGAGGTTACTTTTTTGTCTTGTAGTCGACACCTAGTAGTTTACTTTATTGCACAACTTAGACTACCAGATACCTGGAACCGTACAGAATCCAAAATTAGAGAGTGCAAAGAAATCAACTGGCGCTTGAAAAGATATTGGATAATAAATGATCAGGTAACTGTGGCAATTGAGCAAACACGTTTTGTTGTACTGCTATTAAGTTTTGGTACTGTAGTAGAGGACTAGTCAAACATTTTTCTGGATTGAAATTTGATTGGCCTTTCATTTACTGCAACACAGCGTGTTTCTTCAATTTCCTATGACATTTCGGCTTGTAACTTCACAGAAGCCTTCCGAACATGGATGGATTATATCCAAACGGATTTATGTCACTGAATTTTTAAATTATTCGTCTTCAAAATGCAAATAACGCCCTATGGTCTCTTTATCAAGGCATGTAATTGAAGTATATGCTGTCACGTGGTCTCAAAGGCAGATCAGCATGTTTGTCAGCGTACAACTTGGTACGTACAATCATCAGTTCAAGTTGCACTACCACATTAGCACACAGCAATGGCGGTAGGAATATTAACAGTAATGGAGAATAGCGTTCAAAATATGATTCGAGCAGTATATTCCAGGGAAATAAACTGATGAAGATTCATTACTGCATCATTCTATCTGCCATCCTTACCTAGTACCCTTTTCCTAAACATTAGCATTGATAACTCTTTAGTCCCAGGATACATGGGCGATGCTTTAAGGACACCTATGGCCGATTACTAATATCATACGAATATCATTTACTCTTACTGGATATGATTCACAGACGTATAGTAGGACGGAGCGCTGTGATGTTGAGTAGAATCATCCTTTGGTTGGCGAACGAATATCTCGCTAGTGAAATGTGGTTGGCACTTCTTTATCCTTGCCGAGACTTCATTAAACACCAGATCATCAGTACTAACGAGAATATTACGACCGTTAAAGCGTAATATCCTACGATTTTAAGAATAAAATCGCAAATCTGGTCCACATTTTTCCCTATTTTGGTTTAAAAAATTGGGTAGTGTAATTGATCTTTAAAAAACCTTAGAGTATATAAAATCTGCAACTAGAAAAATAGGTATGGTCCAACCACTATGGCAATAGTGCTAAAGTTACAGGTCACTACGTGCCTATTTAAATCTGACTTTTGAGGCTATCAATATTCACCGACTGGGGTATATAAAAAGTAAGTTACTAATTACTAGACATCGTTTACCTCAGAATTTTGCTTGCACAGTAACAGGCTATAGAAAAAATGCGAGCCCTAGAATCAAAGTATGACATCATTTCATGAAGCCATTGACTTGTTATCCAAGAAGCCTAAAATAGTCTAGTCTATCAAGTCAGGTTCCACAAGATGACAGCAATCAATGGTTTAAAACGACGAATGATGGATAAAAAGCAGTCATTCAGCCACGGATCCGTTCATCAAGAATTTCCTCTCTTGGTTTATGCATTTACGAAAAATGCGGTTTGAAAACAACAAGTAAATCTTTATTAGACCTCCATTCGGCCTAATAATCAAAGTAGCGTATGTGACAAATCATTCTATTTATCTATTTATTCCTAACAGTTGCTTGGCATTATGCTTTGCCTAAAACTAACATCCTATTCATTCTGCCTGATTAGCAATAAAAACACCAAAGAAGCTCAGTAGTTAAGAGATTCTCACGAAATGCAATACCCCAAGTTAAGCTAAATTATTAAATCGTATTCTGAATTAGTATATGATTAGATATGAAGCTTTATTTTATTCCTAATCACCAGAATTCGGATGGTGATTAAACGTATATACCCCGTTTTGATCAAGGGTTGATTTATGACATCTGTGGAACCTAGTCAAGGGGGTACTTAAGAAATTCAATGTATTTGGTCAATGATCTGACAAATTATTCGCTTTTCCCCTCGACAAAGCTACGTTTGTCGTTTTGTAAGTCGATTGAAATATGTTTGAGTAGAAAGTCAAATAATCCAATATTGTCTATGAAGTAAACACATTGCCTGTCACTTCCAGCCCAACCAATTCCAAAATGAGGTGATAAAACTAAATAATCCTAGTTAATATTACTTACTTTCAATGACTAAACAATTATATATCATCCGCTGACTGGTTTTATGCGTTCATGTAAAAGATAGTTTAATTCAGACAGACTTCCATACGACGTCTTAGCCGGTTTGAAATACGGCCTTCAAGCGGGAAAACATATCCCAGTATGGGTCATCAGTGTATATGCTTCAAAACTTAGAAATGATTGGTATTAGTATTACACCCTCAACCGAGCTAATTTCCGAAAATGTCCCACTTTATAGCACTAATCAGGCGTTTGACAATTGTAGGTTTGGGGATTCAATAACTATATTGATCGAACTGCCCGATTCTAGGTTATTGAAAGCAATATTTACAATCCCCTATGCTGACAGTTATCATGTACTTATCGATATAAAAAAATTTCGGGTTCTAGCAAAACGCTCTAACTATTAGGATTGGATCACGTTGAGTACATGAGAAATATCACGAATGGGAATAGTCGCATGATATCATGAAATGACTGATCTAAACCGCTGGATCTTGACTCAGCGTTCTAGAAGTTAAGCATTGTCCGCGAGATCTGGAGATGTTGCGTTTGGTCCCTATTAAGATTGTAAATACTCTCTTCTGAAGAGCTTCATTCCAGAACAAAGCAACTGTCTAATGCCTCTTGGTTTTTACCGGTTGCCTAACTAAGATTATCACGTATCGTCAAACTGATAACTGCAAAGTACTCATTTTAGGTTTTATACGAACTTTCCTGATGTAATTATTACATGAAAGAGATAATTGCGAAACGAATTTTTGCAATCTATTGTTGTAATTTTTTAGACACAAAAGGAACAAACTTGTTTTATATCCATCAAAATCTGTGCCAGTCTCGCCTGAGAAAGAGAAGAGAGAGAAAATGAAAGGTTAGCCTTGCATGAAAGTTTGTGACAGCTTATTTTTCGTCTATAAGAGGTTCATCAAATTAAGTTTGGCATATTTATAAATCCAGTTTGTTGTTATGTATGGAATAATATTAGTTCACTCGTTGAAATAAATTGATGCAGCTTTGTAAGATATATGATTACACATGACCAAGTATCTATGGAAGCCAAACTGTCTATGTAAGCGGATGAGAGAGAAATTTACCTAAAGTGGAATTAGGGCAACAATTACATTTCCTGTATTGATAAACAACTAAGAGATGAAGACATAACTACATACTGTACCACAATGACTGATTTAATCTATATTATCTGGATTGCCCAACTATTGATTTCAGGTCCGTCCAGATGCGATCTAGCAAGACCATAGTTGAGTTACGTTTGTAGCGCAAATTGACGTGTGTGAACTATGGGACTGAAATAATTATTTCATCTTTATAACCAACTCGCCTGTTACTGGAGTGTACATTTTGTAAGAGAATTTTCAATTCATCCTTCTGATTGTAAATAAAGTGTCATTTATGTGTACAGCATTTGCACACATTGATATGGCAACGTCATCTATGCCATGCATCGATCCTAGCATATTACTAAGTAGTTCCATACTGGGAAGAAACAGTTATCCAATGCTTTCTGGTTTTCAATAGTTGTCTAACTAAGATCGAAGCGTGATGCAGTCTATGAAAACTCACCCATCTCTGTCAACCTCCTATAACCAATAATAATTGTTCTCTGATTTACTTAAAATATTGAGCACGTCTTTTGTTTTATTGTTAAATAAACTAACAGATAAATGTTCACTAGTGTTCTCCTTGAATTTCATAGTGAAAATGTTCCGGTTTCCTAAACTCGGTCGATTAGAACGAGCGAAGCCACGAATTTCTGGTCCTAAAAAAGTCACGCACAATCTGCACGTGGCATTTGATAAATCCACAGGAGAATTCAAGGTTAGTTGACCCATTATTTATTTTGTCATTTTACAAAGCTGTTCGAAACTTTGAAACAACTGTTATAGTAGATTTTCGGTGACCAGCGTTCAGTAAATACCATATTAACACATAGCAAGTGGGAAAACCCACTTTCGTGTTCCCATAAATGTAGTTTTACAATTATTCGTTTGTATATCATATCTACTTTGTTTCTTTAACAATTTTACTTATAAACTGTAGACATTTAGTTTTTCATTCATTCTCATTCGAAAAGTCATATGAATCAGTGGACTGTAATTAGTTTGATGTCGGGAGCCCACTATTGTTTTTATTGTGTTTATAACATAAGAGTAGTTTGAGACAGGGAAACTTTACGATATGAAATATATTCACCAGAAACATGAAGGAAGTTGATCAAAATTGTTTCAATGCTTGGAGCTGTCGAGAATTCCTCGATAACGTCTGCGAAAGCTGCGAAAAGGCTGAATACTCGGCCAGTCAGCATTGAGTAGCAAAGTCTCGCGAACATCTAGATGAACCCGAGAATTGTGGCACAGTTCGATTGTATAATTACTTGTCTGTTATTAGATTTGGTGCAGTTCCAGAAGCTTCTAGTAGGTCAAGGCCACGTATCCACTTTTAAATAAATTCGCTTTCTGTACATAAATTAAGCTTGAAGTAAAGATTCTGTTCTTACTTCAGCCCCTCTCTTAACCGTCAAGATTGAAGTGTAGAGGCAGTCTATGGATAAACGAGCGTTCAGCCAGGGGACACACCAGAATATTTTCTCAAATCATTTGTAGGCAAATATGAAAAATATTTTATACGAGAGAAAAAAATATCTAACTAACGTTTTTGTTTCTATCTCCGATTATGGTTTTTCTAAAAGGTTTTCTATTCGAATGGTTTTTTAAAGGTATTTGGTGTTCGATTTACTGTTTTTGTTCAAATTGTTACTGTTCATTTGAGTTATTGAACCGATGCACTAATTTGATTCTATTTGTTTACTTTTAACTTTGATCTATTCAGAGTTGTGATTCATGTATATGATGGTTGAATCTATGGCTTAGTCGTTCTTAACAAATAGGCAACTTACAACAACTGAGTTACACTTTCGTACACTTCAATCAGATTAATTCGGTTTGGATAGTTATAGCGATAGTTATAGTAGTCAGATGGTATGGTATATGACTAAATCTCGCTCAAAATGGTCTCTAATTTGAGTAATAGAATCTGCAATATGGTTACTGAGTTGTATTCTGTATTGAGTCTACGGTAAAATCGTTGAAACTGTTAGAATTTCTTGAATTGGTTTACATTTGGAGAGTACATATGTCTATTTTAATTTACTTAAGATTAATCATAGTATCAAGATCGCTTTGAATTATTTGTAAGATAGTCGTAATATTTGAAGTTGATTATCATGATTGTGTGAAAACTGTGATATTTAAACAAAACGAAGTTTAATTAATCTTAATTATTATGGATTAGATGTGTGTAGAACTTCACTCGGAGCAGTTCTAGGGTTACTTTCGGTCCAAAACCCGGATAAAAGATGAGAGTTGGGCACGGGGTTGGCGACCCCATTCCGTGGAAGAAACACAAAATTGCTAACAAAAAAGGTAACCAGAAAGAGTAATCCAAAGCATTTAAATTCTGACATGGATGCTTGAAGGTCTTCGTTTAGAAGAGTTATGACACCTCACGATGAAAGCTGAGCTTCTTCGGAATTCACAAGACCGATGCTATTTCTGACAACCGGAGAAACCATTATTATAGGTACATAGAGTGTTCACACAATGTAGGAGGTCGGAAGAAATATTCAAGTTTCTGTGGAAATGAAAAAAATTGCAACCTGATGGTGCTTGGAATAAGTGAAATCCGTTGAATGCAGGTTGGATAAAAAAGTTTAGCTTCAGAGAAGAGGCTGAAGAAAACGATTCACATTTGTAGAATGGGAATCTCATGTACACAGGATCGTCAAAAGCATCCTTCAAGACAAAGAAAGAGGGAATCACAACGATTGTGATTCAGTGCTATGCGCCCACCAACGATTACAACGGAAATGATAAGCATAGAGGCAACAGTTAATAATCGAGAAATGCCCAGCGGTGTATTTAGCCATTCTGATAGGAGACCTGAACGTCACGGTTGGAATGAACAACGCAGAGTACGTGTTTTGTGGGTGCTTGTAGAATGCACTTTCTACGCGTTCTCGAGACTTCTTGATATATTTAGCCGGGAGGGGGACAAACGCATTAGAATACCCTATCGTGTCACTGCATCAATTGTCTTCGCTCCGTTTACCGAGTTATGTGAACTTGTTCAAGCATAGTTCAAGCATATGAATTGACGAGCATAACAATTGTCGACGGTGGTTGTGAAAACATGGATCCTTCGAAACCTGAATTATTATTTGAGCAGCAGCTGAAATTAATGAAGATGTTGATAGATACCAATCTGTAAAGTGACACTGGTGCGCGCTACTTATAAGTAGTATATGACGCGAGTGAAAACGTAATGTCTGGCGGCAGAATATGGGGGAAGATCTAGAAAGGAAGGGTGGAAACACAATGGAATTTTTATGATACGCATGAACAGTGAAATGTCAGACAATGGATTGATGTTTTGCAAATTAACGGTTTACTATATGGTTTTCCTATTTTACCAGTTAACTCGCGTCATATACTACTTATAAGTAGCGCGCAATACAACACAACTACGGTTCAGAGTGTTGGGTCTAGTGGACCTGAAGTACGTGTAGTGCAACAGCCACCTAACCAGAATAAATGTGCCCCTGCTATACCCTATCCACCTCCCTGCAGCTCAATCTGACAGACGAAGCCGAATGCCCCTGCCCCTTGCTATTACTGTGGTTCTTGGCACCATAGGCGAAACTGCCCATTTGAACAACATCGATGCAAGAAGTGAGAGGTGCTGACATAACCTCAGATCACCACTTGCTGGTCCCCAAAAGACACTGAAACTAAATAAGCACTGGACAATGGGGCAAACAACACCACAGAAGTGTCAAACGGCGTTTCTTCGGGATACCGTAAAACTCAATGAATTCAAATACAAATAAAGAAGCATAATAAAAGCGCAGTCACAGAAAATGTCAATAAAGAGTAATAGCAATTTCTTTATTTGAATCACTGTTCAGATCGAAAATCAGTCATTAGTTCATTGAACATTCTTACAATATGTTGAACTACAAAATTGTATCACATGCTTCAAACTATATCCATGGAATACAAATTTGAGTATAAAACTAGGATGATACTTATTGTGTATGCTGCTATCGACTATGACTAAAGTGTTTTTCTCGACTATATTTTCCTGTAGAATATTAAGCACAATTGAAAGTTTAATTGTGCTTCCCATGTTTCTCGTGAAACCTATCATCTGAAAAAATGTGAATTATTAAATGTAGTAGTAATTCATCCATTAGTCCATCTATTCAACTGTTCTAAACGGTAGGGATAAAGAATCATCAACAATAATTTTATCAACTTGAGAGTGAAATGTTTGTGAGTATATGAAACTATGGGAAGAGAAATACACCTTCAAGTGAAAACTCATTATTTTTATAGAGTTACTTCTTTCGCCGATATTCGGTCAATTTATTTTTCAGAAAAAAATTATATGATTGGCTATTTAATCACGACCTTTTCCATCCTTTCTTCGTTCATTTTACATGTTTGATTTTCAAATGTCATTCGGTATTCTTCAATTCAATTCAATAAGTATCATTCTATGTTGTGAGACAGATAATTGCATTGTTTTTCTCTTATTACCATTGTGTATTGAATCGATTTATTTTGTTTTCTTAAGATAACTCATCTAATAACATGGTTTTTTGCGGAAATAATTTACATCAATATGAAATCTATCAGACATGTTTTTAAATAAAGAAATATACATGTTCATGCTGTTGTAAAATCAATCAACTGAGTTGTTGTATGTTTGTTTGTCTTTAATTTTCTGATAATAGTAATAATATCAAATGATCGAATTCGTTTTGTTATTTCTCTTGTATTAATGTTGATTGTTTACCTTGTTGGAGTGAATAAAGTGAATTGTGTTGACCGTGACACCTTGTGATTTTTTTAAGGGTCTTCCGATTTCGTGGCAGATGCTTTTAACAGCAACAAAAATATCAGGAATGGAACAAGAAAAAAATCCGGAAATCCTTTCTGGTGTACTACAGAGTTTTGATGAATCAGTTAAACAGAAAGATAAATATATGACAAATGTATCTGTCATTCCGAGTATGTTATTTCATTCTTGTGTGGATAGCAATAGTAGCGGTCGTGGTAGCAGCTGCACCACTAATAGTGGCAGTGGTATGAATAGTAGTGAGAACAGTCCTACAAGTATTCTCCCTCCTAGTATGTCACTATCTCAATTGCCGTTACAATATAACAACTGTTGTTCATTTGTCTCCTATCCACCGTCACCGCAGTCTGGTCCACCCCATGTTTGTAGCGCAAATTGACGTGTGTGAACTATGGGACTGAAATAATTATTTCATCTTTATAACCAACTCGCCTGTTACTGGAGTGTACATTTTGTAAGAGAATTTTCAATTCATCCTTCTGATTGTAAATAAAGTGTCATTTATGTGTACAGCATTTGCACACATTGATATGGCAACGTCATCTATGCCATGCATCGATCCTAGCATATTACTAAGTAGTTCCATACTGGGAAGAAACAGTTATCCAATGCTTTCTGGTTTTCAATAGTTGTCTAACTAAGATCGAAGCGTGATGCAGTCTATGAAAACTCACCCATCTCTGTCAACCTCCTATAACCAATAATAATTGTTCTCTGATTTACTTAAAATATTGAGCACGTCTTTTGTTTTATTGTTAAATAAACTAACAGATAAATGTTCACTAGTGTTCTCCTTGAATTTCAGTGAAAATGTTCCGGTTTCCTAAACTCGTCGATTAGAACGAGCGAAGCCACGAATTTCTGGTCTAAAAAAGTCACGCACAATCTGCACGTGGCATTTGATAAATCCACAGGAGAATTCAAGGTTAGTTGACCCATTTTATTTTGTCATTTTACAAAGCTGTTCGAAACTTTGAACAACTGTTATAGTAGATTTTCGGTGACCACGTTCAGTAAATACCATATTAACACATAGCAAGTGGGAAAACCCACTTTCGTGTTCCCATAAATGTAGTTTTACAATTATTCGTTTGTATATCATATCTACTTTGTTTCTTTAACAATTTTACTTATAAACTGTAGACATTTAGTTTTTCATTCATTCTCATTCGAAAAGTCATATGAATCAGTGGACTGTAATTAGTTTGATGTCGGGAGCCCACTATTGTTTTTATTGTGTTATAACATAAGAGTAGTTTGAGACAGGGAAACTTTACGATATGAACTATATTCACCAGAAACATGAAGGAAGTTGATCAAAATTGTTTCGATGCTTGGTGCTGTATCGAATTCCGAGATAACGTCTGCGAAAGCTGCGAAAAGGCGGAATACTCGGCCATTCAAGCATTGAGTAGCAAAGTCTCGCGAACATCTAGATGAACCCGAGAATTGTGGCACAGTTCGATTGTATAATTACTTGTCTGTTATTAGATTTGGTGCAGTTCCAGAAGCTTCTAGTAGGTCAAGGCCACGTATCCACTTTTAAATAAATTCGCTTTCTGTACATAAATTAAGCTTGAAGTAAAGATTCTGTTCTTACTTCAGCCCCTCTCTTAACCGTCAAGATTGAAGTGTAGAGGCAGTCTATGGATAAACGAGCGTTCAGCCAGGGGACACACCAGAATATTTTCTCAAATCATTTGTAGGCAAATATGAAAAATATTTTATACGAGAGAAAAAAAATATCTAACTAACGTTTTTGTTTCTATCTCCGATTATGGTTTTTCTAAAAGGTTTTCTATTCGAATGGTTTTTTAAAGGTATTTGGTGTTCGATTTACTGTTTTTGTTCAAATTGTTACTGTTCATTTGAGTTATTGAACCGATGCCCTAATTTGATTCTATTTGTTTACTTTTAACTTTGATCTATTCAGAGTTGTGATTCATGTATATGATGGTTGAATCTATGGCTTAGTCGTTCTTAACAAATAGGCAACTTACAACAACTGAGTTACACTTTCGTACACTTCAATCAGATTAATTCGGTTTGGATAGTTATAGCGATAGTTATAGTAGTCAGATGGTATGGTATATGACTAAATCTCGCTCAAAATGGTCTCTAATTTGAGTAATAGAATCTGCAATATGGTTACTGAGTTGTATTCTGTATTGAGTCTACGGTAAAATCGTTGAAACTGTTAGAATTTCTTGAATTGGTTTACATTTGGAGAGTACATATGTCTATTTTAATTTACTTAAGATTAATCATAGTATCAAGATCGCTTTGAATTATTTGTAAGATAGTCGTAATATTTGAAGTTGATTATCATGATTGTGTGAAAACTGTGATATTTAAACAAAACGAAGTTTAATTAATCTTAATTATTATGGATTAGATGTGTGTAGAACTTCACTCGGAGCAGTTCTAGGGTTACTTTCGGTCCAAAACCCGGATAAAAGATGAGAGTTGGGCACGGGGTTGGCGACCCCATTCCGTGGAAGAAACACAAAATTGCTAACAAAAAAAGGTAACCAGAAAGAGTAATCCAAAGCATTTAAATTCTGACATGGATGCTTGAAGGTCTTCGTTTAGAAGAGTTATGACACCTCACGATGAAAGCTGAGCTTCTTCGGAATTCACAAGACCGATGCTATTTCTGACAACCGGAGAAACCATTATTATAGGTACATAGAGTGTTCACACAATGTAGGAGGTCGGAAGAAATATTCAAGTTTCTGTGGAAATGAAAAAAATTGCAACCTGATGGTGCTTGGAATAAGTGAAATCCGTTGAATGCAGGTTGGATAAAAAAGTTTAGCTTCAGAGAAGAGGCTGAAGAAAACGATTCACATTTGTAGAATGGGAATCTCATGTACACAGGATCGTCAAAAGCATCCTTCAAGACAAAGAAAGAGGGAATCACAACGATTGTGATTCAGTGCTATGCGCCCACCAACGATTACAACGGAAATGATAAGCATAGAGGCAACAGTTAATAATCGAGAAATGCCCAGCGGTGTATTTAGCCATTCTGATAGGAGACCTGAACGTCACGGTTGGAATGAACAACGCAGAGTACGTGTTTTGTGGGTGCTTGTAGAATGCACTTTCTACGCGTTCTCGAGACTTCTTGATATATTTAGCCGGGAGGGGGACAAACGCATTAGAATACCCTATCGTGTCACTGCATCAATTGTCTTCGCTCCGTTTACCGAGTTATGTGAACTTGTTCAAGCATAGTTCAAGCATATGAATTGACGAGCATAACAATTGTCGACGGTGGTTGTGAAAACATGGATCCTTCGAAACCTGAATTATTATTTGAGCAGCAGCTGAAATTAATGAAGATGTTGATAGATACCAATCTGTAAAGTGACACTGGTGCGCGCTACTTATAAGTAGTATATGACGCGAGTGAAAACGTAATGTCTGGCGGCAGAATATGGGGGAAGATCTAGAAAGGAAGGGTGGAAACACAATGGAATTTTTATGATACGCATGAACAGTGAAATGTCAGACAATGGATTGATGTTTTGCAAATTAACGGTTTACTATATGGTTTTCCTATTTTACCAGTTAACTCGCGTCATATACTACTTATAAGTAGCGCGCAATACAACACAACTACGGTTCAGAGTGTTGGGTCTAGTGGACCTGAAGTACGTGTAGTGCAACAGCCACCTAACCAGAATAAATGTGCCCCTGCTATACCCTATCCACCTCCCTGCAGCTCAATCTGACAGACGAAGCCGAATGCCCCTGCCCCTTGCTATTACTGTGGTTCTTGGCACCATAGGCGAAACTGCCCATTTGAACAACATCGATGCAAGAAGTGAGAGGTGCTGACATAACCTCAGATCACCACTTGCTGGTCCCCAAAAGACACTGAAACTAAATAAGCACTGGACAATGGGGCAAACAACATCACAGAAGTTTAAAACGGCGTTTCTTCGGGATACCGTAAAACTCAACGAATTCAAATACAAATAAAGAAGCATAATAAAAGCGCAGTCACAGAAAATGTCAATAAAGAGTAATAGCAATTTCTTTATTTGAATCACTGTTCAGATCGAAAATCAGTCATTAGTTCATTGAAAATTCTGACAATATGTTGAACTACAAAATTGTATCACATGCTTCAAACTATATCCATGGAATACAAATTTGAGTATAAAACTAGGATGATACTTATTGTGTATGCTGCTATCGACTATGACTAAAGTGTTTTTCTCGACTATATTTTCCTGTAGAATATTAAGCACAATTGAAAGTTTAATTATGCTTCCCATGTTTCTCGTGAAACCTATCATCTGAAAAAATGTGAATTATTAAATGTAGTAGTAATTCATCCATTAGTCCATCTATTCAACTGTTCTAAACGGTAGGGATAAAGAATCAACAACAATAATTTTATCAACTTGAGAGTGAAATGTTTGTGAGTATATGAAACTAGGGGGAAGAGAAATACACCTTCAAGTGAAAACTCATTATTTTTATAGAGTTACTTCTTTCGCCGATATTCGGTCAATTTATTTTTCAGAAAAAAAATATATGATTGGCTATTTAATCACGACCTTTTCCATCCTTTCTTCGTTCATTTTACATGTTTGATTTTCAAATGTCATTCGGTATTCTTCAATTCAATTCAATAAGTATCATTCTATGTTGTGAGACAGATAATTGCATTGTTTTTCTCTTATTACCATTGTGTATTGAATCGATTTATTTTGTTTTCTTAAGATAACTCATCTAATAACATTGGTTTTTGCGGAAATAATTTACATCAATATGAAATCTATCAGAAATGTTTTTAAATAAAGAAATATACATGTTCATGCTGTTGTAAAATCAATCAACTGAGTTGTTGTATGTTTGTTTGTCTTTAATTTTCTGATAATAGTAATAATATCAAATGATCGAATTCGTTTTGTTATTTCTCTTGTATTAATGTTGATTGTTTACCTTGTTGGAGTGAATAAAGTGAATTGTGTTGACCGTGACACCTTGTGATTTTTTTAAGGGTCTTCCGATTTCGTGGCAGATGCTTTTAACAGCAACAAAAATATCAGGAATGGAACAAGAAAAAAATCCGGAAATCCTTTCTGGTGTACTACAGAGTTTTGATGAATCAGTTAAACAGAAAGATAAATATATGACAAATGTATCTGTCATTCCGAGTATGTTATTTCATTCTTGTGTGGATAGCAATAGTAGCGGTCGTGGTAGCAGCTGCACCACTAATAGTGGCAGTGGTATGAATAGTAGTGAGAACAGTCCTACAAGTATTCTCCCTCCTAGTATGTCACTATCTCAATTGCCGTTACAATATAACAACTGTTGTTCATTTGTCTCCTATCCACCGTCACCGCAGTCTGGTCCACCCCATGCAACTGTCGTATTGAGAGATTTAGATTTTGCTGAAAGTTGTAACAATAATTCTGAACTCGGCAGCAGTATTAAAGAAGCAGGTACTTTATGGCATACATATTTACATCATAAGACCATCGCCCAATCGCCCACGTGTTTGCCATTTCAAGGGGGTAGATTTGTTCCAGAATCTTGCATGATGGTTGGAGAGTCTACATCTGTTGACGAGGATGAGGATGCTAAAGATGGAGATGACGAACAGGAAGAGTATGAAGAAGAAGGTGAGGAGTTAGGTGAAGATAAGGACAAGAGTGGGAATCAACAAAGTGGACTGAACAATCGTGAAATGACTACATCTGAGGTGGCTGTTAAATGGATGACAAGCGGTGGAACTTGTGGTGATCTCCCTATTCCAATGAATATGTGCAAGGTATGCTTAATAACGAATAAAGTGTACATTTCCTAAAACGTTATATACATATTTTTGCTTGTTTGTTCTATCGTCTAGGTAGTGGAGCTCATCGACATGGTGGAGAAAATATGTAACTCAGGTGATGATGATGTGACGGAATTTCATTCTGTGAGCTGGATGTTTTGGTTGTGGAGCTTTCATTGTTCTTCTAAGCAACATCATCGTCACGAACTTTGAAAACATCTACCTGAAGTTTGTGTTGATGATGTTGTTCAAAAGAACAATGAAAGCTGTACAACCAAAACATCCAGCTCAGAGAACGAAACTCCATCACTGTAGAGCTGATCCGTTTTCTTTGCGAAGATTTGATGTATCTTGTAAAGTGTGGAACCATCCTGTGCACTGTACATACAAAATGAGATCGGATGTCTTACTGTTATAATATTTCCAATTTAACATGGTGAAGTTCACTGATTTCAAGTCTTAATATTTGGCCTCTTTAACATTTGTGTCCAGCCAATGCTTTATGTATCGCATCGTACTGTCATACCATATGATTTGACCATAGATAGGAATAATATAATGATATTTAATGAGTAATAGGGTATAGAAATAAACCATTATCAAATAATGTTTTATTGATAATTTAGGTTTTTCATACTTTCTAACTATATTTACAAAATTTATTACAGGCATCTAGAAATGGTGTAACCGGTGAAGCTTTTGGTAACCGAAATGGTGTAACCGCCCATAATAAAACTTCATCAACGAACAGTGGGAGTGTTGTGAATTCGGTCAATGTTAGTAAGTAGATTTTGAGAATTTCAGTATTGTCAAATTTACACGTATGTACTAGTCGATGACAGTAATTCACAAATAATTACCTCTCTCAAAACACATTTATACACTTCTGTTGTGGAGGTTTTGCCGAAATTCTTCCATTTTGACGAAAATTAATTATTCACATTATAGTTTCCCATTCAAATGATAGTATGCTAATTTTGATGACATTTACCTACTCATGAATCTGCTTATTCCTTCTAGGTAAGGGCAGTGGAACATCGAAGACTATTCAGTCACCAACTCCCGATAAAAGTGTACTACCAGCTGTTCCAGTCAAGCCACAAGATCCAACACATGTGTTTCGCACACAACAACAAACTGAAATACACCAATCCCCTCATTACTCTCCACACCAATCTCCTAATAATAAAATGGATTCCGACAAGACTGTTGGGATGACCGCATCAGAAGCCGTAGTAGCAACAACAACGACTACTACTACTAATACTTTTGAGAATGCAATCAAATCGACTATACCTAGTACACCTAAACGTCGTATGAGAAATCAATTAACGGATCAACAGGTACTCGATAAATTGAGAACTATTGTAAGTGAAGGTGATCCGTATCAGAAATATCGTATGGTACATAAAATTGACCAAGGGTAGGTATTTTTTCGAATTTCTTGAAGTGAAACGACCTCAGTGTTTTGTTTAGTTCTAGGAAATAGGTTTCTCGGGGTCTGTCTAATTACATAATCTAAATACCATTACTTATAGGCTTGCGGTAACGATCAGAATGGAACAGTGTTATATTCTTCAAACAGTAGATTCAAATTACTAAGCAACAACAACTATTTGAATAACAATGAGCGAGCTGTTCTTATTGTGTGTGATTTTTTAGTACTAGCATTTCACTGGAATCCTTCTGAGTAGAGTGCTTACTTAATTCACCGGTAAACAGACGGACATTTATACAATACATTATCAACCTACTTAAATTGCACTATGGTTATAAGTAGAGATTCTGATGAATAAATATGTACGGTTTGCGTGATCCTGTCACACTCCCTGCTATTAATGAAAACCTTTAGGAAGTAAATTCTGGGTTTATTTAGAACGGACGGATTATGGCTGAATGTGGAATGCAACAGACTTGGGATTCATCCTGGCCACAATCTATCTATTCTAAATAACTCATATCATAATGGGTATATCGAAGCCGTCGTCACGGAATGTACATGCACTAAAATAAGAATAATAAAAATTTATTCCTGAATATCAATGGGACAACTCAAACCTTTCTTAATGATGATGTTTGTACGTTTTAAGTAGTATATCTCGAAAACTGAAAAAAGTTTACTGCTTTGTCTGAAACAAAACTACATCGTTTTGCACTAATGTAAAGCGTGACTGAAACTTGAGTTCCATGTCTTCTATTCTGTTTTAAAAGGAATACTTTTACGGTTACTGGGTCTACGGTTTTTTTTTTTTTGAAATAACTTTTCTCTCTTTTCGCTGATACAATGTACCAGAAACACATGTGTGTGTGTGTGTCATGCTCCACTTTCTGTATTACTGAGTGATATTATTGAATAATTATTTTACTCTTATTTGACATAATGTGTATATCACTGAATATAAAGTTTCAGATTATCATAAATCTCTGATTACTACTTCGTTTTCGTTGTTTCCTGTTAGAAAACCGCTTTAATTTTTGTTTTTAGTGCATTTGGTGTTGTATTTATTGGATATGAAATCGCTACTGGCAGTTTGGTGGCTATTAAAAAAATAGATTTAGCTAAACAACCTAAAAAAGAATTGATCCTTAATGAAATTCTAGTGATGAAAGCTAATCGTCAAGCAAATATTGTAAATTATCTGGACAGTTATTTAGTATCCACTTCAGTTCCCACTCATATGGACCATCATCAGCATTACATGAATGGTCCAATTCAACAGCACCAACAGCCAACTAACAATGATGAAGATAGTCTCAATTCATCAACAATGAGTTCAGGGAATATGTCTAAAGGTGAAGAACTCTGGGTCGTCATGGAGTATTTAGATGGTGGCCCACTAACTCATGTTGTCACCGAGACATGTATGGAAGAAGGACATATTGCATCAATATGCCGAGAGGTAAGATTTTGGGAAGGAAATAACCGCTTCTTAAAATCGACTTTGTTATGTTCTACAAGGTTTAGTTAACTAATTAGCGATTGAAGCAGGTGTGAATGTAAATTATGGACAGTTACTTTACTTTAAGAATAAATGTGTCATTGATTTTATTTCACTCTTCATGTCTGTTTTCATTGGACATGAAACTTGATGAAACGTCATTCACGATTAGCAGCAGCATCATATTGCAATTATCTTCTAGTCAACCAGATAAATCGTGTAGACTTTGTAAGCCTAAAATTAAATTCCAGAATAATAGATGATAAAGTGTATAGGCTTACAATTCCAGGACTACTGTACAATGTCGTTGGAGTTTGTGTTTTTTTGAGGTACAGCTTAAGTGTTTAATTGTCTGTGCTAGTGATGAGAATTAATGGTTTACATGTTGAAATGTGAACAGTTTGTTAGAGCTTTAAGGTACATGTACGGGTTTCAGATTTCATGTATAGTAAATAGTTTTTTCATAAAGTAATTTCAAGATTTCCAAAGCTAATCGCAGGGATTCGTGTATAATAAAATAGTTACTTTATCGGCTGGTTTGATAGAGACTAGTGTAGAACCTGAAAAATGGATGCCTTTGTTCAATTTTCTAGACTTTTTAGTGATACAAATGTGCAACGAGATTCATATCAAAAAGCTGACCGATATCATTACAGACAATGACTAAGTATGTGTGAATAAAATTTTCCATGATAGACTTCAGTATTTATCCAAATTATTGAGTAAAATTAAAAATGAAACAAGAGTAAATGCATGTGTGTAACTCAATATCTGTCGCCACTGCAATAATTGTCGATGGTTTTCTGTCAGACGGTCAGCTCCAACAATAGCTAACAATGATTTCGTTCAAATTGTGTGTGTGTGTGTGTTAAGTGATTAAATAAACCAATCATTCATTTTTTCCTTCTACTTTCGGACTTATTCACCGTTGATTCATCTATATTTGTTCTAAGAAACACACGAAAGTGTTTCCCTGATATAAAGCATATTTACTTCCAGTTGTCTAGAGATGAACAATGGAATCTACGACATTGACAACAGGGAGAATAATTGGGAAAGGAATCAATTGATGTAGCCTTCGAGTCTTCAACGTTTGTGTGCTTTATCAACATCTAGAAAGTTGTGTTCATAAAATTGATCTATTTGCGTTCTAGTCAGCATCATACTTATTTAATTAATAAAGGCTAGGTATAATGCCTACATGTATTGTCTAAAATAGGCAGATTCAGTTTCCAAACCGTCTCATCCAAAAATGACACTCAAGTACGTAAATCACAGGAACAACACTAACTAAGCTGGTGTTATGCTGTGATCAGCTGTCGCATCGCTCATATTTTGATTTTTGTAGCTGAGTGAATTGCACATGTCTATTGCTCGCACAATAATTACATATTTATAAACAGTAATGTGTACGCATGTGTGTCTATGTATGTAGATATTATTAGTGAACGTTTCCATGTTAGTATTGTTAAACAACATTCCAAATCGAAAAAAATTAAGTCTTATTGTTGTTAAAGGATAGTTACGAGTAAAAAATCTTTAAATTGCGGTTGATCGTGCGCTGATGTCGCACACAATAACTTCTCAGTGGATTTACTGATGCACATCTTATCCCATGAGTAGTAATCACTATTTTAGTATAAGTTGGTTACTGAAATGCATCTCACAGTATTTTACTTGTTCTACTTTATGTCACAAATTGTTTTCTTCAGTTTGCTATTTATTTGTGTCTAAGAATAATAAATGCGAAAAATAATTATTCCCAACTCGAGCCCGTTGAAAGTTTGCAAATACTCACCAAATATGTAGAGGGAGGAAGACACTAAATCAAAAATTCCCTACTGATAAATGACCATTCTTTATATGTATTACGGGATTGTGAAGATTGTTAAGTTACAACACATTTTTGAAACCATGAGGAGTCCCATACCAGGACGAAACGGCCGTCCAGTGTTTCCAGGTTTCTAATGGTAGTCTAACTTTGATCGATTCATTGTTTTCAAAAATGTGCTTTCTTTATATATCCAATCGATTAATATTAATTATTTTTTTAGACTCCATCGCTTAGCATCAAAGTAATTAAATAGTTTCCACAGTGAACCTAATGTGAGCTAATATCGTACTATGTACGCTTTGATTTTTTTTATTACATTACCTTAATAGATATTATATGCCCTTGAATTTCTTCATGCGAATTGTGTCATTCATCGTGATATCAAATCAGACAATGTTCTTCTTGGAATGGATGGATCTGTAAAATTGACAGATTTTGGTTTTTGTGCGCAGTTAAGCAGCCATGGGACCAAACGTACAACAATGGTTGGCACACCGTATTGGATGGCACCAGAAGTTATTTTATGTAAACAGTACGGCCCAAAAGTAGATATTTGGTCATTAGGAATAATGGCTATTGAAATGGTAGATGGTGAACCACCGTATCTCGGTGAAAATCATATTCGAGTAAGAATATCTAATGTGCTGTTATTATAAATAATAATAACTTGTATCTTAGGTGTGCAACATGCGTATGGGTTTTGAATCGCTCATTCGATTCTGTTACAAATTGTATCTTAGATGTGCAACATGCGTTTGGGTTTTGAATTGCTCATTCGATTCTGTTACATAGTTATCTAGTATCATCCACAGCGATTCCGTCATAAAATACCCACAATTATTCATATAAAATTAACCATAATAATTTGGAAGTCATCAAAATGGATAGTCCCAAATAAGAACTGGACTTCAAAGGACTTCGTCAGTTTTAGTGAGCAAATGAAATGACATGTCAATCAATTTAATCATAATAGTAATAAGATTACAAAGACATTAGATGATCTGACGGTTATAAGCGCAACCAGCGAATCATTATGAGTGAAGAAGTTGATACGACGCTTTATTATGATAGTGTCAGCCCTTCCAAACAGTCCGCAGTGCAAATTCAGTTAAGAGAAACTATCAAAGGTTACATGTTACATACTGTTACATACTGTTTTCCTTCCTCTCTCATTCTCTGTCAATTGAATTTGTTAATGTTATTGTAATGCAATGGTTTATTCAACAGTGATCATCGATTTTCGCATTCTTCTTCATTCAATTTTCCTTCTACATTCACCAACTTTCGTTTTAGGCCATGTATCTCATCGCGACTAATGGTAAACCTGAAATTAAAGAACGTAATCATCTATCAGGAACATTTCTTAATTTTCTCGATCGTTGCTTAGAAGTGGATGTAGAACGAAGAGCCACAGCGACTGAATTATTACAAGTTAGTTATTTTCAGTTGATTTCAAATATTAGTATCATGTATTTCTATTCAGACATCTCGATTTCAGTTATTATTATTATTATTATTGTCATTATTATTATTACTGACGATGGTGGTTGTGGTAGTAGAACTAAGTTGAATTGTTATTAAAAGCATTTGTTACACATAAGTGTTCTGTCTATTTCCATCTCTTTTCACAGCATCCATTTATTTGTCAATATTCTGAACCGTTGAGTTCATTAATTCCACTGATAAATTTTGCCAGAGAACAGAAATGGTAATAAGCCCCAATGGCGACCTTCAATATAGAGAATGTGACAAAAAACCTAACTGATTTTTTTTATAACACTATTACTTTTGCTCATATTTGTTCATTCTGCTGTGATCAACTGATTATTACTCTCCATACATTCATTTAATAATAATAATAATAATATTGATTCATATTCCTTATTTTTGCTAATAATTTGTTTACAAGCCCCCCCCCCCCTTCGATATTTGTGATTTTCTATGAACCATTCATGATTCACCAATGACTTATTTCTAATAAGTTGATCAAATTATGCCAGAGCTTATTTATTTTATTACAGAATATTTGATTTTCAAGCATTTTGTTGATAATATATTTTAAAATAACTCTTTGTAAAAGTTGTACAGTTTGAAGTAAATGAATGATATTGTCAAGATGGAAAGTTTCTTCTTTGAATTTTACATGATTATTCATTAGGCAATAATTTAATTATACCATTGGCATAATATGTATGTTCAATCATTGATGAAACATTTTGTCAGTTTAAATTCATTCATATAATTTATTTAAACAATTGGATAGAAAATGATTTTCAGTTGCAATATTTTACTAACAACATTAAAAATTTATAATTTATCTACAATAAACTTATCATCATAGCCTCGATTATTAGCTAGTTTCATTGGCATAGCGTTGTTGTATAGTTTTCCAATGAACATGCGATTCCTGCCATTATTCTCTAAGTTAGAATAACCGATGAAATCAACCAACTTAACTGTAAAATTAAGTTCAATCATGACTTGATCTACAAATAAAATGGATACAAGTTTTAGTTTCAATTTTTATTTATATCAGCCTAAGTTACGTAGTTACGAGTTAGTCGTAGACGTCAAGTTAGGATTGCAACATTATTTTTGAAGTGGATATCCACTTCCTTACTTTACATTATTGTATTCCAAATGTTGAAAGGTCTGTTTGTTTTAGTTATAACCCCCCTGCACTGTGTTGCTGAACAAGATCTGAATAAAGACCTACTGCAAACACGTTTCTAGTTTTTGATATCTTTGGTGGAGTAGCATATACGACTCAACATAAAATTATAAATATATCTATTATCATTTGTTTTTATTGCCGTTTCGCGTGCTACCATTACTGTCCTTCGACTTATACTTCATTGGTGATTTTATTATATACCATAAAATGTCCGACTCAATACAGAATGAAGACCAGGAAAATAACTGTGTTTTATCAGCAAAATCACGGCTCCTAGATGTTAATTGTGGTTACCCGGAGCTGTGGTTTATTCAACTAGATCACTATTCTACGAGGCACAGTTAGCGACAACACTGAATGAAGCAGTCCTAAGACAGGAACGGATACAAGCTTGTCCATGCTAAATCCAGCGCTGTTTGGATGCACAAGAAGTGGACACCCATCCAAAACGAATATCAAGTAGAATAGTGGAAAGGGGTCTCCAAACTGGAGCAAATACGATACATCATACGAAAAAGGAAAAACCGTCGAACACCACAGTCATACTAGAACTGATCGCAAGTTTTAAAATCCTAACAGCAACTGTTGAAAAGATGCAAATAGCCCATAGAAACCGGACAAAGTCACCGCAACGAACATGGTCTAGGTCACGATGCAGGTCATAAACCCAAGATGTAGAAAACACTGTTGGTACCATTAGAAGCTTAATACCGAATAAATCAGGTGCAGCCAACCATGTGCCTGGAATAAACAAACTCCCAAGATTACGGGGAGCGAACAACCCCTCCACCGGTTGGAACCTTTGGCGAACCTTTTAGAACGAGACTGAATGAACGTTAGGTGGCAGGGGCAACTCCAATGGACCAATATGTCGAGGCGATAGTTTTGGTCCGACCAAAAATCCCTGTTTCTTGTTTATTACAGCGACTGAATTTTAAAGATAACAATGATAAATAGGTGTCCGATAATAATCGCTGATTTTGACACTTGCTTTCAGTGACATCGACAGAACATAAAAAATGAGTTGAGATCAGCAATAACTAAATCGTTGAGTTTTTACTATTTCATTTTTGCTGCCACATTCGACAGTTTATTTATAGTCGTAGTTTACACCAAACTGATGATAGTCGGTAGATTTAGAGGCAGAGATTTATGGTCAGGTGGTATAGGTATAACATTAAGTTCTAAAGCGGAACTAACCCCCTTTCTGTAGAAATGGTTGAAAGGCAACCAAAGCTTACCTCTCGTCGTTCAACAAAGTCTTGGGACACCGTTTCAGCAGTAACAGCTTTGATGGGTACTGCTTTTGGCTATTGACGCATAACGGGAAGAAAGAACGTTTATTTGAATCCGATGACGGTTCCCCCGCGTCCAGATTAACGTGGAAGAGGCGGGCTTCAGAAGTTGGGAAGGTAGTCAAGGAACATTTGGTATTCTAATTACACCGGATTCCTGGTAGCTCACGCGGAAGAGTTCTCATTCTCTCTCGTTTTGGTTCATACAAAGCCAAAGAAATCGCTCTGCTGTTAGCTTGATGGTCACTCAGAGACCTAGATGACAAAAATTGTTCATTCTGTATGTAGAATTCGGATTGATAACTAAGACATGCCTGATAGCATAAGTATAATAAACGTAATAAAAGTGTGAAGTGGACGGTAAATGTCAGCATGCAAATCCCACTAAGGTCATGAAACATGTCAAAACAGTATGTCATCCACTGGTTGCTAAGAAGAAGCCACGATCGAAAAGCACCATTCCTGGTAATAAAATTGGTTATCAGCTTGCAACCTGAAACACAACCTCAGCATTGACTTGAGTACACAGTAATGAAAAAATAGACAGAGAGCGTAGGGTCTTAGATGAAGACGTCTGAGGTTTTACTGTCTGTAACCTCATCAAACCTAAAATATAGCAAAACGTTCTCATGCTGTGAAGTAACTGCTCGCCAACTGACATAAAGTCATGTACTAGTAATTTTCAGCTTCAATAAGAAGCATGAAGTTCAGTCATATGAGTTTCAGACTACATTAAACCCAGAAGTGCATCTAATAACCAGAATTTTTGTTCCTCATTGCACAAACTGATAGTGAAAACACACTACACGTCCAGTTCTCAACTGGAAACGTATGATGATTATTACTATCAAAACATGCACACCATTGTAGAAAATGTTTAGTATTAACATATACAATTATATAGTTTAACTTCTAGTCAAGGAATCTTAATAATTGTTTACAATGATAACGTATAGCTACTTAATTTCACTTGAATATATCCAATTATCATTAACTGGTGTAGATAACAATTAGTATTATTATTATTATTATTATCATCATTTTAACTATGATCATCATCATATAATTGATGAAAACAGAGTGTGTGGTTTTTTTATCATCCACTAATATTCATCACACAATTTTTCTATCACTTAAATATCCATCAATCATTATATCACATAAATAATTAGCCTTAAGGTTAACGATAACATAACATATTTAATAGACATTAGAATTTTCAGGCATATTGTTGTTTAGTCGAAAAGCATTTACACTGAGCAACATCAACATTCATTTTATTTTGTTCAACTGAGTGAGGTGTTTGTTACCTAAACCAACATGGAATAATGTAGAGCGGAGAATATTTCTTTCATATCAATATTATCATACTATACTTCTTACTTATTATTCCCACGGCTTAAGTAGAAGGCATGAAGGTCTAGTGGTGACTTGGTTTGCTCTCCAAATTCATCTGTTGATAGGTATTTACTTGGATTCGTTATCGTTCTATTAATTTGTAATGTCTGTCGAAACCAGACTAGGGACAGGAAATACTGAAATTTACATATTGCAAAAAAAGACAAAAACTGATAATATACAAAAATTTCACTCACTCTACAAAAACACAACCTTCACTTGAACCGAATCAGTCTATTTCTATTATACTGTTTGCGATCATTAATGATTAGTCACTGAATGTGCGGGATTTTGAGAATGGATTTGCACTGGATATATTAGAAAGTAAATACATTACGCTAAAAAAATACCAAATAAAAGGCACAATAAATAAAATGTAGCTGTAATTTTTTTGTTCTATCCTTACAATTAAACAGGGAAGGAACGCAGTTTATGTTCATGATGACATTGTTACTATTCAAGATGATGTATCCGATGGTAATTACTCTAAATTATAAGCGTAAAGATTTTTGTTTACCGACCAGAAAACCTTAAGCAGAGGAAAAACGGATAACTAGATCAACTAGGAAGGAAACTGTCTACTCAGAAACATTTTTTAAAAAAATGGGTGCGAACTTTTGCTTCCATTATTAGTAACTTTGTGTCTTGATGATGATTGAATGAAAATAACAAAATTGAAGAACATTGCAGAAATCTGTCATTTGTTTAGCTGTCCATCTGCAGCTATTTAAGTGCACTTTGTACAGATCTGTGGATCGCCATATCTATTCAGCACTACTACTTCTATTCAATGACTTCATCGTAAATTACTGAACAAGAAGCCTCATTAAATGACAACATGTTTTATCTGCATTCACGAATATAATCCAAAGGAATTAAAATCCTAACATATTTAACTTGTGAAGGTATGTTAATTGTGACTCAAACGATTTCACTTTTCCATTAAAGTATTTTTAGTGTTACATTAGTGTTGACAGGTAAAGTTAAGCTATCAGGAAGTTTTCGAATGACTTTTAAAATAACCTTGAAAAACGTGTGACCTATTCAGCTTGCTAGAAAGAATGATCTACATTTCCAGTACTAGAATTCAGACTCAAGAATTAATATTTGGTAGCACTGTTTACGATTATAATTTACTGTTAAGATCTTCAGTTTGAATTTAGATGTGGAGTTAGAATGTAGAGACTTAGGTTTACCTTTATAGTGTTATTTACAGTACATATAGACTAACCACATAACATTGTACAAATTCCAAATCATAATCCAGAATTTCAAAACGAACGTTAGCAATATACAATGATAACCTGAACCATAAATCTCAAATAATGAATCTTATTCTTAAATCTTATCCCGCATTCTGAACTCTACTTCCCAATATTCACGGTTCATGAAGTGTATACTACTAGCAAGATGGCTTATAAGTAGTATAGAGTAGAGCGTCACCCTGAAGTAACTGCTGAAGAGAAGTGTCAGTTCCGGATTTATGGCGCAATGAAAGTTTGAGGAAGACTAGAAGACATATAAAAGATGAGAGCCAATAACATGCTTGCTTCGTAAATGGAGGTCTAAAGATAAGGTGTGCAAATTTTACTTGTAAACTGTCTTCTGATCTTATTGGATGTAGAGAGTTAACAACTTCATACTATTTGATCCGAATTCTGATTTATGCATTGTCTCAATCTGAGATTTGTATTATTGCTAATTATTATCTTTTATTTTCCTCATTAAACGTAAGTGCGCCTGCACGATTATCGGTTGAATTATTCTTTCGTTCCTCTCTGTATGTTCACCTAGTAAACAAAGAACCTGAATAGACGAAAACTATTACAAAGAGGAATAGATTTTATCTTGAGAAGAGCTATGCAGGAATTCAACAACACTCGACAACATTAGGGTACTGTGACTCTGAAATTGATATTTAGAAGCTTGGACTGAGGCACTTGTTGTAGGGATAAAGAAAGTCATTAGAACTTCTTAGATGACCCGAAAGTTTATCTTTTGCTTAAATTTACTGGTCACAACTATCAGTCGACTTTCATGCCTTCTACTTAAGCCGTGGGAATAATAAGTAAGAAGTATAGTATGATAATATTGATATGAAAGAAATATTCTCCGCTCTACATTATTCCATGTTGGTTTAGGTAACAAACACCTCACTCAGTTGAACAAAATAAAATGAATGTTGATGTTGCTCAGTGTAAATGCTTTTCGACTAAACAACAATATGCCTGAAAATTCTAATGTCTATTAAATATGTTATGTTATCGTTAACCTTAAGGCTAATTATTTATGTGATATAATGATTGATGGATATTTAAGTGATAGAAAAATTGTGTGATGAATATTAGTGGATGATAAAAAAACCACACACTCTGTTTTCATCAATTATATGATGATGATCATAGTTAAAATGATGATGATAATAATAATAATAATACTGATTGTTATCTACACCAGTTAATGATAATTGGATATATTCAAGTGAAATTGAGTAGCTGCTATACACTGGTTACATTTTAGGCCATCGATATCTTTCTGTACCATGTTTGTAGAGCCACTCTAAATGTCTTTTGCATTTTTCCACCTCACCAGTCAAATCTTACGCCTAATAACTAACTGTAAGTCATCGGGGAGTAGAATTCTTCATTAAAAAAAAATACATCAAATATTTCAGTTATTCTTCATTTTTCTATTCAATAAAGATAAAACATCCCCATATGCATATGACAAAAGTTATTTCCTTTTTCCAGTGAATTAGTACAAGTGTACAAAAAATGAATGAACATATAGTAGTTATTGAAGAAATAATATCAGTTAATTAACTGTATCTTTCATAATAGTCTTCAGAAAATTTTGCACATGGTTTTTCCAGGCATTCAGATAAATCATTCCTGCATTTTATATAGCATGCCTCTGAATAATAAGGCATTCTTCTGCATCGATCATCACACACAAGATTTTGTTTTAAACAGTCCAGTTTACAATCGCCTCCAACCAAAATCACTTTATTTATCACCATATTGAGAGATAAGATTAAAAGAAAAATCACCTGAAACTGTAAATGAATGAATTTTGAAGGTTTTAGTGTAAATAGTCAAAATTTAGCTAAAGAAAGTATGATCTTATGTAAAAAATTTTCATGGTGTACATTATTTTCTCACGGTTCCAGTCACATTGATAAATGTGATGAACCTCGAAAATTCTCTCTACATGTTTGGTATGTAAACATTTTTCTTCTGAAACCTGAAAACGCCCCAAATTCATCTAGCAGAATAAAAGTTGGCTTTCACGAGAACACAACATTCAAACTGTTAATGTACCAGTCTTCTTGAAATTATGCAGAACGTTATTTTTCTACTAAAAGTTTCATTTATTTGAAACTAAAAAGTCCGATTTTGACATTGTCGCATACAGGTTAAAAGGTAATTCTCACTAGTAAAAAGATTTTGAAATCTCAAAACTAGAGCAATTTCAAATAGCTTTATTCCAGAAGGAACAGCTTAGTCAAATTGAACTGTCAGCCAAGCCAAACCAAGTAGAAATTTTACGCAGTAATTGCTGCGTAAAAAATAAATTGGTTTTTGTTAGTGACAAATGAACAAGCACCGACTTAGTTCCATCAATAATCTGAGCATTTTGTATAAAAAGCTAACAACCTAAAGTTATCAAACTGACTATACCGAGCCATTTTACCGACTTAATCTACAAACTGTGAAGTAGATTTATTATCTTCGTTAGTAAGTTGCTACTGTACGTATTTTACAGCACAGACACTATTCGGATAAGTTGTGTATTTATTTATCCTAGTTTAATTCTCAATTAGATTCAAGACACTTGTGCACATTTCACGATGTAAAAAAGCAATCTGTCTCAAGACTAGTTCTCTTTTTACTGATCTTATTGGAACTAAACCAGGCAGAAATTATTTGTTACTTTTTGTCAAATAACTTTAAATTAGACATCATGTGTAAGTTTATGTAGTCTAATGCAATTCATTGTACCTGAGTGACAGTTAGTGAGAAGACTGTATTGCTTAACTCAAGGTAAATGAAGTGTGTAGTGAGCCCACCTTTAATCAAGATGCAAATATCACTATAAGCTGGTCATCATTATTTTTTGAGAATTGAAGTGGGACTTCTGTAACAACCAGATATCTTCTTGAGATCATGACAAGATCGGGTCTACAACTACCGACTTAAATCAAGTCGTAAGTGGAGTTTTCCAATCTTAGTCATCATTCACATTTACATAGGTGAAGGTTACGTTAACCCGATTATTAACTATAGCATTAACCTATAAAAACCATCTAAAAATCAATTGTTCTATCACATCAATGACCCCATTCAGTGGAATCAAACAGAGTAATGACCTAATTATTCTTTATTTGTGCTGAAATATCGATGTATGAATTTAACAGAAATTTCACAAAAATGAATTGTTGATCTACTAATACCCTAATATTTTCGAAGATTATTTGTTAAGGACAATTAAGTGTTTGGATAGACTGGCAAATGTAATCAGATTCTCAACTTCACTGATATCATACTTTCTTTTATGATATTTTGGTTCAGAATAGTTGAAAAGCATTCATCATTTCAGGACCGTCAGTTACTTATCAATACAGTTTATTACCATTCTTCTTAATGTTTACTAGGGATCACGAATTTCAAACTTGTGTGAAAAAAAAACAATTAAGCCTTAGATTTCAATGGGATTTATTTGACAATAAGTTGTTTACTATGTAAATTTGCTTGACTGATTTACACCAAACTGCATACAAATCACTAAATACTTATTTTGCTTGCGTTTTTGAACCGATTTTGCTAATTTGATTAAATATAACTTTTTATGACTAGAATTTACCGGTTTGTACATGGCCAGCCATTTCTGGCGACTATTATTTTAAGAACATTAATCAATTTTCAGTTCCCGAACGCAAGAGTAATCTAAACTTTCTGCCGAATTTTTAAACTAACTACTGAATACCAGCAGGATTTCAGCAAATGAAAACATAGAAAAATGTAAGTTGATACTGGCATTAAACTGAGCTTACCTTCATTTCCATATTACTTCAAACAATTAACTGAATAAAGTAGAGTTTTTACAGTTGAATTTATACAAAAAATCACACGAAAAAAAGTTTACTTGATAATTACTGATAATTTGCATTTGTCTGTAACAGTATATCAGAGGTAGTTTTTAGGCAAATGTGATTCTGTTACGTTTAACGGAAGTAGATGATCTTGTTTATTACAAAATATTGCAAGCAATTAAAGTATTCGTGGGTAGAAATAAATAAATTACTCCATTTTAAATATTATCAACAATAAGAATATTAATATTGTCCAGATAGTTTTATTATAACTCTGCCTCATTTGAATATTTAATAATTATTTGAGCTCCAATCCAATTTCGTTATTCCTAACATTAATTTTGTCACAATTTTAACGGCAATAATTTTTTAGTGCTTATAAATGTTTGCTGTCTGGTCGTAGAGTTCATTCGCTCTGCTTTTAAGCATACGATCACACTAAGTACAGTTTTCCTTATGGTGAAATAATAATTCTTCAAACGATAGGTTCTACATAGTAATTTTACGTTTTGTAAATAAACTTTCTTAAAGAGATTTTTCAAATCAACGATTAATTAATTAAAGACGCTAAATTTATTTATAAAACAGTGAGATAATATTATTTGGCTTTTTTAAAATATCATAGTATCGGATACCTTAATGCGATAAAAGAAATTAGCAGCCATTGCGTCAAGTTATACTAGATTGAAGTAAATCACAAGCTTGATCATCAGTTAGTACATTGAATTCAACTGATATAACAATGAAATAATAGTCTGAATGATTACAATTGTAAACCAATCGTTATACCTAACTAACTAACTGAAACAGTCGTGAAAACATGATTTATATCGGAAATCTAATAATAATAATTTACTTAGCACAAGCAAAGCAACTGCGAACACCAAAACTATAACTGTACTCTAATAATTGTTCTTAGAAATTCCATCAACACAAACAACTCTTATCTTTTGCAATTGATGAGCCTTCAAATTTCTGTCGAATTGAATACTATCCCTTAATTATTCTTGTATGTATGGTCAAGTTAACTCGAATATAGAGGAGGTCCACTCAAACAACCGACTCAATAGTTTTATTTACTGGCCAGTCTGTCATGAAGCCATCAATTTGTTATAACAACGGTCAGTATGACGTGTATGCATAAAATTGTTGACTAATTAATTCAGTTTTACATACTAGAAATAACGGATACCTAATCAATAATAAACTCGTAACTTCTAACTGGTAAATTCAAATCAAGTGATTGTAGCAAAAATGGTAACATTTTATGTTATGATCACTGTGGTGATATGAATATGATGAATATCACTCAAATCAACAATTTTTTTTCTCAAAAGGAGTGTGTAAGAGCGAATATCCTGCGAAACTGACTAATCAGACCTCGAACAAGGAGCTTAGATTCGGAGAGGTTTCAATTTTTCTCTAATCGCTTATGATATTTGATTACAGAACTTACTAAATTAACTTTATATAGTTGATTTTTTCCGTCTAGTCTTATATCATAAATTTCTGTCCATCATGTTATCAACTTGTTGATCGTAATCGCCATTCAGTTTAGTTCATTCATATCTGTATACTGATCAGTGTGAAGAGAATATATATATATATACACATATATAAAAATTGATATATTAAGATATAATTTCAATTTATTTTTAATGCAGTATAATATTTCATCTATCCTCTTTGTTCTTGTATCGTGAAAATCACGGTTTCCTGAAGCAAATGTACCAGTTTTCTCCAAGTTACATCGAGATCACTAATGTTAACGGATATGAATAACATTTCCTATACTTTAGGGGAAAGCATTTCTTAAAATTCATTCAAAGTAGCGTATAAATACCAACTGGGAGTTGATAGCTTGGTCATTGAAAATTTTTATATTCTTAGTCGCTGGTATTGATAGATTACGAAACTTCTGCTTCCAACCTGATAGCCAATAAGTGACATCACCTGACAGATACGTGGAAAACAAGGCATTTGATTAGAAACTATATGAAATGCAATATTCAAAAAAAAAATATTATCACAGAATTCTTAATAATTTATACAACATTTTTGTTTAGCTAAATAAAGTTACTATGATGAGTTTTTACAAGGTGGACACAAGTAACAAGAGGACTTTTGAATTTTGAAATCATTTAAAGTTATTAACAATATTGTATTTTAGGAATCATAGCGCGTGCCATAGTTTTCCAGCGTCTTTTACGTCTATTTATAACTGTGCTGATTTTACGACTATCAGTATCTTTAGAAAATATAGACAATTGGTTTGCTAACATATGGTTCTCAGTGTTACACAACTGTTCGTCAGATGATGAAGTCATTCGAGGATTTGTTTCAGCTGTATTCGATAAACGGTATTCACTTTTGTTAACCGTTTCACTGATGGGTAATTGTTGAAACCATAAATCGGAAAAATATTTCTCAACATCTTGAAAACTCAACTCAGGGAGCTTTGGGAGTGATGACTGTGACTGATTGTTAAATTCAGGTTTGTACATTGATTTTGAATCTTGAGATGAAAAACAAATAAATAAAACAACATTTTAGGTGACTTCATTTTAGGAAAAATACAAGTAACGATTTAAAAATGTCGACTAACTGAGAGGCATTTATTTTATGTGTATCTTTAGGATTCGCATTACTTTTTGATAAATGTAAAATAGCGCGAAACTTGAGTGAAAGGTTTCCTGTCAACTATGCATAACCATTTGAAATGTCATATTCTTTTGATATTACTGGGTTGAAAGTATAAACAATTAAATCATGATAGTACATTTTATAGAATTACATACGTCTTTGCGACAATAAATGTATGATGTCGAATAAGCAATACCAAGTTATCTTTCTTAGTTGAAGCAATGGAGATAGTGTTGGTTGTTAAAGGTTTTGGTTTTAAAATAAATAATCATCTAAGCCTTTGTTAATGATTTAATTTATGATGGAAACTTTCATACAGTGATGTGACTGTTACATGACTTATACTCTTCATGTAAGTTTTTCCACTATAAAGTGTAGAGAACCAATGTAATCATCAAAACTAAATATCTGAAATAACTTTAACAAATGCTGAAAAGACAGTTTTCCTATTTCATGGCAACATTAAATGTGCACTGCTGATGAGTCCCTTACTAGGATGAAATGGCCGTCCAGTGCATCTAGGTGTCTAATAATGGCTATCTAACGATGATCAATCCATGATTCCAGTGAGCCATATACATGTAGATTTTCTAACATTTATATTCTCAATCAAATAGCCAAACAGTATACCTCACAGTACGAACAATTTACTGAAATGCCATTCATTTTTAAATTGATTATTAAGATAGTCACAAAACGTTTGCATCGAACTCACCTAGCTGCAACATCTGAGCAGAATAATGCGACTAGTTCACAAAAATATTGAAAATAAATTTAGAAATAATCCAATCCACTATAAATATGCAATTACAACCAATTGATTAGATACCAAGAATATAAATGAAGAACGTTTTATTTCGATGATGTATTTATTTGATTTTTCAGGGTCACACTGAGTCACAGGTCATCATTAATTTGCTTAAAATTACTGGAAAGGTCAACTATTGTAACAGTGAAGTAGATTTCAGGTGGAATTAGATTCTTCGATCATTATCAACAGGTAATTATTATAAAAATAGATAAAACGTGAGCAATGGATTTAAGAGAGTTTAATAACGAAAACTAGTTATCTACATTTTTTTAAGATTTAAGAAAGAAAAGTGGCTCAGTTTACTGTTTAGTTTACTGAATCATTGTCGATTAGAAATGGAGAATTTCATTCATTTGAGATAAATAAATAAATAGAAGCATACTGCGACTGTCACTTGAGATATTCAACTGCATGCAGAATTCTCACTTCTACTCGGATTTTGTGTTTTTCAGCTTTTATTTTACTGAATATAATTCTGAATAAAAAAATAAAGAAACTGTGGATTTAGTGTTTGTGTTCAGAGATAATATCTAACCTACAATGTATGTGGTTCAGAATATCAAGATTTAAGAAGCCTGATAACAAATATCAACACCTTTACTCCTGAAGACTGAAATAACAACTATTATTTATTCTGCTTCGGTTTTGGTAGCCGGTTTCCCTTTTTGTATCAATGACTGTGTTTCAACAGATATATACAAAACTTTACCCAATCCAGAAAGCTTAATAAAGCATATTTGATCATGGAGTCTGAGTATTATGTAAAAGCTTATATTTACAATAAAGGACTGATATATCAACTTTAAATTTTAAAGCACATGCTTATTTCCATCAAGTTTTAATTATTTGCCTCTACAAAGCATCCATTTGTGTGGGAGTTTATAGCACACAAGAGATACCATCAGAACCAAGATATAACCCGCTCCTCACCATATGCAACATGGATGATGAATCCCTTTATACTAGGTTATATGACATTTTATCGATGGATTCACGAGAAAAACGACCAAGAGAGTTTACGAACAGCTTGATCCCGCCAACCCTACTTACTATCCACCCACTCATTCTTTCGTCAATTGAGCGGCCATCTTAAACTACCACTTATCAGAAACTCTGACTGGATAAGCGTAACCGAAGACTAGAAGAATCATCAGTTACCATCCCGACACCACCACTCAGCTCAGCGTTTTGTAGCCACAAATTTCCGAGTTTCCTTGTTACCTTTCTAATTCTATTAGGCGAGAATAGAGAGCCTCATTTTGTTGGAACAAACACATTAAATGAGATGCACTTTCGCTGAACTGAAAATTCACATTATTGAAGAGACCTGTCAGAACTTTTCGATGTAAATATTTGGTCCAAGTAGCACCTGGCGAAACTTGAAGTCTTCCAAGAGCTTTATAAACGAAAACAACCGATTCTAATATTGGCTTAAATTGACTCTGACAAGTCTATCATATACAAATCGTAACACCAATACATCAGATTTTACTAACTCGATTCATTTTATTAGTACTGTGAAGATAACTCCGCCTGGGGTCCCCCTAGCGCTACTGCTGGCCCCAAGACTGGATAAAGGAGGAGGGTTTAGTTGGGGTTGACGATCTCATCGCAAAAAAACTAACTCGCTAATAAACACTAACCAGAAAACATAATTCAAACCACTTTAACGCTGCCCTGAGAGTTAGAAGGTATTCATTCAGAAACGTTATGACATCTCAAGAAGAAAGCCGAGTTCCTTCGGAAGTCATGAGGTCGATGCCCCTTATGACAAGCAGAGAAACCATTCTTTTAGGTACATGGAATGTTCGAACAATGTGAAATTCCGGAAGACTGTTCAGAATTAGTGCATAGATGAAAAGGTACAACCTGGAGGTGCTTGGAATCAGTGAAACATATCGGACACAGGTTAGACAATTAAGACTAGCTTCAGGAGAGCTGCTGATATATGCCGGCCATTAAGAAGAAAATGCCTCACGCACACAAGGAGTGGTACTGATGCTGTCCAAACAAGAACAAAACGCACTGATACCATGGGAATCTCATGGACCTAGGATCAACAAACTGGTCATTGGCGGGACAATGTTGCCACAGTTACATGGATTTCAATGAATCACACTACTCAAAACCAAATCGACCAAATCAGTATCAATGAAAAGTTCAGAAGGACCATGGAGGACGTGAGAACCAAGAGAGTAGCTGACGTAGCCTCAGGTCACCACTTGCTGGTCACCAAAATGAAACTGAAACTCAAGAAACACTAAACAACGGCGCGGACAAAATCACAAAAGTTTAATATGGACTTTCTCCCGGATACTGGAAAGCTCAACGAAGTTAAGATAGCGTTCAGTAATAGGTCTAGGCCTTGAAAGATCTACTCAATGGAGAGGAAACTACCATGGAGAACAATTGAGAAGGAATCAAGGAGACAATCCAATCAACATTTCAGGAGGTTCTGAGGCACAAGAAGTACCAATACAGAGAATGGATTTCTGTTGGTACCCTTGATAGATCTCAAGGAAGGAGAAACAAGAAGGCAGCAATCACTATCAGCCGAACAAGAGCAGAGTAAGCAAAGGCCAGGCTGAATACACAGAAGCAAACAGGCAAGTGGAGAGGAGCATCAGAGCTGATAAACGTAAATTTGTGGAAGATCTAGCAATGACAGTGGCAAAGGTTGCAAGAGGAGGAAACACGAGATAATTTTACGATACCCACCCAACATCGAAGCAGCATCCATCGACCTCCCAATCATTGTTGACACACCAACAGTGAAGAGGTCACTATGGCCGTCAGACAGATCAAGAGCTGCAAAGAAGCAAGAACAAACACATTCCAGTAGAGGTAATGAAAGCAGACATAGCAGCAACTGCAAAGATACTCCACATTCTCTTCAACAAGATTTTGGACGTAGAACAAGTACCAACAAACTGGAAAGAAGAATACCTCATCAAAATACCAAAGAAAGGCGATCTCTGCAAATGAGAGACCTACAGAGGCATCACTCTTCTTTCAGTACCAGGCAAAGTCTTCAACATGGTGTTGTTAAACACAATGAATTACTTCGTAGAAGCACAGCTTTGAGATCAAAATGATTTCGTAAAGATCGATCATGTACCTACTAAATTACAGCATTACTAATCACTGTGAAACAACTAATTGAATGGAATTCACCATTCCACATCAACATCATTGACTTCGAGAAAGCGTCTGGCGACGTGGAAAGGACAACACTATGAAGGATCGTTCGGCATTTCGGCCTGCCTAAGGAGATAGACGGAATTCTTATGATGGATTAAACTGCAAAATCGTGCACGGTGGCAGCTGACAGACTCGTTCAAGTCAACACCGGTTTCAGGTGAGGTTACTTACTCTTATCCTTTCCCATTCTCCTGGTGACAGACAGTATTATGAAGACGTCAGCATATGAGGGACATCTAAAGGTATAGCGAACAGCTCGGATATAGCTGAACGATCTAGGCTTCGCAGACGATCTGGTTTTTCTTTCGCACACACTGCAGAAAATGCAGGAGAAAACCAGTAGATCTCAGCAAGGAGAAAAGCAAAATTCTCCGGCACAGTACAACGAGCATCAACCAAATCACACGTGATGGAGATGCCCTTGGACAAATATTGATGAAAGCACCTACATGCATACATCACAAGACAAGCTTTCCCTTGAAACCTCCAATGTCAAAAAAAGAGGACATTACGCCAGGAATTGAAGGCTGGCATCAGAAAAACGAGCGAAAATTGAACAGAACTGGGAAAGGAGGCCTAGGACAGTGTCGGTTGAAGAATGCTGGTCAGTGGCCTATGCTCCATCGGGGGTAATAAATTTACTATCTAAATGGTTAATAAGTCATTTATATGTTATACTGAATTCAAAGTTTTCAGAACGCTATCTTCAATCATCAACTCATTGTGAATTTTTCAACAACGTAGATACTAGAAGTCTGATATTTGTAACTTTAATAAGTTACCGTAGTTATACAGTGAACAAGACCAAGAAGAAACTATTTGCGTGTATTCTCTAAATATTCTTCGTTTAATTTATTTTTATTTTAGGATATGAATTTGTAAAAATTAAGGAAATAAAATCTAGTCACAAAAAAACTCATTTCCAAGCAGTTATTAGGAATGTGATTAGATATGATGTTCTCTACATATTGACAGCATTTAAACAAACAGTGGTAGCATGAATAGCGCTCGTAACACAAATCGGGTAAAACACTCAAGCAAGATCTTAAAATTCCTGTTTTTGTTTGTAAAGTTATTACATATATACTGATTGTTATGGTGTGACTACATATAGCAGAACCTGTATTGTTGCTTTCAAAGTGAAACTGGAATGTTGAATAAACCAACTCTAATTAAAAATTATATTTCGAAATATATTTAGTCTTATAAAATGGATTTTGTCGCATACTAGTAACGTCTGGAGAACTACTGTAGTATACAATTTATCAGTGGTGGAAAAGGTTACCATAGATTAGATCGAACTAAGAATTCTCAGGTCTTAAACAGATCACGTTATCTTTATGTCACTGAGCAGGAAACAAGCAGTCAGCATTCCAAGATTTGGTCAACCTACAGTGTAGCACGACAACCGTCCAATATTTCTGACGACCAACTGGTTAACTTGCAAAAAAGTTTCAAACTGCTAACCATAATTTCTCATCCAAACTTCAGAATTTCATCTCGATATTAGTCATTATTTAGAAGAGAAAAATACAAATTTAGTGGAAATTTATAGGTATTTTTTATCGCTTCGGAATGATGGAAACTGATGAGAGATTAGAAAACAACCGAAACTAAAGGAACGTCTGATATCCAACTGCATCTTGTTAGGAAATTCTTTGTAACAAGTAACCACGATCCCGAGCATTTAAATAACATCTATTTTTAACTTATTTT